GAAGAAAAAGAAAAAGAAAAAGAAGAAAAAGAAGAAAAAGAAGAAAAAGAAGAAAAAGAAGAAAAAGAAGAAAAAGAAGAAAAAGAAGAAAAAGAAGAAAAAGAAGAAAAAGAAGAAAAAGAAGAAAAAGAAGAAGAAAAAGAAGAAAAAGAAGAAAGAGAAGAAAGAGAAGAAAGAGAAGAAAAAGAGGAAAAAGAGGAAAAAGAGGAAAAAGAGGAAAAAGAGGAAAAAGAGGAAAAAGAAGAAAAAGAAGTAAAAAGAAGAAGAGGAAATGAAGAAGAAGAGGAAGTAAAGATAAGAAGAGAAAAAGAGGAAGAAGAAAAAGGACGAGAAATAGGGACATTATAAAAATGGCCTCGAGGTTTAGGTGAGAAAATCAAAAATGTTTATAGAAGACATGAAAAACTCTTTATTTTTTGACTGAAGAAAGACGTTGAGGAAACAGGAGTAAGAACTGCGTGGGCCAGTCCTGGGGACATCATCGAAGCTCCTCTCGGGTGGCTCTGCCTACTTCTCTAACGCCCGCCGGCGGCGGGAGCGTTGCCGGGGGCAGCTCCGGGACCGCCTGCGGCCGCTGGCTTCGGTTTTGGCGATGGTTTGGGTTTTCCTTCGTTAGCGGGGCCGCACTCGGTAGCGCAGTAGCTGTACCTGCAGAAGACGTAGTCGGCGTTGGTCTCCATCTTGCACTTGGGGATGCAGCTGTTGCACTCCTCTACCCCGGTGTCCTCCTCCCAATCGTACTCCGCACCTCCGTCCTGCCCGAGAACCTGCAAAATCCGCAACAAATTCGGCTACATTTTCCCATATCGCAACTACTGTTTCTGATTCTGGATCATTCGCAAATGCGCTCACCTTACCTCTCCAGGGCAGATCCAAGTGGGACGGAAGGGAAAATGGCCGGAGAATGGCAGGAGAATGATAACAAGAAGAAGAAAGGAGGAAAGGAAAAGATCCGAAAGAAGAGGAGGGTGGAAAAGAGCGGAAAGGAGAAAAAGAAAGACGAGAGGACGAGGAAGAAGAAAGTGGGGACGAGAAGAAAAGCGGGAATAAGAGCCCGAAGAAAAGAGGGTACGGGAAGAAGAATTCGGAAAAAGAGAAAGAAGAAGAGGAAGAAGAAGAATAATAATAATTAAAGTTTTAATCCCAATTTTAAATTTTAACTTCAATTTTAAATTTAAGGACTCTCCTTTGCATTAAATTGCCGGGGGAGGACTAAATATCTACCGGCCTCGAGCTGTGAATTGAGAAACGAGAACATAATAATAATAATAATGTGGGAAAGAAAAATATGAACAAGAAGTAGACGAAGAAGAGGAACGAGAGGTGGACGGAGGTGGACGGAGGTGGAGAACGAGAAGTAGACGAAGGAGGAGAAGGAGATGTAGACAAAGGAGAAGAACGTTAAAAAGAAGAAAAAGAAGAAGCTGAAGGAGGAGGAAGAAGTAGGCTCAGAGATAGAAGAAGAATAGAAGGAAGCAGAGAAGAAAAAGAAGAATGACAGGGAGAGCGAGAAAAAGAGAAAAAAGAAGTGGACGAGAGAGGAGAACGGGAAGAAGTTGAGGGAGAGAAAGAACGGGAAGAAGACTGAGAAGAAAAGGAAGAAGGAGAGAAGAGAATAGGAAGATAGCAGAGAAAGAAAAAGAGGAAGAAGAAGGAGGAAGAAGAGAATAAAGTATAATAATAATAATTGTTAATAATTAAACACCTTCGAGACCTTGGAATAGAGAGTTACCTGCTTCATTCAATGTAGAAGTCCCTTGTCATAAGGACGCTAAGTATTGTCAGGTCGTTTCTTAATATCGATTATTTTTTTTAATCGTTCTTTTTTAATTTTTCTTTGTTTTTTATTTATTCAAGCAAGTTAGTGTATATAGCTGACTTTGGCCAGCGGAGTGGCCCGTCAGTAATACTTACACCGGAAGTGATTCCTCTTCCGAGTTAAAAAAAATAATAAGAATAATGATATTATGAACAACAAGAGCAAGAAGAAGGAGTACCCGCCGATGTAGGAAAATTTACAGCACATGGGATTCTTCTTCGACCCTGAAATATTATTACCGCAATGCAAAATGTTATGAAGTCCAACTACATGGAAACTGGTTGCCACTAAGGTCGTTGCTAGAGATCATTTCCCAATCAGGCTTTGTCAATATGTTACTCATTGTCAGTCAGATGCATAATCTTCCGCACATTTTATTTTTGGTACTTATTCTCTCCATGATGAGTTCATTATTCTTAAAATAAAACTATGTTTCTCGAAGAGACACCAAGATTCGGAGCTAAAATATGACGCTAGACAGGGTGTATTACTTCGTTGCGTGTTTTCTCGTTAAAATTTCACGTAAAAAACACAGCAGAAAATGTAGAAATCCAATCCTCAGGTAGGTGTAATGATCAGGGCCGGATTAAGGGGGTGGCCAATTTTTTAAAGTGTAGGTTTTTAAAAAAAAAAAAAAAAAAAAAAAAAAAAATCGGATTTATAAAAACAAAATTACAAACGAGAAAAGGCGACAAAATCCGTCATTTCCTTAGAGTATAGTAATTTCTAATTTTGTCTTTGTCGTTTGTTTTTGTGTCGTCTCTTAGTGATACAAGAGACAGCACCCTGAATAAGTCGAGTTACGAGAGAAATCAAACACGCAATTTGGCCTAGAACGGCGTGACTTAGAGAGAAATGATGACGAGGATTTGAGATGAAAAGGAGAAGCCCTCGGCGCGGCGATCGGCATACATCACATATTAGCGCCTACAAGACTGCACGAATACTTCACGCATTTCATCAAACATAGCACGGTCATTGCGGTCAGCGTGAAACGGATAGCGCCTACAAGAATGCTTGAATACTTCACGCATTGCGTCAAACACAGTGCGTTCAGCAGCGGTCGTCGGCGTGAAACTCATAGCGCCTACAAAACTGTCGGAATACTTCACGCATTGCGCCAAACACGGTGCGGTCTGCGCGGCGCGGCGGCGGAATTTAAAATCATTGAACCACATTTATGTTTGTTCTTTCATAATTTTTTCGTTCATTTCTTATGAATGGAAGGCCTTGTCCACACAGAGATAGGTTTACGGAACTTATCTTTCGCGCAAAGTTCCGTGAAATTTTGCTAGTAGTGTTGACAGGGCTTTTCCAAAAAATGTGTTCAACACGAATAAATGCGTCTTTTGCACCCCTCCCCCGCTGGCACGTTCATTTGATGGTTTTTATCGAGTTTCAAAACGAATGAGAAGGGGGCAGCAAGTAGTTGAATCCGGCCTTGGTAATGATTCTTTATATAATTAAAATTAACAAAATCATGATATTTGGGAACCGCAAAGGTAAAATTTGTGGGAGAACACTCCAGGAGTCCATCAAGACCCAAGTAGAACAGATTACAATAAGTAGCAATTACGTTGTAAAAATATTGAAATTCCATTGAGTGTTGTGTATGTTGCCTAGCTCCTATTTGAAGGGGACCCATTTATTGAAACTTATTGTAATAAAAGTGAAAAAAGTTGCAATTTTTCATTGCATTGCGTATTGCCTATCTTTTTGACACAAGGAGCTCCCTTTTTTGATTGTTTAAAATCGGCATAAATCGACTAAATTATGTAAAAGTATTGCAATTTAAAGGTAAAAAAATTATCATTTTATTGAAATAAAATTGCAATTGGATTTCAATATTTTCGTTGCACTGTGCTACTTGAAGATGCGTAGCAGTGCAGCATTAAGAGTAAAACGGGTTTTCCGACTTGAATGGCTGCTCGGAAAGTAATAGTTGTATTTTTTAATTATTTAAAAAAATTGTTTTTCAAAAGAAATTTGCTGTTTAGAGTATACTTTTTTCGGTTCAATCGCCCCTGAAACCTAAAAGTTGGGAAAAATTTTATTTTGGCTTATTTTGTTGGAGAACATGCACAATTTTTTTTTCGATCTTTGAGGAAATCTGTTCCGATGGATTCATAGAATCGGTAATATTTTTCAAAAAAGAAATCATTTCGAAGGTGACTCTTATGTGAAATTGTAAATTCTTCAATTATGCGCTGAAGGTGAAAATTGGCAAATCAAGATAAAAAAAAGGCGATAGCTCTAAAATATTCCGATTGGTATGAAACTTCACTGAAACTTTTTTTTTACTATTATTATTTTTTTTTTTATGAATTGGCATCCATTCAAAGCCGGGGAACTGAACTCCTCCAACTTTTCTTATTGGCATACAGAAAAGCCTCACCCTGTTGCAGGCAGGTTCCTAATGCCTAAATAAGCCAAATAACCGGCAGGGGAAAAAGTGATGAAAATGTTTGGTACTCATTTGCGGTAAAATTAATTATAGAGGACGCGTTTCGAAGCTTAGAGCTCCATCATGAGCTGGCAGCGAACATCATATTTTAATTTTATCATATTTGACCTATGGCTATCCCCCCAAGAAGTTTCTATAGGAAAAAAAGTAAGAAGAACGCTGATATCATAGGTTAGCTGCTCTTAATGACCTTAGATTTATTCGGAGTGGCATCAAGGAAGACAAGATGGATTTTCAAGCTAAAAAGGCGGTCCTTTTATTCTCTCCATTCAGATACTCCAACGGACTTTATCTAAAAGCGCAAATCCCCAAAAGCGCAAAAATGCACGAACCGAAACCGGAAATTTTAAACACAAGTAGTCGTCCAAATGCGCAAACTTTTTCGACTTTTCTTTTCAGCATACAGATAAGCCACACCCACCTGTAGGCAGGCTCCTAATGGATTATAAACCAAAAAATAACCGCCAGGGAGAAAAGTGATACCTTTAACCTAACATTTGACCTAACCTTGCGTCAGGTTAGGTTAGGCCAGCTATTGACCACTTGATTCCTTCTCTTTTCTACCTCTCTGTCGCCCCAAAACCATACTGCCATTTGCGCAAACAAGCTACCACCCAAAAGCACACATCTGATTTGCGCTCTCGGATCTTGCGCTTGGGATGTCTTCGACTAACACTCCATAAGAAAGTACTTTAGGGTCGAGTGAGAAGATGAATATTTTTCAGAGGATACAAAAGACACTTTATTGTTCGACAGAAGAAACACGCTTAAGAAACCCGCTCAGCTATCCTCCGAGCTCCACGATGACGTCACGAGCTGCATCACTAAAAGTTTACTCGGCTACCTGCGACCTTTTTGGTTCCCATCTTGGTTCCCATTTTGGTTCCCATTTTGGTTCCCATTTTGGTTGCCTTGTTGGTTGCCTTGTTGGCTTCCTTGTTGGCTCCCTTGTTGGTTCCCTTGTTGGTTGCCTTGTTGGCCGCCTGCGCTTTCAGTTGGCTTTGGCTTCGTCGGGCCGTCACCGTTGACCGTTATGCAGTCGTTGAAGCAGAAGGTGTACCTACAGTACACGTAGTCCGCGTTTGTCTGCATTTTACATGTTTTTATGCAATCGTTGCACTCCGGCACTCCTGTATCCGTGTTCCAATCATCGCCCTGAGCGCGCACCTGGAACATCCAACGAAGATGAGGAAGGAGAGCCAGAGAAGGAAGAGGAAAAACACTCCCGTGCTAAGTAAAAACGCCGTATGAGCCTTCAGGCGTTGCCGAATTTCTTCTTTTAATACGCGAATTTCCTGGTAAATTTATGAATATCTTCCTCTCAATTTTTCAGATAATTTACACTGAAAAAAAAATCTCGGTGTATTCACTAAGAAAAGGGTAAAATTACCAGGAATTCAGGGTTCTATTTGATCCCAGTTTTTTCTTGGTGAAATTACCATTTATGGAATTGGTAATTTTACCGAGAAATCTTGGTGAAATTATTGAACTTTCTCGGTAATCTTGCTGGACCTTGGTAAAAGCGCCAATTTTTTTCATCGACTGTGGTAGAATTACCGAGATAAAATGGCAAAGTTGCCGGGAATTGATTACCAATAGAAGTGGTGTTCTTACCTGAAAAAACAGTAAAAATACCGGTTTTTAGGTAAGTTTACCAGTCTGTCTTGGTAAAATCACCAATAACTAGTAAAGAAAGTGAGACGTAAAAGGTACCAACGGATCTTGGTAAAAACGCCGAGAATTTTTTTTCAGTGTAGCTCAAAAGGGAAATTATTCATAACTTTCCTCAAAAATGAACATTTTATCGAAGGAAATTTGGCAACTCTCGAATGTTCATACGGCGTTCTTCCTTACCACGGCAGAATAGGACGTATTTAAATCAAAAGGAACCCTATCAACGGCTTAATTGCGCAGGTCACAGAATCCTTGTTTGATGTTTGACTCTTGTAGGTTAGCTAAAAATAACAAGGTCCATCCAAACAGCAACTTTATACGTTCAATACTATTTGAGATATCGCGCTTTAGAAAATGCTGTTTATGACGTCATCCACCGCGGTAGTGACACCCTCGGTTTTTCCACTTTTCTTTCACTGATCAGTGAGGCACACATTTGCACCGGTTACTCGACGTGAAACTCGGATAAAAGCAAGGTGGAAGAAACCAAGGGTGTCACTGCCGCGGTGGATGACGTCACAAATGTAATTTTTCAAATCGCGATAACTCGGTTATAATATTGAACGTATAGAAAGTTGCTGTTTGGACAGATCTTATTAGTCTTCGTTAATCCAAAGAAATCAACCATCAAAACACGATTCTGTGACCAGCGCAACTGACCCATTTCGACATGAGCCGTGAGTTTTTTTTTCCTTCTGTCCAACAAGAAAGTAAGAAACCGTATTCAATAGCAGAAATGCGTGACCACCTGATCTTTTTGTGCCTTCTTTTCGGCCAATCAGACACCCGACGACTACTTTTTCAAATCCTCTGACAAATAAAACGGACAATCGAAACCATATATATTTCTTCGAATTCAGCCAATTTTTCGACGCAAATTCGTCCACAGCTCGCCTCTCGAGTATTTGGCGTCTCTATTGATGATACCTAACACTTAGTGCAAAAAACCCCCCAAAGATGTTGATTTTTGAAATTTCGATTTTCTTTTCCACTCTGGTCGATGTCCTTGACTGTCTCGTCGGCTCTTTGGTAAAAAACATCGAAAAAAGACAACAAGAAATTTTAAATTTTAATAGGTTGCATGGATGTTTTTTTTAGTAAGTGCAACATATCAGTGCCCTAGAGCCAAAACACACACAGTAACAGCGGCGAAGCTCATAGTGATTTTTTCCTAAGTTTCTTTGTTTTGCCGGTTGAAAATGCGGGTGTGATCCCTGCGAAACGTCCCGGGTTTTTTATTTTATTTTATGTTTTATGTGTTATTATTTGCGGCCTTAGTCCCGATTTAAGTTGTTTTTTTTTTTTTGCTGCAGCCAAAACATATACCTAGCTCCATTTTAGTATTTTCGAGATATCAGGAGAAAAGCGTGCATCGGCCCCATCGACTTCAATGTAAATCGCAATTTTTGAAACTCCGTATCTCATAACCGGCGTAAGATAGGGCTACAGAATTTTCCGTACATACGGAACTGTTAATGGCGATTTTGAAAACGCCACAAACTCGATTTTTCTAAAAGCGTGCATTAGGTACCTCCCGGCTCTGGGGCAATGATATCGTTCATCAATAAAAACGTAAAATCCCTGAAAAGCGAGTTAAAGGCACATTTTTGCCGAAAAATCAGCTGAGATCAAAAAATGAAAATGGTTTCGATTTTATTTTATTTTCCACAGGAAATGGAAAAAATGGCGTCGGATTTGCTAGAAAAAAGCACGGGAAGATCAGGTGGTTAGATCACGATTATCTGCTATTTGATGCGGGCTCTTATCCTCTCCTTGTTTTCTCTATCTCTGTCTCTTTCTTCTTCTTCTTTCTCTGCCTCTTCTTCTTCGTCCCCGTTGTTGTCTTTCTAATCGAGAACCAAAGGGCTAAGAAAGAAAATTTAAGATTTTCAGAGAGCCCAGAAATTATTTATTGTGCGCTTAAACATAAGTATAAGAAACTCATCCACAGGTTCCTTCAGCAAACAGTAGAGAATCTAACAAGTTTGCAAGACCCCGCGCGTTACATTCAGTGGCATCCTACACGAGCGTCCGTCGCTGAGTAGCAGCAACACTCGGGCGATCACCGAAGTTCAGCAACTTGAAACCCGCCGTTGTTATTACAGCTGCAGAAGAAATCTGCGCAACCTAACGCGCCTTCATTTCCGCGCGACACCTCCCGCATTGCCGCGAAGCAGATTTAGTTGCGTGACCCAATCGAACCTAGCTCGAGTCTCCCGTGGCAGCTCTACAACCGAAGCTGCCAGATTGTGCGATAAAATGTGGATATATTACACGAGTTTAAGTGGAATAATGTGCTGATTTTTTCAGCACTATCTGGCATCAATGCCTGCAACTTTGCGACGGATATTAATAATCATCGGGATTTTATTAATTGAAGTGAATCAGCACCGGGGATAAACAAACATCTAGATACCGAACGCATTCTGCTGCATTTCTGATTTATTTTTTGATTACCAATCAAGAGCGAGAATTTCACGTCTTGAAGCGTATGTCAACCCAATACTGCCGTGCTACGGAAGAACGCCGTATGAACATTCGAGAGTTGCCAAATTTCACGTGATAAAACTTGTATTTTTGACGACACTCGTGCATATTTGTCCTTGAAATTTTCAGATATTTTAGATTAACTGCGTACAAAATTGTTTGAGAATTTTGGGGGAAAATATTCGCAATTTTCCCTGCAAATTCGGTTTTTATCAAAGGGAACTTGGCAACGTCTGAAGGCTCATACGGCGTTCTTCCTTAGCACGGCAGAATACAACCTAACCAAGTCTGCCTTATTTAGAACTAGGAATTTTCCTTCCAGTTTTTTACCTCTTGCAATGGTAAGGCGTTGGAATCCCGCGTAAACATCCATTTTCTGAGTTTTACTTTCGAATTTCATTCGAAATTTGAATAAATGAACGTATTTATGCTAGAAGGAACTATGCGGATAGGGTTTGCGTGAGACATAGTTCCTTTTAGCATAAATACGTCCAAATAATCATTTTTATGATGCCGTGTCAAGGATATCCATTAACCTCCCTTACACACATTGTATACCGTATCGACGGTAAAAATATCAGACTGCGTGTCTTCGGTTTGCGACGTTGCGGACTTCCTATCATACTTTATATTTAGAAGGAAAACTACTCCACATCAATTCTTGGAAAATGCCATGCTTTTGCTTTTCTGTGCTAAGAAAACTCTATGAAAGCTTCAAGGAATGATACTGATTTTTTCTCCTTTCAAAAAATAGAATGAGAGAGGAGATTTTTAAACACCGCAGACGAGATATATGTGGTCTGGTAGTTTCGCCGTCGATATGAGCAGTTGCGAGGTGTGAACGATCGATTATCGATATTCCCCTATTCGAAGCTATGATAAAGAATCGATTATTAAGGTGTTCGTTGCGAAAACCCTGTTTATCGATCTTTTTCCATTGGTTTAAATGGCAAAACAATCGATATCTCGCAAAGCACGCCACGTCACTGGATATGGGACTCCCTGAGGGAAGAGTGTGTTGAAGGAGCGATCGCCGTATGAACATTCAAAAGTTGCCCAATTTCCCCGGAGAGAACAAATTTTTTGGAGGGAAGGGATATATTTTACCCCTTGAAATTCTAAGATATTTCAGATAAAATTGCTAACAAAATTATCTGGAAATTTTGGGGAAAAATATTCACAATTTTCCCAGTAAAGGAGGAGTATCGTTAAGGATCGTTTTGGGCCCATCCTAATTTTCTTCAACTCTACAATTTTTTGCTCATTGAAGGTCTATATTTTACAGAATGCATCATGATTAGGTCATTTTCAATCTCTTTTTGGGTCTAATACTGGCCTAAACATGGGTCTAGAGGCTCAATTCGGCGACAAATGTGGGTTTGGTGAATATGCGGTCGAAAGCCCAAAAAATGGGGTTTTCGCCGAAATCAACCTAGAGACCCATGTTTAGGCCCTCAATAGACCCCAAAAGAGACCAAATGATGTATTCTGTAAAATAAAGACCTTAAAAATGAAAAGCAAATAATAAAAAAAAAAAAAAAACAACAACTAGTTGAGGTCAGAAAATTCAGGGTGGGCCCAAAAACGGCCCTTATCGATCCCCCTCCTTTGTTTTTTAGTGAAGGAAATACGGCAACGTCTAAAGACTCATACGGCGTTTTCCCTTAACACGGCAGTGCGACCCTATGAATACAACCCAAAAAGAACTTGGACGGAAACTCGATCCCGAAAATTTTGGCGTTACTTCTCTCTTCGGTAACATGGCAAAATGTTGAAGGCTACATGGACCGCGTGACGCAGAAAGGAACCAAGCCACATCAGCTATTGCCTTTAATCGGGTAATTTAATTTTTTAAATGAGAACGGTTGTGCGGATTTTCGTACAAATTTCACTGAATTTTCTCCATAATACGAAGCAAATTCCTTAAAATTTTCAAAGGAATCCGCCCAAACGTTCGCTTGTAAAAAATTAAATCGTCTATTTAAAGGCAATGGCTGATGTAGCTTGGTTCCTTTCTTCTAAACGCCGTCCATATACAGTATAGAGTCAAGCTATACGGAGACTATAAAAAGACTATACAGGCGTCCTGTGACAGGACTCGGCGGCAGAGGATAGGACCATTTCGTAGCAGGATTTACGTACCCAAAACGAATTTTGAAAGAGACGCAATTCCGAAACTTCAGGCGTTACTTCGGTAACACGGCAGAATGTTGGAGGTTATATGGACACCATTTTGCAATTAGGAACTATAAATTCCTGCCCGGTTTAAAAACAATGTATGTGCCATTAGTTTCCCTATGCTCATAAGTGTTTTTTCAAATGAGCCAGAATTTATAGGTCCAAATTGCAAAATGCAGTCCATTTCGAGTATAGAGTCAAGCTACACAGAGACTATACAGATACTATACAGGACTCGGCAGGAGTAGACAGGAAAATTTCGTAGCAGGGTTTACGTGCCCAAAACGACTTTTGAAAGAGACTCAATTCCGAAAATTCGGACCTTACCTCGGTAACACGGCAGAATGTTGGAGTTTATTTATAGAGAGAATAGAGTCAAACTATACGGAGACTATACAGACACCATACAGGACTCGACAGGAGTAGACAGGACAATTTCGGAGCGGGAATTACGTACCCAAAAATAATTTTTAAGGATACTCAATTCTAAATGGACTGCATTTTGCAATTTGGAACCAAAAATTCTGACCCGGTGTAAAAACAACGTATGTGCCATTAGCTTCCCTATGCACATGTGTGTTTTTCCAGATTTGCCAGAATTTATAGTTCAAAATTGCAAAATGCAGTTCAAATATTCGGTAACACGGCAGAATGTCGGAGGTTATGTAGAGTATAGAGTCAAACTATACGGAGACTATACATAGACTGAAGAGAAGTCGACAGGGCGGTTACGTACCAGGGTTGCGGCGATGGCGACGAGGAGGAAGATGTTGATCTTGAGGAACTGCATGATGGTCTCGGCGTCGTTCTTCGGGGACACTGCGAACGAGGAGACGGATGCCCGCTCTTTTAACTCGGAGCTCGGCTCGGCTCAAACCCCAATCATAGGGTTTTACGATCGCCTGTAATAAACGCGGAAATGGAAAGACGGGTCGTAACCGATCAGACCGATTATTGAAATTTTAAAGCAGCGCCATGAGACACCGAAACGCGAAGTACTGCACGGTTAACATAGGGCTATGTCTTGCCTTGTCGAAATATTGCGGTGCTAAGTAGGAGCGCCGAATGAGTCTTTGGCCGTTGCCAGATTTCCTTCAATAAAAAAACAGATTTACGGGAAAAATTGTGAATAATTCTGCAGTGATAGCGAAGAGAGCAGTAGGTGTCAAATTTTCGAAATCTAGTTCCCTTCAAAATTGAATCAGTGAGTTCGAAAACACACCAGCTCGGGTTTTTTTCGATTTTCGTTTAGTAACACTTATGGATAGAAGCATCTGCACGCAATAGGAAAGTTTGAAGTTGCGATCGGAAATGCTCGGAATAGCGACGGGAAAAGGGAAAATTCTGAGTATTTCATTGGAAATACCAATTTTTGGCCATCTCAAGGGAAACGGGTGACCATCCGATCTTGCGGTTATTTTTCGGTTCAGTATACACCTTGTGCCAACAAGTTAGAATATTGCGCACTACAGTATTATTCAAGCGTTATTCAGGTCGAAAAATATAAATTTTTCTGAGCAGACTATGAAAAACCGGTATCTGAAAGTCGGTGAGAACGAAAACACACCAACTCGGAAATTTTTAAACGCTTAGTTCTCTGTCATCAAACATGGTGTATATATATCGATTTCAACTTGGTGCTTTACAAAGTCTCTAAGTACTTGTCCTTTGGCACCAAAAAGGTTTTTCTTAAACTAACTTCTTCGCCCGCTGCGCAGTTTTAGGTGTTTCCTGAACAATTTTTCTTTCCTAAGTTGGTGTGTTTTCGCACTCACTGATTCAATTCGTCTAATCTCTTTTAGATGAAACCACTGAAACGAGACATATGGTCAGCCCGTCGGCCGCAAGTGCGCAAAAAATGACGTGGTTTCAGACAATACAGCAGTAAGTGACAATATTATCCTCCGGAGAGCCAATGAAAACATTGATTTCAAGTAAAATGCCTCCCTCTTCTGTCAATTTCTGACCTGAAAATGTGTTTGTTATGTGTCCAAACCGCAATCACGAGGAGGATGCTCTCTCCCGCGAGAAAATCGCATGACAGTATTCTTCTCGCTTTTACATTACAGCCAAGTACTACGTTATAGGACACTTCGTTTGTCGACATTTTTTGTCCGCACACCTATTATTTCCAGTAATTTACGTTCACGCGTTTTTTCGGCACGGGAGTTTTGGTCCACGTGCCAGTTGATACCCAAAGTTAATTGGCCCACATGTAAATACAAACGACAATTGCTCACGACGTTTTTGGATGATACGTCTTGGAAGAATGAGGGTTTGCTTGTTTTTTTGTTTTGTCTGTTTGGTCCAACGGAGAATAATATACAGTTGAGAGTTTTGATAAAAATGGGGGAGCGTCAATTCCATGTGACAAAATTCACTAAAACTCTCTACACCTCTTTGGTGTAACGGGACTTAATTATCTTTCAAGAAATTCCCACCTTGTTATACCTGAACCAGACAAACCTCTATATTTGCCTCAGCTAAAGGCTCTTAGATTTTTCCTGTGTACGATAAGTATCTTGATTTATTTTGCGAGGAAATATCTATACTTTTAAAGGATGCCTGTCATTCTTGATACGTTCAATTTCGTATAATAATGTGCAACACCTCTGTTGTGAAATAGTTGCTTCAGGCGCCGCCGCACGGCGGGCGGGCGGCCACCGCAAAACGCGCATTGGCCCCTACAAACCTAAGTGGATACTTCACGCATTGCACAATGCTTGAAGTATCCACTTAGGTTTGTAGGCGCGAATGCGCGTTTTTTTGCAATGCGTGAAGCATCCACTTAGGTTTGTAGGCGCCAGTGAGCCTCTCGCGCTGGCAGCACGCCGCTCCGCTCTGTTAGGCTTTAACTCATGATTTTGAAATGTTTGCACACTCTGCATTGATTATTCTCATTTAAATTGAAGGGGAAAAGATATGTATCAATTTATCAAAGGAGAATAATAATATAATGTGTGTTTTTTAAATATTGGTGGTTCCGTATCAAATGTAATGATTTCCAAAGCACTTTAATTTTTTCTTTTACATTTTGTGCTTTTATTGTGCTGCAGCGAGATGTACGCGCAACCAAACGCTCAAAATTTGACGTATTTGACTCTAAAAGATCGATGTACAAATGGGTTCAAACTGAAGATTGCGTGCTTCTTGGTTTTTTTCGCTCTTTTATTCATTTTTGCAGCACCTGTCGGCACAACTGCGGCTCATTGAGATTAATGTCGTTTGGTAAAGGTTTTACAAATATTTGTCACGTTTTAAAAATATAAATGTTTTAAAAATGGAGTAATAATTTCGTAAAGAAAAAATAAAAAAAATGAAGGAAAAGTACCTATGTATATAAGGTATATTGTACATCGAATATTTTAAGGATAGAAATAATACCATTTTTTTTCTCGATTTTTTACAATTTTTTCAGGGGTTTTCCTTCAGAGGAAGGCTGACTCTTCAGCCAAAACGTTTTGGTGATATTTCCGTGAAAATTAGCCTTGCTGCCATCCGTGCAATTTGTCTTATTGTTGTACTACACTGAAAAAAAATCTCGGTGTATTTACTAAGAAAAGGGTAAAATTATCAAGAATTCAGGGTTCTATTTGATCCCAGTTTTTTCTTGGTAAAATTGTCATTTATGGAATTGGTAATTTTAACGAGAAATCTCGGTAAAATTATTGAACTTTCTCGGTAATTTTACTGGACCTTGGTAAAAACGCCAATACATTTTATCAACTGTGGTAGAATTACCGAGATAAAATGGCAAAGTTACCGGAATTGATTACCAATAAAAGTGATATTCTTACCTGAAAAAAAAGTAAAAATACCGGTTATCAGGGAAGCTTACCAGTCTGTCTTGGTAAAATTACCAATAATTGGTAAAAAAAAGTGAGATGGTAAAGGTACCAACGGACCTTGGTAAAAAAGCCGAGAATTTTTTTTCAGTGTACTTGTCACCGGCTGCGGAGCATCAAGCATATCGATGGTGAAAGTGCAGAAGTGCGTACCTACCTCGGAAAACACGATTTCTCAGGAGAGTAAAAAAAACTGTCTACATTCTTCCTTCTTATTGTCAGTAGAAGGGTAATAATTCTTGAGGATAGCAAGAATAAGATGCTTTTTCAGACTTCATCAATATTTTGAATAATTTCTCGCGCTGTTAGAAAATATGGCCGAAATGCCGAGATTCGCGTTTTCGGCACTAAGAATTGACACTTTATCACGAGATACGCATTTCTGCAATTAGTATTTTAAACGTATTGTTGGCGGATTTTGATCATTTAAAAACTGAAAAAAGGGTTTCATGCTTACAATTCTTTAACAGAAGCTTTAGTTTGACCTCATACGGCCGGATCAAGCATTGTGTGATTGGAAACTGACATTAGATTACGAGATACGCATTTCTGAAATTAGCGTTTTGAAGCTACTCTTGATCATTAAGATCAAAAATAGAATTTATTCAACCTTAAAACTTATTTAGGAGCTTTAGTCGATCCAATACACTAAATGAAGCATTGTTTGACCGGATTGACTCTAATAAAAGTGACCGTTGTGATGAACCGTCAGTTCAATCAGTTCATGATTGCATTGGCCCAGAGAGTAAAAATGGACATGAACGCCGCGCGCTGCTAGTAGGTAGTAGATACCTATGAAGAATGGATACTGGAGGGCCCTCGAGTGATAATCCGCCTTCAATTACAAGCGTATGCAACATTAATGACAAGTAACAGTGCCTAATCCCCCCCTTCCCTCGTCTATCGGCCTATCATCAGCATTCACTGATATTATGCACGCTGGACTGCCTGATTATCCACATTTATCCACATCCTTTTTTCTTTTAGATAGATAAATGAAAACCATTGAAAACAAACACAGAACAGCTGGTCAGCTGATGAACGGTGTTTGGCGAGAAACGCTGCTGAGGAGCGCGCGTTGTGATTGGTTGTGCGTAAGGCGGGCCGAAAAATGAACAGGCCTGAACGAGATACGCATTCCGCACAGATACGCGAAAAAAGTTCTACGGTTTTAGATGACTTCCCGATTTTTTTCGATTATAATCTCCTGCTGGTTGATGGACGACATCTTCAACTTAAAGTTTATGCAGCTAACTCAAAACTGTCAAAAATCGAGATACGCACTTCTGCACTTTCTCCATCGATATGTCATTTTTTAGTTTATGTTGAAAATTTCCTCCAGAATCCCCCATAAAATAATCATAAAATCCAACACTATAATGCGTTAACAATAATGATTGAATATATGAATGGACGTCTTTTTTATGGTTGGTCGTTGGTCGCCCTCAGCTGCGTCCGCAGCAATTGTTGTTACGAATATGTTGTGCGTGCTGATCTCCGTTCATTACATACTCGACTCTTCGAAGGCGTTTCATGTGCGAAAGTAGAGCATCCTGTTGGAGGACACCAGAAGTGAGATTGAACGAATCGATTAATTCCTACTTCGCTCGTTCTCCGACAGATCGCGCTACTTGTTCACAAAAAACGCCTTCAAAGAGTCGAGTATGTAATGAGTTATAATATGCACGCACAACATATTCGTAATAACAATTGCTGCAGACGCAGAAGAAGGCGAATTGTTTAGTTGAGAGGTTCAAAAAAGGTATTACAGGTAGTCTGCGTATAACAAAAGGGTATATATTCGATCGAAATGAATCGAACGAAGAATAAAAACGTGAAACAATCGACACAGATTCCAAGATAAAATGAATAAAAAAACCGATGAAAATCTGTAGAAAACTTGCATTCACTATGTAAATTTCATATTGCGGTATCTCGAAATTACAATCAGCTAAGATTTTGATTTTCAGCGATTTTAAGTCCGCGCGTGCCATAGACTCACCCCCTGCAAAGGTTCGGTGAGCTATTGCAAAAGGGTCAAAAACACCCGTTTTTGACCGTTTTTCGGCTCTGGAGGTCTCGCCGCGCTTCGGGACCATGCGCAATCGATTCAGCGCCTTCAAGTACATAGGATTCGACACTAATCTCGTATTTTTTTCCTCTTCAAATGTTTCAACTTCATATTGCGGTATCTCGAAATTGGAATCAGACAAGATTTTGATTTTTTGCGATTTTAAGTCAGCGCATGCCAAAGACTCACACCCTGCAAAGGTTCGGTGAGCTATTGCAAAGGGTTCAAAAATACAAGTTTTTGAACATTTCTCTGGCTTAAAGGCCCCGGGGAGTCTCCGGACCATGCGCAATCGATTCAGCGCCTTCAACTACATAGGATTCGACACTAATCTCGAAATTTTTTTCCTCGTCCAAAATCGAGAAAAATCGACAGGGGTTACATGGACTAACTTTTGAGGGTCAAAATCGAAAGTTCTCCGATCCGGCTGAAACCGAGCTAGGCCGCTTGGAAATGATCCGCTGAGTCCGATTTTTCGGTCGGAAAAGCTCCGCGAGTCCGCTGGACCGCGCTACCGACGAAAAACGCACTTTTGCAGCAGGGTCAAAAACACTCGTTTTTGACCGTATCTCGGCTCTGCAGGTCTCGCCGCGCCTCGGGACCATGCGCAATCGATTCAGCGCCTTCAACTACATAGGATTCGACACTAATCTCGAAATTTTTTTCCTCGTCCAAAATCGAGAAAAATCGACAGGGGTTACATGGACTAACTTTTGAGGGTCAAAATCGAAAGTTCTCCGATCCGGCTGAAACCGAGCTAGGCCGCTTGGAAATGATCCGCTGAGTCCGATTTCCCGGTCGGAAAAGCTCCGCGAGTTCATCGGAGCTGACAATCGGCTCGCTACTGACTAATCTTCTTTCTTTCTCGTAGTAAGTATTAGTAGTTTGAAAACTTTTTCGATGAAGCGGTGCCTGAGCAGTTATGTCCATTCACACCTTTTCAAAATCAAAAAAGAAAAATAAAATGAGAAAAGGAAAAAAAAGAAGGGAAAAAGGAAAATTCCGAATGTTTGATCATAAGAAAACCCAAAATGACGGTAACAACTCACTTCCCTCGATGAATTCTAGAGACACCTATAAAGTCTTTAACGACCGATTTTATGATCTCCAACTCCTCTCCCCCCCCCCCCCCNTATTCCGCCTCACGGCGAAAAAACTACACTGCAATTAATTCCGACAGCGCGTAATTGCTCAGCGCAGTGGCGAGGCGTGAATAATCGATTATCGATTATTCCCGATTGAAGCTATGATAAAGAATCGATTATTAAAGTGCTCGCTGCAAGCACCCTGTTTATCGATCCTTTTCCATAGGGTTAAATGGTAGATCAATCGATATATCGCGAAGCACGCCACGCCCCTGTCAGCAAATCCAATACCTATCCTCACCTATGTGCTATGTGTTGCTCATAATCATCATCATTGGAGGCAGTGGCGTGGCGTGTTTTGCGATGGATCGATTGATCCGCCATTTAAAACTACATGGAAACGGATCTGTTAACAGTGTGTTCACAGCGAACAACTTAAAAATCGATTCTTTACCATAGCTTCAAATGGGGAAATATCGATAATCGATCATTCACGTTTCGCCTGTGGTTGGAGGGGTACTCTCCAGAGCAGAATTTTTCCAGAGTCCCAGATGGTCAAAATGCGAAACCTAGTATCTTCATTTGTGACGTTGCAAGACTTCCTATTGATAACTTATTTTTGCTTCGGAAAACTAGACAGCGTTTAAGAGTGGAATTCTAGCATTAAAAAATAAAAATGAAATTTCACGCCATGAGCGATTGAAAATTTTAGTGAAATTTGACAAAACTGGGAAGTATTTCAAAAATATACATCGGAAAAAAGTGATGAGCTGAAATGACATAGCACATGTTCCAGGCTCAGAGGTGGGCTAAAGTTCCAAGTGCTGAAATCATAGCATAGACCAGGCATGTAGACAGGGGGGGGGGGGGGNCAAGCCCCCCCCCCCCCCACAAGGAAAAAGTAAATAGAGGAAAGGAGAGACGGAAAGAGAAGACACAAGATGGGAAAGTGCGAGAAAGAAGAAGTTTGAGACCGTCGGAGATATTTATCTCTTTCAATGTAGTTAGCAACTTTTCTAAACCAGCGAATTCCCGATTTTTTTCGATTTTAGTTTCTTACTGGCAGATAAACAACATCTTCAACAACACGCTTATGCAGCTGACTCAAAACTGTCAAAAATCGAGATACGCACTTCTGCACTTTCACCATCCTTATATACCTTTGTTGTTATTTATGGATTTTTCCATCCATTGTTTCCACGATTTTCCGTATAAATTTTGGGTCAACTGCCAATTTGTAAGTGGCGAGGTTGGATGTACCGTGTTGGTGTTTGATATTTTAGTCATTGCAGAACCAATTAAGAAGTGGCCTGGAATGGGTGGTTGACATTGGCCAAAAAGGTCTTAAATTTATGATGGCTTCTATTTCCTGAATAAGAGATGATGTCACTACTTCAGTACTATAAGTAACCTGTACTGCCGTGCTAAGAATAATGCTGTATGAGCTTCCAGAAGTTGCCACATTTCCTTTAACAAAAAGAAAATTTACTGGGAAAATTGTGAAAGTTTTATTTAAAAGTTTTCAGACAATTTTTGTTCTTAATTTATTCTAAAATATCTGCAAATTTCAAAGGCAAATATGAATAAGTTTTCTCAAAATTATGTGTTTTAACTGGGGAAATTTGGCAACTCTAGAATGTTCATATAGCGTTCTTTCTTAGCACGGCAGTGTGCAGTGTGGAGTCAAAATCGAACAAACACTCAAAATCACGATTAAGGCCTATGCTTTGATCGATCTGATTTTTGATGTGTGATTCCCTAGCATCTGACGCACCGTTCTTAGGAATTTCAGCCTCTGGAATGATTTTTCTTCTGTGTGGGAGGAATTTTTGTTTATGAGATATCTGCATATATCTGTTTTAAAATCGATCCATTTTACACATGATGAAAAATCGACCAGCTCCAACATTTCGAAAATTATTTACCCTACAGAGCCTAGACTTCATGGACCTGTGGGAGACACCTTAGTAGAAATAAAACTCCTGGAGGGCTGGAAAATTACGTCTGTTTTCCTTTATGACCTACGTTTTACGAGATATTCACATTTTTGCATGCTTCCAGTCGGGCTGTTTAACCTTGGGTCACTCTGTATTCTGTTAGATGCCCTTGTCATTTGTGTTTTGTGACAATGGAAAAACAAGTTTGCGGGAAGTTAAATAATAGATACATATTTAATCTTCATTGATACAATAGTACAGGAATAATACAATTGGGTACACATAATATTAAAATCAATCAATATAATAAAAATAAATTCATCTGTTGACTATGAGAGGATACAAAAATAAACTTAAGATGAGGCCCGTTACTTAAAGTAGAGTTATCACATACATCTGTTTTTAACAAGAGAAAAAAACTCAAATGAATACAAGGTATCAATCCAAGTTTGACTACGGCTTAAGCTAAGCAGTTACTCACACAGAAAATCGCTAAAATGTAAGTTGCTTTTTTACATAGAAAGAAGGAAATGGAAGAAAAGAGGTGAAAATTGAACAAAACTAGGAAGATATTAAAATGGTATGAGCATTGGATGCCATTGGACAGAACAAATCTAAATAAAAAGGTAGTTTTGAAAAAGCACGAACGGACTAAAACACTGTAATGGACCAAACGTTCTTTTTAAAATTCATTGTTTAGATGTCCCTATCCTACTACTCTGCTGTGGTAAGGAAATAAGCCCTATGGGCATTCGAATGTTCCCTAATTTTCTCTCATTAAATATTTATTTTGGAAGAAAGTTAAGAATATTTTTTCTTGAAACTTTAAGACACTTCAGAGCACTTGACAAACAAAATTCACTGAAAAATCAAAGGAAAAATACTTTCAAATTTTTCAGACAAATCTTAATTAGTCGAAAGCAATTGGGCGACGTCTGAAGGCTTAAAAGGCGTATTTTCTCAGCAAGGCAGGCAGAACTTGCTTCCAGTTTAAAAGAAAGATTAATCTGTCCTAAACTTTGAGCAAAAAAAAAAGAAAAGAACCATCTATTGGTACTTCTTCAATGGGTAGGAAAAAATTGCGGGACGAAAACTAGCAAATTCATGACTCATTACATGCATGTGACTGATAGTAAGTTGGTCAAAGAATAAAAAGTGATTCAATTTGCACTTTAACTGTTTAGGAAATCAAATCTTTCAGCGTTGTTAAGGATACACAAAAAACAAAACCAGTTTTTTCTATTGATTTTGGTAAAATCGGTTCAGTGTGTGTGCATTCGTTTACTTTTGATGAGGTTAGTTAGAACTGAATTGGGTATCGGGCAGATTTTTAAATAGGATTTGTGCAAGAATAAAAGTTAACGTCTAGAATCATATTCGAGTCTTTGGTTGCCCCTATCAAATAATTTAATTTTAATTAATTCATTATAGTTAATTGTATTACATTTTTAGAGAGCTGATGAAAATGGTGGAGACATTGCAAAAGTTTCGAAAGACATTAGAATGTTACTTAATGGCAGAGGCAATTTTCACAAGTTGGTGTTATTCCTCCATTTAACCCCGTATCAAATAATGAACGTTACAAAACCCAGTATTGCCAAATTTTAAAGATAAAAGACTGATTTAAAAAAATGTGCATTGTATTTACGATGAATAAAATGCTATGACAGATTCAAAAGAAAGTTATGATTGTAAAATTCTGATTAATGGCCGCAGAGTTTGGAGGATAATTAACTCGAACCCTAAAATATAAAAAACGATAAAATGCAAAACTAGGCATACAGAAACAAATATAAATATCCCTTCAGTAAACAAAAAGAAAAAGTTGCGCTTGATAAGATAAGAGGGTGCTGATGAGAGCATCACAAAGGAGTATTTTTTGCTATGTTAGTGTAACCTCAAATGCGCAAAAAACTGGCATCAGTCGGTTGTCAGACTTGAGTCGCAGATTGTTCTTTTACAATATTGCACACTAATTCCGTAATAAAGACAGTAAAAACTTAAAATGAAAGTTGGCATTGAAAATAATCAACTTAATTAGGTCGCAGGGAAATAAATGAACACTTGTAAACAACATTAAATAGAAAATAATACAAACTCAAAGTTTTGAATGCAAATAAATTTGCAAAACACTGGAGAGAAAACAGTAAGAATGGCGTAATAAATATTTCTACAATCAATGGCTAAATTTTGAAACGATGCATTGCAATAGCGATACTATAAAAATTTGCTTATACTTCGTTTCTTTAAAACGGAAATGAGATGACTCTGCCAGCGGAAATTTTGACACTAAACAATTCGAACAGAGAAATTCCTATAGAAAAAACTATTATAATTAGTTTTCCAATCATGAAAAGTGTTATAACGAGTCAGCAATTTCATAAATTGAGATAAATAGTTAGCAAGTTTGGGCATTGATAAATCGTGCGAGTTCTTCTTCCCTCAGGGTTTGAAAAAAGAAACAATAAAAGAGAGATTTAAGGAAACAGCTTTTGCTAAAAATGTTCAGGATTACAGGTTGGCCGAGTCCTTTTTTTGGATCCAGAAACAAGTTGGAACAAAGAGTAATATGCCAAACAATAGCACTGCACCTGGAGCTTGGCTTAAATCACAAAAAAAGTTGAGATTTCAGATAGCCATCAAGAGTTTAATTTCAGTCTCTAATTTACACATATCTGCTCTTTTATTCATCTGCCCGATTTTTTTTTCCTTCCGAAGATAGACTGCACATCAAATTCCAGTTTTTTACTAAGGAAAAAGAAAGAAAAACCTACTAAAACTGCGTTGATAAACAGATTAAGGTCCTAATTGTTCACTAAACACAGACGAGAGGAAAAATACCTAAAAAAATCAGCAAAAGCCATTTAACGCAATGTATCATAATGAAAAATCAATTAATTTATAAAAAAGTTTCGCTTCATCGGCTTACTTCTTGCATTTTCTTGGCGCAAAAAAATACCGATGAATTTCACTACATTCTTCTTTTGTTTGAATAAACCTGCTCAATCGTTTTTTGTACATGCAAAACAAATATGCACCAATTCATTATTTAAAAACATAAAAAACAGAAATATATCGTTAGAAACTGCCTTGACCAGATACTGAAAGAACACACAAAATTAATTGATTTCCATGAAGAAATTTGATCTGAACAGATAGTTACACTCAATTTCTAAACAGGGAAAAAACTTAAAAGCACTGAGTAAAAATTAATACGAACTGAAAAAAGAGAGCTATGTCTACCATACAGCCAAATTATTAAATTTTTTTATATTCATCTATTTTCTGAAAGCGCCTGAATTCTCTCACCTTGAGGACTTAATATTGGTGATTTTCTTCACATGTTGGTCTTAATTTTATGAAAAAAAATATTATTCTTAGACTAAAAGTGTTGCTTCAGATGAGAGGGACCTTATCTTCTGAGAAAAAAATTTCCTTATCTCTCTTCAAATACACTAAGGAAAAAAATCCAGAAATCTCAGTGGAAGTTTGATCCTAAAAGCTTAAAAATTTAGGGAAGTAAGAGTCATTAAGCTCCAAGACAAAGATTCTTGGATGGTAGAAATATACGGTTTAAGTTTTTGAGAAAAGTTAAGGAAAATTTGCAGCTGGAAGATACGGTCCCTTTTCACAGATCTGGTCATAATTTTACCTATGACAGCATCTGATGGCACAAAAAATATTAAAATTGTCAACCCTTCATTAGACTTTAATTTTGAAAATTTACTCTTTAATGTAACTTTCAGATGAGAATTGAGCAATAAAACCAAAGAAATCCATTGCCTTATAGAGAATTTAAAAATCACCTCTTCAGTTCTGAAATTTGATGGATGGGATTTCAACTGGGACCAACTGATGTGGATTTTTTTAGAGTTAATTTACTTATTTTGCACCTTGAAGCTCGTTTCAGCAGTTTTACTAAAATTTTAACGACTTTACAAGTAAACTGGAAAAAAAGTATCATACATTGTGGAAAATAACGGACTATTTTGGCACGTAACTGAGAATAAATTCATAAATTCCCAATATTTGTTTGATCGATAATCTTTCTTACTATGTGAATGAATTTTTTTCGACAGTTAGTCCTGTAGGACTTAGCAGTGCTTTATTGAAAACAATAGGATATGACTTCCATGAGCAGAAATAGATAAGTAATTATTTTATATGATAGAACTTGTACCTACTCCAAGCTGATGACTTTTATGTACCCATAGAAATAAAATGAAAAATAAATAAAAATTAAAATCTTGTCAACATTTAAAACAAAGTTCTGCTACTAAAACAGTTCGAAACAGGTTCTGCGTTCTTGAAATATCTTTTGAAGATAAATTGACGAACGATAAATTCAATTCATTTAATTCCAAATTTACTGGGAAAGGAGTTATATTTAAAGTCTCATCTTAAGATGGCTGTGAAAAATAAAAATGCAGACGGTTAGCATAGTGTTGAGCCATGGATTCAAAGATACACTTCACGTTTTTTCAAAGATGTGAGCTGAAGGCCTTTCGCAAGCATTTGTGCTTCGAAATCTTTGTCTTCTTCTTTGTACCTGCAAAAAGAAAAAAATCTTGATGAAGGAGTACATATTTTGGCACTGCAAAAAAATATGACTGTTGATCAGAGTTCTGCCTTCCCCCTAAAATTTTATGTGCCACCCTGGCCGGAAAGCCCAATTTTTAGGAGCCAAATTAAATTTTTGCATATGTGTCATGACGCATGAAATTAGCCACCACACCGCATATAGAGCGTTGAGAGCACAACTGCTGCTTTGCGATCGCGAGTTCAAGAAAAATTGACAGGATGCATCAACTTTTTAGGTGCCTTGATGACCCAGACTCTAGTTACTGGGTGGCAAAGCCTGATTGGCTGCACCCAAGGAAGGTATCGCACTGATGTTAATAATTGGCGGAAGGACAAATTAGTGACTAGCCATGTTTTGAGTCTATAACTGCGTCTCACAGGTAAATAAAATTTGCTTATAAATATAATACAAAGTAAAATGCAAGTTCTATTGTATTATTAGGAATAATTGAGTAATTCTTCCTTCCTGAACACATTCAATTGGTACATATTTTCAGAATTTAAATATTCTGTTTACGCCTTCTGGGTGACAAGCTGGAACCCAATAACTTTGGGATCAAGATATATCAATTTTTAACAAAGCTGAAGTTCAAGGTAGAGTGAAAAAATTGTTTAAGATCATTGTTGGGAAAAAGATAGGCAGAGACAAAAATTGCACAAACTGAAAAGCACTGCGATGGCTACTTGGAGACAAGCTGACGATTTCAAAAAAAGCTGAAAAGGAGAAATGTAAAAGCTTACATGCAGAACTCTATGAAATAATAATACAACAGTTTGAAGCTGGTCTTCTTGGATACTGTGTGGGATTTTCGATTCAACCGATCTATCTTCTGTAGAATTTAGAAAGAAGAACAAAAGTGCCACTGATTATACCTAAAGTCAACTCAAGAGTTCGTAAAAATCTCTAATGTTAACGTGGTTTCACAGAATCTTCCTTGATTTTCCCTCTGTCGGCAGACTTTTTTGTATAAATTTCAAGCTATAGAGGCTTCTTTTCCTTCGAAAAAATAACACATCTTCATTACATGGAGATACACTGTTTCACACTTTAGCCATGGAAATGATGCTTGATCGCTCCACACAGAATTGCAAGCCTACTGATGTATTCAGCTCTATCTTTGTACTCAGAACTTAGTTGATGTTAGAAGACAACTCTCCTATCCTCATGTGGTGCTCGTTCATTACAGCCTAAAGTACGCGCTTTTTCCAACTTTGGAATTGGCTTCAGAGCTAATCAGTGGCACCATCGATTTTCTTGTAAAATTTGGCATGGGAATCGATGGATGGATTGAGAATCCAAGCAGCACAGAGGTCTTCATTGAGGTGAACAAAGACGTGTATTTTCGTTGATGATTGGTCGGCCAAAAATGCCGCGATAATGGCGGCGAGATCATAAATGCGTTGGCAAACATTTGAGGTTAGACTTTTGAAATTGATGCTGGTCGGATGCCATCATTTTTGTCAGGTCATTTCTAAACCCTACTTTTTGTAGGGTTATATTTTGGCTTCAACGTTTGCAAAAATTCCACCTTCTATCTATCTAGTGAGACCCGATGTTGTCCTAAAAAATTATGATCGCGTCAAAACAAAATACGAAACCACATGATCCACCTATTTCGGTTCGACCGCTCATCAACGAAAATACGCTTATGATCTAGTTTTAGTCAGCTGACAGTTATTGGAAGTGGAACACATAAAAAATAAAAAAATTATTGTAATAGCAAAGAGAAAAACAATAAATAAATGTGACTGTCTGTAAAGAGGGACCTTGGTTGATGAGGACTTGAGATTAAGTCATTGATGCTAGAACTTGGAGCATTCTACAGACATTTGGAGTCAAAAATCGTCCGAAACTGTTGAATCATACTGGAATTGTGGTAGTTGGAAGTTTTCAATTCAAAAAGCATACTTCACGGTTCTAAAAGCGAAGTTTTTCATTTGCAAAACGCAGTTTTTTTGTTCACAAAACGTAGATTTTAGTTCAAATGACAAGGTTTCTAAAAAAAGCTCTCTAATTCCGATCTGCCATGTTCTAAGTACAAAAGTCTTGGATTGTACTGCATTTTTACGTCCCCTCCTGGCACAGTAATAAACTGAACCACTTGCAGTATATTCTCCAGGACACGAATTGAGTTTCTTGACAAAATCACAAAATCTAATTATTCAATCTACATTGACAAAAAAATTGTCTCGGTGGACAAAGGTACCTTTTTTCATGAACAGTGATGAGAAACAATTTCAAAATGAAACACCCACGTCCACTCTCCCACGAACAAAAAAATAATTGCAAAGAATAGCATGGAGCGATTAATACGAGATTTTTTGCAATTTTTTAAAAAAATTTTTTCCAAGCTGAGCTTGAGCTTTTAATAAAGTTGCACTGGAAACATTTTCGTCTAGTAAAACTGACTGAGTTTTTTTATCATAAGATTCCAAAATAAAGGTGGAAGAAAGGGTGCCGGCAAAAGTTTCTTTGCCTTTAAGAACTGTTGAAGTAAAAGCAAAAGATTAGAAAAAAATTTCTTAGAACTTCCGGTTATTTCTCAAAAAATTGAGTTTGCAAGAACAGAGAAATATTAGAAAACTTTTAACGAAGATGACATGAGGGTATTCAATATGTACATAGTTTAAAATTATTGGAACAGTTTAGAGTGGTGCTTACCAAAGACGAAGAAGAGCAAGATTGAATTTTAAAGGTGCGTTACTCAGTTCTCTTAGTAATGTGTACAAAACCTATCGAGGAGACTTGAGGGAAAAGTTAGGGATGAAAACTTTTTACAGATTTAGTAGTTGTTAGACGTAAGTTGAGAGCTTGGATTATGTACAATTAGTCAAACTTACAATACAGAAGATTGAAAATATTGACTATACAGTCATGCGTAAAATTAGAACGAAAGTACTTTGTGTTTCAAAGAGGAAAAAATCGTGAAGTAGCTGATTGTTAGGCTAGCTTGAAAAATTTTGCCGATCTCTCAGTAGATGGATTCTTGGGACCCATCAGGGAAAATATTTCCTGACTTCTTCACATTTACCTCAAGTAAAAAAACAAAACAATTCTTTAACTTTTCCGATCACTATCAACTGAGGAAATAAACATCAAGTTACTGCCCCGATAGCTGTTATGATAACTGCCATTGGTATTAGAAATTGATCCCACGGTCATTAATTTAAAAGATAACATATTTCCAAAATCTAATACCTTAAATCCATTACCTAAAAATATGCACTTTGAAAAAAATAAAGGATTAGAAGTCACCTCGAACAGATTAATTTTAATATTGAACTCAAAGATATTCGTTTATCTCATCGCAATCACCAATTTCCTAAAATCTGACGTGCATAACCTGGGAAGATGCAATTTGAAAATCATTGAGATTTAAAGATCACTATGTATGTATTCCAAAGTCCAAACTAAACCAAACCTACAAAATTCTCTATCCTGCGGTGCTGAGTAAAAACGCCGTATGAGCCTGAAGACGTTGCCATATTTCCTTCGATTGAATGATATTTCACCGGGAAAATTCTAATTACTTTTTTTCCAATTCTTCAGATAATTTTTTTTCTCACTTTAAACTTGAATACCTAAAAGTTCAGAGAGAAGGCATGCTTACCTTTCTTTAAGAAATTATTTTTTCGGGGAAAATTGGGCAACATTCGAATGCTCATACGACGTTCTTCTTAAGAGCAGTATTGAAGACTTGTTCAAGTTTTAAGTGACGGTTGTAAGTGGGGTTTGAGCTGATTTATTTATTATTATTATGAGCTGAACATTATTATTAGGTTCATTTATTATTATTATATTTTATATAACATAATTAATTGCAAATGTATTTAAAATATTAGTCATTGCACAGTATTTATAACCGAAGGTAGCACAGTTCAGCTGATACATCTCAGATCCGTCTATTAACGCTTTTTACTTTGAGTCTCCGCATTTAAATTTGTTTCTGAATTTTCCCAGCAGTTGAGAAAATAAATTCTCAATTAAAAATTTTGAAAAATATAAATTCTCTCCGTTTCGTCAATTATTTCTCCTGGTGTCTGTGTCACTGTGAAAAGGGTCTTAGTCAGATAAGATTATTTGCTTCCGATGATCTGAATCAAATTGTTAGAGGGAAATTGTCATGAAAAATTCACATAAAAAACTCAAATAAATACAAAAAAAAGGACCACTTTAAAAAATAAGAGAAATTTTAAATGAGTCTAAACCAGCTCAATCCTTATCCAGTCCACTGTATTATGATGGTCTGCATTGAATGCAGAAGGTAAAAAAGAACTTTCAGAAAATGGAGGAGGATGCTTTCGAAACAAACAAGTGTGAAAGACCCGCATAATAGGATGCATGCATGTATCAAAATTTCAGGTAAAGATACAATTCTTTTTCAAGTGGAATTATGGTAAATATTCAGCAGACATACGCAAAATTGCAGATGTTCGGCAAACCCTGATGAAATACCGATTTCACTATTAGTTCAAAGAAGAAGAAAAAAGATTTATGGTTGTTAACCCAATACAGTCATCTTAACGCAAAAAATCTATGTTGGAAAATAGAAATTAGCGCCACAATTATTCCTCCTTATGATATCGCATTTACAAGGTCAAACAGAATAATCACTTCTGCACTTCAGAAAGTCTCAACTCCATGAGTACTTTCAAAAGGTATCTACAAAAGATAAATGACCAAAGTATGTCTGTTGCGCTCGAAGATCCATTCCTTTGCTCCAAAGACAACCATTATTTTGGCAAAATTCGCTCCATACTGATAGCTCAAGTTGAATAGCCATAGGTCAAAATTTTCTCTCCTACATTTTGTTTTTTTATTACAGTGAGGTGAGCTAATCGTAGGTGTAGATTTTTCACAAAATATTCTTGTAATATTATCTGATCCATCAAGAAAAAAAAAAAAAAAAACACCAATAATCAATGAGGCAGGCAGTTAAAATTTTTAAATATTCCCAATAAAGTGAACAAAGACAAACATTGGATGCATTTATTAGTGGATTAAATTTTGCAATTAGGAGCTGCAATTTCTGGCTCAGTTCAGAAACAACGTATTTACCATTAGTTTCTCCATGCACAAGAGTGTTTTTACGGATGAGCCAGAAATTATAGTTCTGAATTGCAAAATGTAGTCAGTGTTTCACTATTGGGGTTTTATATAAAAATATAATGAACGCATTCAAAATTTCCAAATTCATAAAGATTTCTAAATCAGTACAGCACCCACAAAATACCCACTTACCCAAATTTGAAAAAAAAAAAAAAAAAAAAAAAAAAAAAAAAAAAAAAAAGCACTTTCAAAGTACCTTCACAATTATTCCTTTTTTTTTTCTCTAAGCTCAGTTTAAGCAAACTTCTTGCCATACATCACCTACATCAATTATTAAAATAACAGGGCAGTTGAGTCTACAAAATTACAAACATGCAAAGCTAGCACAGGCAAGGCAAGGAAAGAAACGAAAGGGCTAGGGATTGTGAGCAATGAGAAGAAAATATACAAAGAACCAAAGGAGAATTTGGGAGACAACTAGAGGATCAGCAAAGGAGAATGATGAGGGGAATACAGGTTCAGAAGGTTGCGGGCACCTTTGTCTATCAGCCTCCATGAGGGCGATGAGTGAGTCGCGCCTCTCTACGATCTCGAGCATTTCACGGAGGATGCGCCCCTCTTTTGCTACATCTTCTTCCGTCTTGCTGGCCTCTGGAAGAATTGAGAGGAAACCTTGAATTAGAGACATGAATTCAAAAGTGGAGAGAATTTTTTGGTGAACATTTTCTAGTCCAATGCTTCTGACAATTTGATGGTGAAGCTAAAAAATTTCTCCATTTAGTTACTGGCTTCTATTCTGGAATGCCCTCTTTTGTTTGTTCTTAATTTATGTGTCTATTTTACTTTTTTTTTTTTTTTTTTTTTTTTTCTTCCTTCCATCTTTTTTTTGTAGCTGATAAATTTGCAGTTAACATTGAGAAAAGAAATTTTATTGCACCAATGTAAATTTTATCAAAGGAGTGATTTTTTCCACAAAAGGTTCAGAAAATGAGAATTAACGTCTTTCAGAAGGCTTTCCTGGTATCCAAAAAGATTAGTATTTCACTTATTTTTTTGGCCAATGGCAATTGTTGCAAGTGTCTTGAAAATTCAAACCCTGAACATGGCAGATGAAAATTTCAAGAAGGTGTCCTGAAAAATCCATTTTCCTAAAAAGCTTTTTCTTATGACTGCATTTTTTTAAGAGCATTATTTTAAAATTGTATTTATTTAGCAGCATTATTATAAAACTGCATTTCTTGAAAAATCCTTTTCTTAAAACTGAGTTTTTTTGAACAGCTTGTTCTCAAATCTGCGTTTTTTTGAGGCTGCAATTTTTTAAATAGCAATTTCTTATGACTTCTTTCATTAAAACTGCAAACATTAGATTTCCATGCTCATGTTTAGTACATTTTTCGGCTTTTGTCATCCCAAAATCTTAGTAGAACGCTCCTAACATCATGTCACACTAGGAGTCAAACTGCTGGAACTTGATTAAGAGAAACTGTACACCCCAAAAGCTATTTTTTAGGGCTGTGCGAGCCTGGTTTTTCGGATTCGAGCCGAGTTCGAGTATTTTTTCATTAAGTCGAGCCGAGTTCGAGCTTTTTCGAGCTTTGAAAATGGCCCTCAAGCCGAGTCGAGCTCGAGTCGAGTTCGAGTAATTTCGAGTTTTAAAACGTGATTTAATCTATTTTCTACAACAAATAATCCCAAACAAGACTCATAATATGATATTAATAATTATTGACGATGACACACTAGGAAGGATTTACACTAAAATTACAAAATGTTTGGCAGTTACACGTTAAAATAACTTCCCGCGGTTTAATTTGAAAAGGGGACCAAACTTGGCAAGAAGCGGCGTGGCGCGGCGTAGGTACATCAAAGGAACTTCGGGCGGCATAAGTGAAGGCTTTAGAGCCCATTTATGCACGCGATTTTAAACTACACGGGAAGCTATGGAGCCGTTTATGCGCGCGACAGCAAATTGCGGCGGCAAAACTGCCGCGGCGATTTCTAGATCATGTCGCTTGTAGTTAGAAACCGCCCGGCGATTTCCTGCCGCCCGCGGTTTGTAACTACACGGAGTTATATGAGCGCATTTATGCGCGCGACAAGTTTCGGCGATCGCCGCTTGGAATTGAACTTCTCGAGCACGTGTTTTGGACCTTTTGCGCTCCAGAAAAACGGTGTCGCGGCGGCAGAAAAAAGGTGCCGCGGCGACAAAAATANTCGTGTCGCCGTATCGCCGGCGGCAGTTGTCGCCGCGACGTCTTTTGGAATCGCGCGATCCATATTTTTGTAGCCGCAGCACCATTTTCTGCCGCCACTACACCGTTTTTCTGGAGCGCAAAAGGTCCAAAACACGTGCTCTCTTTCAGTTTTCCGAGCGGCGGTCGCCGCCGCAGGTTGAAATTTGTCGCGCGCATAAATGCGCTCATATGACTCCGTGCAGTTACAAACCGCGGGCGGCAGGAAATCGCCGGGCGGTAGCGTGTTGGCGCTGCGGATGGTAGAAATTTGCCGACAAGACTCTGATGTTATTCAATCGTTAAATTATGGCACAACTAACAATAGTTTAAGTATGATTGAAATATTTGGAAGTTGGACTCTTTCGGCGTTTCCGGCTCAGAAAAACTCGAAATACTCGAAAAAACTCGTGTTGTTGACACTCGAGCCGAGTTCGAGTACTCGCTCGAACCTAACCTAACTTTCGAGCCGAGTCCAGTACTCGATACTCGGCTCGACTCGACTCGAAATTCGAGTACTCGCACAGCCCTACTATTTTTCAAAGTTCATCACAAAAATCCTGCATGTCCGTATCTTTTCAAGGCAAATTCGTTTATTATCAGCATTTTTGTACTCAACTTAAAATCTCAGGGTTGCCACAGAATTTAGAAAATGAAATTCCCTGACATTTCCCTGATTTCCCTTGCATATTTTGGTTAAATTCCCTGACAATTGAATGAGTGACGGGTGGTTAAGAAGACATAATTAAAAACAGTTTTTACGGTATTCTTTAACAGTGGCAACTCTGAAATCAGTCATTGATAATGAATTTGTATTAATTCCTTACAATAAACAACCCAAATTCTCCAAATTTCAAGGATATATGAGGTCTTGAGAATCAAAAAGAAATTAAAGTACACTCAAGGATTTTCTCAAACTTCATACTAGCTGCTGATAAAAATGTGCCTCTCTTTGTTACCAACATTCAGGAGTGAGAAACCCATCTTACCATCCTTTGCCATGCTGTCGCGCAGTTCTTGTTGGAGTCTAGCATGCCTATCCTCCAACTCCATTTCTTGCGCTTGGACCATGAGCTCTTTCTCGTACCGCCTCAGCTCGCTACCTTCACGCATGAGCTCGAACCATTCTTTCAGGAGCTCTGGTTCTTCTTTCATCACAGCATCTGAGATTCATAAGAAAAGAATAATTAAATCCAATTGATTAAGAGCTTAACTTGGTGTTTTTACATTTTTCCTGGCACTAGAAAAGAAAATATAAAAAAAGGGCAGGGGAAGGGAGAAAGAGGGAGAGAAAAAAAAGAGGTCAAAAAGGGAAAGAAAAAGAGCAGAAGAGAGAAAAAAAAAAATTAAAAGTGCTCTTAAGTAGTAGATGCATATACATTGTTGAGCCAGAGAATCAAGATCATACGGATAAGGCTTAGGAAGAGGCAACAGATTGATATTTTCTTTTCAAAAAAAGAAAATGAAAATAGGGACTGTTTTGAGGTCACACGGGAGCCAATTAATCTTTGCCAACAATATAATGTCCGTAAAATAAATTCAGTGCACAGGAAGTGATAAGTACATTAATACAATTTTGATGTTTTCAGAATTTTGATGTTATCAAAATTTTGATACGATTGCTGAATGCTGAATAATAAATTAACTAATATTTGAAAAGGAAGGAACTTAAAATATTGAAATTTAGCTTTCAAGAGATATAACATCTCCGAAAGAACAAATTTGCAGTAACTTACCGCACTTTTCTCCCCGCAACATTTTTTCCACCTCAACGCCTCGTGCTTCTAATTCTCGTTGCTTAACTTCTAGTTCTTCTAATTGCCTCTGAATTTCATGCGCCATTCTTAATCTATCATCAGAAGAAAATCATAGATAACATTTAGATAGAATATTTACAGCATTTCTTGGATGGTAAAATCATCTGATACATTTTGATGGAATTAAATAAGTATTCTGAAAATTGAGCATAAATCAAAGGAGAAAATATCCAACATCATTACCAAATCATCGTACTTTCGCAATTGAGGAAGATGGGGATCAGAGTGAATTCTAAATATTTTTCAAGTTAAAAATATTTCAAATTTGCAGATAAACTGTACAAAGTTTACAGCGAGCAGCAATTAATCAGTTCGTAATGTCTACTGACACGGCAAAAAAAAATTCCCTGATTATTCCAGGTTTTTCCTGCTTGAGATCATAAATATTCCTTGACTTTTCATATCAACAATTTGCAGACGTAGCACTGGTAATGAAACATTTTTGGCTTTCATTTCACTGCAAATGACAGGAATATGTGAACCTTTTTCTTTGAGTATTAATCATTCAATCAACTATGATTGCGATTCCTTATTGAAAATTATTCAGGTTTTCACTACTCAGCTTGTAGCTTAGAGTATTGAGCTCCAGACCAGAGAGAGACTCAGTTTGATTGTGTGGATAGCGCCGATTTTCATTTACATACCAAAATCAAGATTTTTTAAAAATCCAATTTTTTTATAAAATTCTCTGAGTTCCCTGTTCTGATGAAACGCTCTAGTTTTTAGAAATCCCAGACTAGCAGACAAGTCAGTTATGGATACTTACATTTCCACAAAGGATGTCAATTTGGACGAACTTTTCATTTGAATTTCAACAAAAATTAGAAAAAATAAATTGTTCAAAGCTACATCGAGGGACTAACCTTTTTAAATTTTTCAAATGTGCTTGGCGGGCTAATTTCCGATTGAGGCGAGATTGCTTTTTAGAAACGCTAATATCGTTTTCATCACAGTGGGTCGTCTCATCCAGTTCAGACAGGCTTTCTTCTGCGGGGAGAACCAAGCAAAATATGAACAAACGGCAATTACAAGCGCTGCGAAAGATGTGTAGCATGCGAGGAACATTTTGCAAACAACAGAGTACTGACTAAAAAAGCACCACTTTATCCTACCTTAAATCTTTCTGGGTATGATTGAGAAATGAGTGGGAGAAACTAAACCAATGCAACTCTACTATCTCATGTTGATTTTTCTCCTTAATTACTCCTTCAGTCAACAGTTTATTTACCGACTTCTAGTTTTATCTCAGAAACTGATAAGGCAGCCCGCCAAATTTTTGGCAATATGATGTCAGAGGTAACTTGATTGACTCCATGTATTTTGCACAGCTCTTCAGGAAAAATGCACAAAATTGCATTGTGTTACGATTTGTTGCTAGTTCAAAATTTTAATTTTAAGGAGGGGAAAAATTTTTGAAGTTAAATGCTTTGTTTGGATTACGGCACCACCTGTAGGAATATTAAGACCAAAAGATGACAAATGGGGCTTTGAAAATTTGAAAATGTATCACTTTTTATACTTTTTTTTTTGTAAACTATTCATTAAAACATTGGAATTCAATAACATAAATACTTCTGAGGGAAATTTTTCTGTTGCAAATTTAGAATTTATACTTCGTAAAAAATCCTGGTTCAAAGAAATTTTAAGGCCCTATTTTTATTATTGTTATTATCTTCGAGCTAAAAAATATATAAAAATGTATCAACTTTCCAGAGCTTCAAGATAAGATAAAACTTATTGACATGAACTTCTTGTATTCAACTTTGTGAATCAATCTGCTGAAATAGGAAGCACTGTAAGATTTTGCAGTTAAATTATTTCTCTGAAAATTTGTGTAAAATTTTGTAAGAAACACAATGTTGCCACTGGTTTTCTCTAAATTCAATTCTTGTTACTTCCTTTTCGATTTTAGCTATAAACGATTTTCTCAGCGTGGTGTATCGATTCTGTTCAGCAAACCCATTCAAAGGTATCAAAGTCTCAATACAGACTTATACGACCTACTAAACCCCTTACACTTGTCAGTCGTTACCAGCAAAGTTTCAAGAATTTCTTCATTTCCCCTTTTTAGCTGTTCTTTGGCTCTGAAATTTTCCTCATGTTTGTGTAGAACGTTCACTTAGATTTCTTTTTCTAAACTACGCTGACTTTTGCGAGGCTTTGTACAAAATTTCCACTTAGAGAGATTCAAATTATGAAGAGAGCAATTCAATCACTCTGTTTACTCTCTTAAATGCCACCAGCTAAAGCAGATGAGCTGACACGCAACTCGCCAAACTCTCTGACTTTACTTGTGGAGTTCCTGCCTTTTCCAGAAGGCTGGAAACTCTGTACCTGTGGCCAATGACTAAAAATTGTAAACAAAACCATAGACAAAGAACGCAACGGGAAAATGGAGCGATACTACTAGTTGAAGCAGATCCTTGTTATAGACTATAGGGAAAAATTATGAACGAACTATAGGGTCCCTCAGAGGTTGCCTTCAGCTAGTCAATTACGTACCTCATTTGTCCATCGCAACCATCCACTTCCACCAATACTTTCGTGCTAAGAAAGAATGCTGTATGGACTTTTGAGGGTTGCCAAATTTTCCCGAATAAAGCATGGAGAAAGTTATGCATATTTTTCCTTGAAATTTTCAGATATGCATAATTAAATTGATAATAAAATCGTCTGAAAAATTGGAGGAAAAATATTCACAATTTTCCCAGTGGATTCGTCTTTTATTGAAGGAAATATGGCTATGCCTAAATGCTCATACAGCATTCTTCCTTAGCACAGCAGAATAGGATTACTTCATTTTTCCTGTGTTTCCTTTGTCTATCGCTTTGTCTATCAACTTCAAGGATCCGCTTACAGATCAAATAGACAGGGTAAATGCAGAAATGTTCTCACCAGATGGACGGTTGGTAGTGTTAAGTGGTTGAAGGGAGTAGTTGAGAGGTAGTGGAGGAACAGGCGGAGCTAGGCCGTCTATCAGTCTTCGTCTCATTTCTGATTCGCTAACGCTTTTGCTTCGTTCTAGCTCACTCGGAGGAGAAAACTTATCCTGAAAAGTTAAAAAGATACAGTTGAAAAGAGAAACTTTAAACAGTAGAATAAAAAGACCGAGAGTTGAATCCAATGGATGAGGACAGAACGGAATGGGATATTTCCTGACGAATGTTTCAATAAATCCAGGTGTCATTTTTTAATGAGGAGGAATTTGCTTGACCAATGGGCCAGAAACTGCATAGAATAGACGATCTAGTGTTGACAAAAATTATTAAGAAGAGGGGATCTAGACCTATTTTTGAATTTGCTTAGTATTTTCCTTGATCACATGATCGATTTTGCACCATAAATCATCACTCCTCTGACATAGGGACGTATCTCTACTTCTTGTGAGCCCTGTTTTCCATATAGCTTCATTCTTTTTGAGGCTTAAGTGGAAATATAGATACACCCGTACGTCAGAGGAGCGACAAAATTGGTATTGATCAACAGTACTGACCTCAGAACTGGAATCAGAATTGATCTATTCTCCATGACACATTATCAATTTTGCCATTCGATTCTTCGGAGGTCTCTGACGAAAAAATATCCCAACTAAACGAGTTTTCTGGTCATGATCTATTTTGCATCTTACAATTCAAACATTTTATGGTATCCAAGCACTATGGTACTATGGCACTATGTATGGTGTAATATAGGCACTTCACTGAAGCTGAGAGACCCTTCCATGAAACTGAGATTTGATCCTAAAACGCATTCAAACCAATAATTTTTCAGATTGAATAGATTCAGATAATTTAAATATCTGGAAATCATACTTGAAGATAACTGAAACTATCATGCTTAACAATCATACATGCAGAAACAATGAATTGATATCAACATATTCTCAAATATAATAAAAAATAAAAATGCTGCTAATCACAAATATAACTGGAAAAATGAAAACAAATATCGCCATCTTCACGCCAAAGTATCACAAGTGACACTTGTGTTTCGGTACTGTGTTGCCAGAATTCTCTAACTCATCCAATTTTAAAGGAAAAACCAATGAACAGAGTCACTTGAAGATGATACTTTTTATTTCTTTTGTCATCAAGACTGATCCTTGAAATTCTCATGAAAAAATCAGCAAAGTTTTGAAGGAAAAATTAAAACAATACCGAGATGTCCGGCAACATAGTGTCCAAGCGTAAACAGCACTTTTGATACTTTGGCCGGAAGGTGACTATGTAAGGGTTTCGAAGTCAAGTTACCAAATCAAAATGAAATAAAATCAGTTCTATACTGAATTTATTGCCATGGCAAAAACACCAACTCTGTCTAGATTAAATGTCCATAAAAAATGAACAAACTGTTTTTACTAAGAAGAGACAAGAAATAGAAGGCACACTGTCCAATTTAGGAAGGAGAGGAGGGTAAAATAAGTTGAGGAAGTCGAATACCATCTGTAAACTTCTGGCTGATGATTGAGAGAGAAATTTTTTAAAAAAAAGATGATTAAAAATTGAAGAGAAAAATATTACCAATAAAAAATAAATCTGCAAAAAATTATGAAAGTCTATAGATAATATGAAAGTGATTTCAGTACACATAAGAATGATCAACAACCTTATCAGAAAATAAAACCAGTATGAGGAACGTGTCACGTGTAGCACAAATAATACTAAATAGGTAAAAAAGGAAGGGAAAAAACATCAGAGGATAAGTTTAAAAACACTGTCTACGTTACTCTCTACAGGCACATAATAAAAAATTGGCTTACTCTCTTTTCCGAATCTAAAATTTCAGCTGACTGCAAACAAAAAAAAATGAATTTTGCTTCTTAATTAAGCTACTAGAGAAAAGAGTGTGTTAAAATTACAATCTCTTGACTGCTTCATTATGTTTTGGTTTTTATTTCTTTATTTTTCATTTTTATCAAGGAAGACAATTTACAAACGACTTAGTTCATTTTTGTGCCGTAAAAGATCCTTTAAAATCAGCAATTTTGAGCCTTGCCTGTGTCATGTTGAAACTTTGTTTCAAAACCACTAATTGAAGGATGAGAGATGAACGGGCTTAATTAGACTGCAATGTTGCAAAATTTCACAGGACAATTTATTTCTTCTTCACTTATGAAAAGTTGCAAATTTTCTTTCGCATCCTTTTAGGAATTTTGAGATTGTGATTAAGGGAAGTTTTCTTGAAAATGTTGATGCAAATCATACATCTGAAACTGGGGAAAAAATTAAATTCTGACGTTGGACTTAGAAACATTGCATTACAATCAAGCCCCTTCTGCTCTCGCCTCTGCTTTTTTTGAGCAACGGATATCAAACTGCCATGAATCGAATTATTCTTTTCATCTGTTTTTTTAAAATACTTTAGGAAGATCCATCACTTTGCTCAATACTGAGCTAAAATTTTGGCAAAAGAAAAGTTACTTTTTAATTTGATTCTCATTCAATTTTTAATGGTATATACTATTGCTGCAGACTGATTATTGAAATTGATCAACCAATAAGACAAAGAGGAAATGAAGCGATCCTGTTGGTGGAGGCAGGTGGTTCCAATGAACAAAGATGGTGAATAATAGAATAACTAACGACAAGCTACAAGAGACTTTGTAGTTGGACCATCATTTCTAACTTACTCTGAAACAACCACCTATTTCAATCGACAGAATCGCTCAATTTTCCCCTCCTCTTCATAGTCTCATTGCTTTGTCTATCAATTTCAATAATCAGCCCTACTGCAGACTGATTTTGTTATTCTTTAATGTTTGAAAATGTGATAATTTGTTTTCTTTGTAATTGTATGCCAAGCAAACTCTCCGTATCTAAAATGAACCATACATATGAAAGATAGAGAGAATGAAAGAAAGTACTTACTTTGGATTTTTCGCGACTGAGGGTATGAAGTCGCAACTTCATGAATTTATTGCTTATCGATTGGTTTGGGACTTTCTCAGAAGTTTTGGAAGGCGAGGGAGAGGGAGACTTCTTGTGGAAGAAATCTGACACAGCCTGAATGATGCTTTTCCTTCTTTCACGATCTTTCCGGTGCTTCAGATCTTTGCCATCCATCACCTGAGATATGAAAAACAAATTGGTAAAGTAATTTCCTTTTTCTTTTTTCTTCTTGAACAAATTTCATGTAAAATAATATTGTAACTACTGCATAAGCTATATGCTTTTTATTCATTTACATGAATTAAAGGAGGGGTATCGATAAGAACCCTTTTTGGCCCCCCCTGGAGGATCTTTTTTGGTCCCACCTACAATCTGGAACTTTATGCGGTTGTCTGACTGTAGGTACCTCCTAATCTTTCCTTACGTCTTTGATCCTTACAAATTATCAAGTAATTCTAGAAAATAATTTGAAAATAAAAGCATCAACAGGGAAAGACACTTAGGTCCATGGAAGCAAAGTATTTAATGAAGCATTATACTTGGATCGAGTCAAACAATTAGATTTTCAGGTTCTATCAAAGAACGCTTTTGAATGTCTTAAAAAATGAGTGGAGAGTAGTTTCATTCATTTATGTGCCAGTCAAGGCCATGGTGAAAAGTATTATAATCTGATTATTTTGCATCCTGACCGCGATAAATTAGAATTTTCAATAACTTTCCTAGAAACTATATTTTTCGAATTGGGACTTCTAACTGTCTTAACTTTGGTTTGGCTTGAAATATTTGGATTCTTTTTTTCCATCCCAAAATTTTTGTAGTACAATCCTCTTTGCTCTAGTATTCGATTCAATTCAATTTGATATGCTCCTTTTTTTACATTTTATATCTTTTAATTTATTAATCATCTCTGAGTTTTTGTGAACCAATGTCCTTATCCCTTGGACAGCCACGGACTGAGTTTAACAGACAGAAATGTACCAAGTCCCATCGAATTTGAACCAAGAAAAAGAGGTTGGAACTTTTATTCTTCCATTAGACTCATTATTTAGGATAAAGTTTAACTATTTGACCGTTTCATATAATTTTCTTGACTTTGAATTTTGATAGAGGAAAATTTCAAACTAGTTTAATTCAAAACTCATTTTATTCCAAGATGCGACTTCGTATTTTCGATAAACTCTGTGTATACGTGGGATGGTTCGGCAAAAAAAGCTTAAAGGTGGAGATTTAATTGTTAAATGGAGCAAGAAAACTGGCTGAGGTACAGAGAATCACTTTTCAGTTTTTGATACTGAAAATTTTCTGATATTCTCTAGTAAACTGGGTCAAAGTTTCAAGGCTGAGTGTCATAAATAAAAGGAAATTCAGAGTACTTTAATTTTAACCTTATTATCGTTTTCGAGGAAATCATAGTTGATAGAGGTAGGATTTGACTTGGGCTCATCAGTGAACAACGTTCTGGCTGCTAGACTTCCTTTGGATTCGCTTTGCGCCATTTTCCGAGCTGCGAATTTTTGCCGCAAGGCATTGAGTTTCTCCTCGGGACTCAGGCCCAACTGCGAATCACTCATAAGCCTGACTCGGGCTCGAGCGCTTTCTCGAACTTGCTCTGCTGTCCGCAGCAACATCTCATGGTTAAACCTTCAGAAAGAAGAGAGAGGTAGATTTAGGTATTTGAATTAATGCACAACAATATTTAATTCAGGGATTCTCTGAGGTGTTTAATGGAATGTTAGCAAGTATGGAACACTGAGTTTCCATGAGGGAGGCGTTGAATTCACTTTCGACAGGAGCAGATAAGGAAAATTGAAAAGCCTTGGGCATTTTTTTTTAAATGTTCAACAAGATGGTAGAAAAAATTTGTTTTTGGTTTGCCCTCCAAGAGTTGAGATGAAAATGGAAAATCTAACACTGTTTATGTAAAATTTAAACACTTACAAAAATTTAAAAACTTTTAAAACAAACTTTATAAACACTCACTAGCATAAAATTTTCAATTTTTTTTTTCATTTCAAGTGAGTGATTTTAAAGTTTGTTTAAAAAGTTTTTAAATTTTCGTAAATTTTTACATTTTACATACTCAACAACTTGTGTAGTGATTTAAACTCCTGTAACATTTTCTTACTAACACTGTTTGTTCCTTAGAGCATTATGGAAAACCCTTCAATTCTTACAAATCCATAATTAGTGCAAATTTGAGGCAAAACTATTCTTACAATTTGAAGAGATTTGAGGTATTGTATCATTAAGATCCATATTTTCACCATTTCTCCATTTGGTAGCCAATTTTAAATTTGTTCTAAATCAAAGGCTTTCCCAAGGTATCCACAGCCTTGAAGAGAAAATTTTGAGACTGCTCTAGGTTTTCCCAGACTAAAATAATAAAATGCTCTCACTTTTCACGGCAACAATATGCAATCGGACAACTGAAAATGTAAAATTTTTGGGATCCTCACTACTAATGACAGAAACATGTGTTGAACCTTTTTTCATCAGGTATGAATCATTCAATTCATTAGAAGTGCAATTTCTCGTTGGAAGTTATTCTTTGCTTCACTATTCAGAGTGCACCTCAAAGCATTGGACCCAGAACCAGATTAAGACTAACAATCAGTCTGATTGTGTGGACAGCTCCGATGAATTATCTCATTTTAAGTTTTACGATTTCTCAAATTTCTGGTCTTTCTCATAAAATTACCTGACCTTCCTCAACAGGCACCTTGTTGCTATGCTATTGTCAAGGGTTCAACAGCATCGGATGTCAGATTTTCATCACTGCTTTTCAGCCAAGGACCAAAAATGGACTACTCCATTATTACTTTAAATTTCCCTTAAATTAAAAGTAAAACTAAAAGCAACAACCACAAGAATTACTGTACGGGAGCAGGTTACAGTAGTAAGATAAAATAATTACCTTGGCGTGGTCATTGGGCCCTTGAGTGGTGTGTCCCCAGACTCGAACAGTGCCTTCCGGATGTCAGGACACGAAAACGCCTCTGGGTTGGTGAGCGGAGTTTCTGGTAACTTGGTCTTAGGACTCATGGGACTGCGGAAGGATGACATAGACTGCTGCCGCAGATTCAGCCGCCGCAATGGGTTCATCGCACTGACGGTCTTGGCCTCCACGGGGGTTGTGACGGCAGGGAATGCTGTCAATTTATCCTGATGAACGCTATGGCGCCTTACATCATCATGCCTCCGCATGACATTAGCAGTAATGACTAGAGAGTCCGGCCTCTTGGGCGAGGATACAATTGGTAAATCACTCACCGTTTCCCGATTTTCGATCGAAGTTGTCGACCCAACGCTCGGGCTCATGGAATTTCGGTTGCTTTTGCGCGCCTTCCGCTCTTGTGGAGACTTGCCTTCGGCTATCAGTTTGTTCATCACCATTTCGTGGATCAGGTCTTTCTGTTTCAGCCTCTCCCGCGAGATCTCCTCCAACTTGCGGGAGGTGCTCGGCGATTTAATCGGCAGGTTATTGAAACTATTAAATTCTTTAGTCGCAGGGCTGCTGCAAGTGTTGCTATTGCTGGATGGAGTGCTACTCGAATTGCTCGGCGTGCTATTGCTATCCGGGATTGTAACAGGTGTAATAGTGGCAGGACGAGCGTTCACACTCTTCGGAAGCACAGGCTGCGGTTCCTTGAACTGCGGTTTGTGACGTCGCGACTTTCTAATATCTATTGAGTCCCTTACATTGGAAAAAGGGAAAATTTTCCCTTGAAGCCTCTGCACATACTCTTCATAGGTTTTATTGCTAGTGTCCTGAGAGTCAAACGTCGATTTGATGTCTGACGATAGAGAAGTTGAATCCGTTAGACTCTTCTCCTCATTTGAGAGCTGCTTGACAGTCGTCATTTCTGACGTCGTTGTGCCTGTTTCCGTGCGGTGAGATTTATCATCTTCCACCACCTCTTCCCGGAGCGGCGTTTGAGCATTCGTTTCTGATTCAACGAGCATTACGTAAGGGTTGACTGCGACAGGGGTAGTCGCGTCTTCATCGTCTGTTTGATTGACGAATTCAACGTAGCCACTATTCCGCTTCAAACGGTCATCAGAGAGACTCGATTCCTCCTCACCAGTGTCCATAAACTCAATGTTATCGATGTTGGAGAGTATCTGCGAAACAGGGACTTCGACTTTCCCACAAACATGCGAGAAGTCGTCGTCGAACTCCTCAGTTCTGGCGATTAGGGCTGCAACACCTCTTGCATGTTTTTTATTTCGAGCTTTTTGGTTGCGGCGGAAAGTGATGTTCTTTGGATTTATTCGAAACTCAATGTCATCGATATTGTCCGAAACTGCCACGTCCTCATCCCGCGCCCAGTCTGAGAATTCAGTCTCAGTTAAGGCCGCGGCAGTTGATTCATCGCATGCAGAAACGGGTGAGGCAGGACTACTTCTACCGCTTATATTATCCTTACTGCCTCCTACTTCTGTCGAGAATAACTGACTCGTATTCGATACTTGTTTCAGAACTTGACTGCTTGCTGTTTTACTGGGTACGGTTATGATTTTGCTAAAGTTGGTCGCGACGTCCAAGTTCTCTGTGCTCCGGGACACTTCCGAGAGTTTCCCCAGGTCTTCACTAGGTTTGGCCAAGGTCAGAGGCGTAGGCGGAAGGGTAACAGTATGAAGACACACATCAGGAATAGAGACATTCACTTTATTCTGCATCGACGACTCCTTTATTAAATTGGGTTCCTCGAGCTTGGGTTCCTGGAATTTGAACTCACTCTCTGATTTCTTTGGCTTGGGCGAATCGGGCATTTGCTCACTGCCCGAGTCGTGTATTTCGACTTTGCGGAACTTGTGGATGGAATCGTCTTTGGCTTTCTCCTCGCTGCAAGACGTGTCTGAGAAGAGCGAATCGCTGTCCATGTTCTCGTCGACGATTGCCGGTTCCGAACGGTGGATATCCGGAATGGCCTCGCCTATCGGAGACTCTAACTTGGGCACCATCTCATCCGTCTCCTTTATATCTACACTATTTATTGCACATACAACACTGGGATTATTCGCTACGATTAATTGAGCGGCTTTGTTCAGACTGTCGTCACTCTCCGCAGCCGAGAGACGCTCGTTGAGTTCGTTTTTGGCGGTAACATTCGTATCACTAATAATCGGGCTAGACGTGATGAAATTGCTCAAGCTGCAAACGTGTTTGTAACTCTTGGCGTCGGCTAGGGTGGGTGGCTCTTTAAGGGTGCGTAAAGACGGTGAGCCAACTGGTGAGACGCTCAGTTTTTCCGAGCCTTGTAAGAACGCCTGCATGGATGGGCTTGGCTCCGGAGCTGGGTTTAGTAATTTTTGCTGCTCGGAAATGTGGTCGACAAAATTTTTGAAGCGCGAGTCGAGGCTGGACGCAGAGCCCGACTTCCGGACCGCGTTCGAGGGGTCCGTGCTGCCCAACAGGTATTTCTTCTTGAGCTCGAGCGAGGTTTTTGACGCGATACCTTCTGTCGATGCCGTCTTCTGGAGGAGGTAGTTCTCCCGGCGGAAGTTACCGAGAGGGGTGGGCCGTGCCATCGGGCTTTGGTTCAGATGGAGGATGATGGGTTTATCTACAGCGTTACCGTTCACGAGTTTCGGTCGCGACAGCTCGCTCAGTTTCATTTCCTTCACCTGGACGTTTTCACCGATGATGATGTCTGGGATCTCGTGCCGGGTTGGCGTGGTTTCATCCCGCTCGAACTCTGAGTCGGTGGAGATTTCTGTCGCGGAGTTCTGTTCTTCTTCTGACTCGGATTCAGAACTGTCTGTTGTGTAATCGCCAGTGGTAACCTGCAATCAAAAATAAAAACTTACAAAGGGCTTGAAAACCTCCAACAAATGAGAACAGGATCAGGGTTGCCATAGGTACTTCAGCTTTAAATTCCCTGACCTCCCTGACTTTTTTTGCTTTTCCCAGACTCCAAAATTTTCTAATTCCCTGACTATCTATTTCTGACTTCTATCTCCCTGACTTCTATCTCCCCGACATTACAGGGTTGCCACAGAATTTAGACAGTGAAATTCCCAGACATTCCCTTGATTTTCTTGACACTTTTGGTGAAATTCCCTGACAGATGGTTAAAAAGACATCATTTAGAATACTTTTCACACAAAATGTGTTGTTTGGAACGTCATACCCATTCAAGAAACCAAATAAAGGTGACGTAACGATTATGTCTTGACATTTTAGTCTTTTCGCACAAATCCAGGTTTTCCCTGAATTTTTAGAATTCCCTAACATTTACCGGTTTTCCATAACTGTAGCAACCCTGAGGAAGAAAAAAAAGTAATTTTTCAACTAAATGCTCAAAATTCTAGACAACTGCACTTACAAAGGTACTTATCAAGTCACAGAGAAGTGCAAAAAAAACCTTAATACAATTGTCAAGAAGGCTTCACAAAACAGGGATTACAAGGCAACGAAAGCAACTGATGGCTGGATTTCCAAAGCTCTAATCTTGATGAAGATTTTCTCCAAATTACCAAGCATATTCAATTTATAGACAGAAAATGGATACAAATTACAGTTAGAAAATTTCTGTGATTTAACTTCATTATTTCTTATCGTGCAAAGATTTAAACTTATGATATTGATTAGTTAAGTGCCCTCCGGAAAAATAAGGAATGCAAAAATTTTGCATCTTTCCTATTGATGTTGATGGTTACAGAGTTAAGTCATTGAAATGTTAGTGTCAACGCAAGAAAAATAGCTAAGTGACATGTTAACCTGTTACATTGGTAAAAAAACAAAACAAAAAGAGCACAATGACCTACAAACAAATGTATGCAATTATCTGTGAGATAAAAGCACTTGCACTGAGGAACACTTTTAAATGAAAAAGATACATTCAACAGCAAAACATTATGTCTTTCTCCGTAGGGAGAAAAATTCTTGTTAGATGGCACAAGTAAGTAGCAGCGTAAATACTCGTAAATAGAATTCATTGATAGACACTAATGTGATGATCAACTATTTTATTTAAATTGAAAAAAGCTAGAACAACCAAAGAAGTCTTCAATTCTAGTTTCAGATTCCTATGTATCATCATCTCCCAGGCAAATGAACAAAACTCTGTTCCAAGGTTGCCAAGTTGTCTCACACAAATCAGGTTTTACAAGAATATAATTACGCAGTTTCTGCCCAAACCTTTGCTAATTTTAGCATGTGATCAAAGGAAAAATCGGGAAAATTTTCAGTCAGAAATGCCCAACAGTCTCCCAGTAAAAGTATGATTTACGAGTAGAAATTTCGCAGCTCTAAAATGTAATTTGTATTCTTTCATCTGAGAATGATACATTATGTGACAGTCGACAGAAAAAGGAGTCACATATTGGAGAAAAAAAACAAAGACTGATCTGACAGAAAAACAGAAACAAAAAAAAAAAAAAACCCACAAAAAAGCCTTCACTCGCGATTTCTCAATAAAAATCAGGGATATACTCAGTAGTTTTTGGACAACTGTCATTTCAGTTCAGATTGATTGACGATATTAATTAATTTCTTCAGAAATTAAAATCAATTATATTGATGAACACAAGTAGAATTTTAGACAAAGCTGATGAGTGTTATAAGCAACCACTTCAAGAGTCATTTCTGCTGTAAATCACTGCAAAATTATCTACACATAAAGAAATCATTAGATCTAAGTAACAATTATATTGCTTCATCCATCAATTTGCTTTTTTTTAAAAAAAACGACATATTTTACACAAATTTTGATAAACAAAAGACCGTATTCAATCCACATCCTAATCGGAGCGTTTACTGTGAAACTATCGGTAAAATAACATCCATCTAGTTTGGGAACACAATAATTAGTGTGGGAAACAAAAGAGTGGAAATAAGAGAGGAAAGGTTGGGTTGGGTGTAGTGCTATTAGGTAGGAAGCAAACACATTCACGCACACACAAATGCACTGACACACGAATACGCAAGAAAGTACCTGATTCGAAAAAACAAAGACCCGCCAGGACTAAGTTGAAGTCAGGATTGGGCCACGGGAGATAAATCTAAGCATCTTGATTGGTAATAGAAAAACTTGAAAGAAAACGATGTAGAAAGGATAACTTGCGAGTTTCTTAACAATATTTTCGAGTGGTTCGTTGGCGGGCTCCGAAGATCCATACATAATTACCACAGAATGTAAACGTCTTGGGAAAATGTATCTTAAAGCAAGATAGGATATTTCCCAGGGGAGGCATTTTATTCCCGTTGGATCGGAAAACGAAAATTATGGTCTCTGACAAAAAACACTTCAAGGGTGAAAAAAAGTTTCAAATTAATTATTGTTTCTTGCTATCAAGTGTTTTGTCTCCGGGCGAAATTTTCTCATTTGCCTCACGGACAAATGCTGTCGAGCTAAGAAAGAACGCCATATGAGCCTTCAGACAATGCCGTATTTTCTTCGATAAAAAACGAATTAATTGGAGAAATTTTGGGGATTTTTCTCCGAAATTTTCAGACTACTTTATTTCCAATTTTATCCAAAATATTTGAAAATTTCAAGGAAAAATAATCATAACTTTTCTCGAGAGTACACGTTTTACCCGGTGAAATTTAGCAACTTTCGAATTTTTATGCAGCCCTCTTCTTCAGCACAGCAGAATAGACAGATTTCACCCGGATTGTTCTGGCTGTGTTGTATGTTGACTAACTTTTTCCCTTGTTTTCTTTTTTTTTTACAGGGTAACTGAGCGACGAAATGCCTGGAACCTTTCCATGGATTCTTCTTAAAGTTTAAAGGACATACTTACAAAAATTTCGAGACAAAACCTCAGTTAGTTTTCTTATGAAAAAAAAAAAATCAAAGGTTGAGAGGAAATTGGGTGATGTCTGATGCAGGCTGATTCTACCTAGTGTCGTTCAAAAACTCTCAATGGCATGACAAAGAGCTTGATTTCAGGGCAAAATATGTAAATTGCAACACTTCATTAAAGCGCTATGAAAAAAAAGAGAAGAGGAAAGAAATAAAAAAAAATACAGATTAAAAAATAGCTTTTGCTAAAAAGCAATGAATTTTAATTTCAAAGTGTTATAAATCTAGTTTAATTCGACAATCTCTGGGGGGTTTTTTTTTATGCCAAAATATTTGTGCATGGATGGAAATTTAAAACGATGGAAATCAAAATACACTTTGCTGCATACTGAATAAGAAGGAAATGGTACTTCTACTAAATTTAAAGGACTTGGGGGAGGGGGGGAAGAAGAAAGAGAAAATACATATACTGAGCTCTAATCAATTACGATTTCTTGAGTTTTGCTTTGATTCTTACAACGATTCAAACAGATTAAGTTCAATCCAATATTCCCTTCTTTTTCTCTCCTCTTCACTTTATTTGGACTAAGTTCAGCAAAAACGCGGCAAGTCTTAGTTGAGAAAAAAAATTAATTGAGAGTACTTTTTGGACTTTCTCCGGTCAAAATTTCAAAGTCGGAGAAAAAATATTTTCAACTCAAAAACGACCGTTAAAATTCGTCCCTAACAGTAAGTCATCCGGAGGAATCAAATTTCAAAATTTTTCTTCTCCGTTCAAACTGTCAACAACTTGGTGTGTTACAGTCAGATACAGTCCATTCATGATTCTTTTCAGGGAGAAATGAAAATCTGTACTGATTTATCAAAAATGTTGATAAAATAATTTAAAGGAAATACTTAATTTCGTCAAAAGACAAGGAGAGAAAAAGAGAATAAAACTGTTATTCTCACAATACGGCTCAAAATAGTTTTAAGAGTTATAAAGTTTTAAATGGATATGACCGAATCAGTGAACTTTAGATATAGACAATTTAAATAGACTAATAGATAGTCAAAGAACTAATGAATATTAAAATAAGTATCTTCATCAAAATATCACGTGGAACACAATATACAAATTGGAAATTTTCAACATCAACAGATGAGTAAGAAAATAGCATTTATAATTTACGATAAAAACAATCACTCCAAACGTCTGCTAAGAGAAAAAACCAGAGACCCTTTAATTTCAAAGTTTATTACAATTAACAGAAAGACAAAAGAATTTAAATTTAAACAACAGATAAAATTTCGAAAATCTCAACAAAACTCAACCCAACAATAATTCCAACAAATGAGCCATAAATTTAAACAATTCATAAAACTGAGCGTTTTCTGGATGTCATGCAGCAGAGAGAATTTATCTGCAGACGCAGTTTTAAAAAACGAAGTATGCTCCATCTAACAACTTAAAAAGATACATATTTTTTTACAACTCACACCATGGATACATCTTTCCTACTTAAGATGGATCTTCAGCACTTAGGATAATGATTCGATAATCGATTTATGAATTAGCGATTTCCGGATTTTAGGATACTTCTTCGAAAACCTCCAAGCATCACACGACGCTGTAGCCCATCAGACATTTGTACAAACAATTTAACTGATGTGATGCTCAGAGATTTTTTAAGAGATATCCAAAAATCGAAAATATACCAACTGCTTGATCGCTTTCAAATCATTCTCCAAAGCACAGCAGATTTACCTGAATGATATCCATTTGAGATTCCTCTTTGGAAGATTAAAGAAAAGCAGAAAAAAATTCTAACTATCACTTGAACTGACGTCCATCCATCACAGAGAGAGAGAATGACTAGATGTAGTTGCGGGAAAAGACATGAAAAGATAGTTCTATTAATGGTAAAGAGAGGCAGTGGCAATCTAGCAAGTTGGCAACACTGTGTTTCCTCCATTTAGATCCATTAAAAATATCGATTTTACAATAGGTAAGCTGCCTCACCAGGGACCGATTATTTTAAATTCATTTAAATTGAGGAAAAACAGTTTTGTCACCTTTCAAGAATCGCCACTGAAGGGAGAGAAACTTTAGATGAGAAATAAGGAAGGACTATGGACTCTCAACGATAAAATCTGTTGCAGATCAGGGTGTCTAGCAATTTAAAAAAAAAAATTTCCTGACATTTCCCTGACAAAAATGGCTAAAAACCCAAGAAAAAATTTACAATTCCTGACAAAAAGGGAAAATATTCCTAATTTTTTGACACGGTTGAACTGATAAGGTGTAAACAAGAATTTTTTCATGTTTTAGGGATATAATGTAATAAAAAGAGCAAAGTATATGGTGCCTAAGCTAATGCAAGATACTTTCACCTCATTGTTAAAATTTAAAAGACATCATTAAAAATACTGATAGAAGTTTTGGTATCGATTCCATTTTTCTGAAACTCGTTTCATCACCAATTTTCGATAAAACAAAATTTCTGTGTTTTTCGATTTCCCCGACGTTTCCCTGATGCAAAAATTGCTTGCAAAATAAAATTTCCTGACATGCCGAATCTTTGCAAATTCACTGATTTTTTTCCTGATTTCCCCCACACAAAAAAATCCCTGACATTTCCTGGTTTTCCCAGTCGCTAGACACCCTGCAGATTAAAGGAACAAGATCAGAAAGTTAAAACTAATTAAAAACTTAATAGGAATATTACAAGAAAAAATCGCTTTGTCTGCTGACATACAAGATGAGACATTCTCTACTTAGCAGGTCAAAGAGACCCTTTCCTAAGTATTTGCTGTGAGCAAAAGCCATCTTTGTTTCTTCCATGACTTTTTTCTACAATAGGCCGAATCCAGAAGTACACATTTGGATAAAACTGAATGGTACACACTGAATAAAAAGGGCAAAACATTGTATTCTTTTCCAGTTAGGGGGTAAAACATGAGAAAAAAGTAGGTGACGGCTAGTTGGGCTGATTTAAACTTGTCTGCGGCCCTGGGGCGATTATAAAAATTCACGTTGAAAACAAGGACTTTCGAGCCCCAAAATTATCAGGACAGGAGCGATAAAACTTGCCACAGTTAGACAGAAAAACTTATGATTACTTACGAACTAACGTTGCAAAGATTAACAATGCAATTCTAAAATAAAAATCGGTGACTAGCTCTATTGGGATCTAACTTACAGAGACTGTAATTTACAATCAAACTTAAACCTAAGAGCACATGAATTGAAAGGCCGAGAGAAGAATTCTAACTACCTTCCTCCACTTGCTTCTCAAATTAACAATGAGAATTGGGAAGAGTAGAACTATCAATGAATTCTATTTACACCATGACTGTACTCATGGAGCAGAAAAAAAAAAAGACGTTACGCACATTTCTGAGGCCAACATTCACTTGGAATAATATCCTCACGGTCAATTTTACAGGCTCCTATCACCGGTGCCAGAGGGTCAAACAGTATTCAGAAGTAGTGGAAGTTACTCATTGACGCAAGTTGGAATTTTCTTATGAACCAACAATCAACCACTGACCAGAAATCGCGAGAAATTACAGTCGTACAGACTAAAATTATGGAGGGTCCCACATACAATATTCGAAACTGCCAGCATCTGGGCTCTGTTCTCTGTTTTTTTCCTAAGCCTGCACCAAGATACAGAAAACAGATCTCAGTTTTCAAACCGTTCAACCAGCCCAAAATTAGAGTTTACCCCTGTCGAATGCAAAAGGGGAAAAATCCTAGTGAAATGACAAGCTTTTTCAATAAACAACGAACACCCAAAATTCCTAGTAATTTAGCTGACTACTTGGTAATTTTCTAGTGCTATTACATATTTTTTTGGACCGAAAAGAATAAAATCATCAAAAATACAGAAAAATTATTAGAGAGCTCCAAAAGTTGTTTTTAGAGACTTCGTTAGTTCTTTCCTCTGTTGAATCACTGCTGAATTCCAAAAATATTACTGGGACTTCCAAATTATTTTCATTATTTTTCCCTTTGAATCAAATTCCCTAGAATTCGAAGCTTTTCCAGTCGCATTGAAAATAATGTTACATTTGATACAGTGATCGACCTCTGTATCGAATTGGACGTTATCTCTCACGAAGAATCCTGCTTTCATTTCTTTAAATTTTGCAGTATTTTCTGATGAGAATGATTTCTTAGGTTCATGCATGAAGGCCATAGACCTTTGTACGCCGAAAAGTCAAAATCTGCCAAGATTTTTCATTTTCCAATGGATGCAATATACTACCTGCCAGTTCGACCACACGAACCCAGGACCCGAAGAACCAAGGACAAAGCACCCTGAGTTGCAAAGTTTTAGAAAGCACACCTATATTTACATCAAAATGCACTCATTTTTACCCTTCTCTCCTGCTTTTCTGGTGGACGGGGCGATCTTCTGCAAAAGTGTAGGCTCAGCTTCTGTCACAGATACTTTGACTTTGGCACGCCTTGGTGGGGGAGCAAAATGCTCGTTTGACGTGGGCGGTGGGTTCTGAGGTTGTATCTGCAAGGACGCCTTCAAAACATGTTCTGCCCGTTCGGGCGATGGACTTGATTTTGGATTCGGGACGGCTAAGGATGATGCTTTTTTGTTCAGCTCTGAAATGAGAGAGGTCACCGACTTCACTGAGGGGACACTGACTGGTTTTGGCGACTTTAGAAACAAATCCGGTGAGCATTTGGACTTCAATGGAACATGAGACAATGATTTAGAGTACATTATTTTGTGAGGATGCTCAGAGACTTTGATTTCATCTTGCGAGCGATTTTCAATGGTTAAGGAGGTATTTCGCACAGGTTGAAGTATGAGTGTGGACTTTTTTGGACCCACTTTCTCTTGTTTCTCGCTTTTAACTGTAGACGAGTAAATTGCATCAAAGGCTTTGGCAAGTTCCTCCGACCCTGAATTCCTTTGAACTGAGGAGCTTTTCAATTTCCCTTGTTGGGACGATAGTGAGCTTTTTCTATCATCGGTTAGATTAGAGGTGTTTTCCGTCATGAACTTGCTGAAAATACTTCTGTCGAGTTTGAAAACAGCTGTCGGTGAGGATTTGGACGATGGTTTGTCATATTTAGACTTAGCAGGGGGTGATGGGGTGGACAGCGTCGATTCTAGACTCTGAGTTTTCTCTACTTTTTTCTTGGACTTGGTTTCAGACTTTTGGTCAGATTTTTGACGGAATGATTTTTTCGAAACAGACTTGGATTTTTCACTATCCGTTGATGAGCCGCCTCGCACAACTTTAGCCCTGAGGAAGCTTTGAATTTGACTGTTCTGGTATTCTTTCCGCGATATCTCAGGCGTTAAGGATTTGGTGACGATATCTTGCGCCCAATGGTTTTTCACTTCTGGCTTGACTGACGATTTTATGCTTGTATCGACTTTTAAAGTCCCATCTTTGTCTTTAGTCTTTGAGGCACTATTGGACGTAGATTTCTTTTTCCCGGAGCCTTTGGCGATAAGTTTCTTACCTTGCTTACCAGGACTTTTCTTTGAATTCAGATTTGAAGGTTTGGATAAGGTCTCAGCCTTCGCGAAGAAGTTTTTCATCAAATTCTTTTTCTCTTCTTCAGACAGTTTAGGTCGCTCTGGTTTACAAACAGCACTGCTGGTTGGTGATTTCTGTAAGCCATTAACTTTACTGGGAGCACTTAAGTCGCTTGAAGCCGGTCCTGTTCCAACACTAACATATGAAGGTGGGGCGAAACAGCTGATTGTGTGGATAGATGAACTCTTCTTAAGTTGCTTATCTGCTGGTTTTACAAGCGAGATCTCTGTATCCGATTCTTTTCCACCTTTCTGGCCACTGAGATATTGCTTTACAATGGAGACTTTACGCTCTAAGGTGGGCGACTCAGCCGGCGTACCACTCACAGAGGGTGTGACCGAGGACGAGACACTACCAGTAGAATTTTTTGTTGAAATTTTTCTCTTTAACTGTGGGGACAGGGAAGGAGTGCTGTTTTCTGAGGTGGACTTTAAATCTGGAACACGTTTGGGAAGGGAAAATTTTGCAAATTTGGGGGCAAAAACTGGTGACCCACTGGCAGAGGGGATGGAGGAAGCCGTTCCATCACTGACAGGTTCATTTCTCTTCGATTTTTTATTCTTCTTAATAGGCGCTGACAAGTTACTTTTATCAGAAACCGACCTATCAGCTAGGTTATCTGAGGAAGTATCAATAGATGAATTTCTGGCTGCAATTTTTGCAGGACCCAAAAGCAAAGAGCACGAAATAGCGCCAGTTTTACCCACGGTTTGATGAGCTAGTTGATCTAAAGAGCTATCAACAGATAGATTTTTAGGGATTGGTTTCATCGAGCTAGACACAGAAGTCAGCAAAGGAAGGGCTTTACTCTCATTTAAATTTTGAGCATTATCACCGGATACTAAGTTATTCAAAGACAAATTTTTAGGTACCGCTGGTTTGGCATCTAGGAAAGCCGAACTAGCAGGTACAACTTCCACAGGTGATTTGTCCTCACTCGATTTTATAGATTCTGAGCGAGAAACAAGAACCGTGGGTACCGCGCTGGCGGATGAATCGATATCTCCCAATGGGAGGGCACCCTGAATAATCAGAGAGGGCATCGAGGTGGATGGTCGGAACTCTTGTTGAACTTCTGTGCCTCGCTCGAAGAGAGAAACGAGGGAAAGTGCACGATAGTTTTTGTTCGCACCTCCGACTGGCGACGAAAATCTAGCACGACGATCAACAGAGGTCGGGTAGTCGGAGGCCGAGAGAAGAGAAAGTGAGGAAGGTGAGTTATAGTATGACGAGTCGAGTGGAGAGTGGAACATTACCTCAGTGTCGGATTCAGACTCGGCGCGACCTTTCCTCTCTACGATGTCCACGCGCACCTCTTGTTTGCGCAGCTCTCGCGCTTTCAATTCCTCCTCGCCCTCAGTTGCAGTTTCACTTTCATCATCTGGAAAGGCAGATAAAAGAGATTAGAATCAAAGGGAAAATAAAAGGATATTGACTTAGTGACAACATTGTCAAACGATGATGAATCTTCAAAGACTCAATGTAATAATGAAACAATTGCAAAAAGGGTTTTTAAAATGAGGGCAATACTGCTGAAAATTTACAGCTTCATGGATGTCTGACACCTAGTTTTGTCTTCACGAACGCTAAATTATTTTTTTGCAAAGGGATGCAAGTTTCAACTACTTTATTTCAAAACTGCCAGCGATGTTTTACTCAATAATTTGGGATCTGAGGGTCAAGTAACTCTTTACATTTCTCAGGGAAATGATTTCCATTAGAAAATATGTCTCAAAACGTCTACGGTTTTTGAAAGTAACAAAAATTACTAGTTGTGTAGGGATCTAAGTAAAACCATACAATTGTTTAAACAAAAACAGGCTGTCTGCAGACTCAGCAAGAAAAAAACTCTTTGACTTTTCAAGGTTTCCCCTGACAAAAAAAAAAAGCAAAAGTCTTCAGCTTTTTGTGGCAACAATTTGGAAACTTAGAACTGAAAATGAAAAATGTTTGACATTAATTTCACTGCAAATGACAGAAACATGTGAATCTTTCTAAAGGAGTTTATCATTCCTTTGAGTAAAATTGCAATTTCTCATTGAAGACGGTTTGCCTAGTAACTGTTTCGAGTGTAATTTGGATCATAGAACCCTGACCAGACTAAGGCTCAGTTTCATAATGCGGACACCGCTGATGTTTTTCTAGTTTTCAAGTTTCAAAATTTTTGTCAATTACATTTCCTTGACTCTTTAGCTGTTAGTAAGGGGTAAAAATCTTTGAATGAACCCTCTGTATTCAGATATCAGATATAGGACCCAGATTTTTTTGATACTGCAAAACAGCTATTGCAGCTTTGACTATGTAGCAATCAGGGTGACACGCCTCAGTATTCTATTCTATACATTTGCATTCCATAGAAACATGCATTGACTTCGTGAAACCTTCCTGACAACGCTATCTATAGAAAAACCCTTCATGAAAACTCTATCTAGAGAAAAAAATCAATAAATTTACATGGCTCCAAATTTCTGAGACATCTAATTTAGATCTTTTAGGGTTTCACTTGAGGTAAGAGCAAAATGGCAATGTATAATTTCATATGGAAAAATAGGTGTACTTTCATACTCGCTACTTTCAAGTCTAGTTAGCCACTTTTTCCTGGCTTGATTCAATGTTTCATCAACATATTTTCAAAAATAATTCGACAAATAGATTTTTAGAGTACAAAAAAATGGAAAAAATTTCATTCATTGTCGCTGGAGCCTTAACATTGGGAATTTGCACCGTTTCTGTATGTGCACTAATTGCATTTGATTTACAATGGTATGTCATTGCGTGCATGATGAGTTATTTTAAACTGTGAGCATGAACATATATGCACAAATACAATCACCTTTTGATCTTAGAAAGACGGAGTGTGAAACTGCTGTTTCATGAATTAAATTAATGATACAAACTTAAACGATATGAAAAGAACATTACGAAAAAAATTAAGCAGACAATGTAAGGTCACATTAAGGTCCATTTGAGCGGATTTAACAGAATCTGTCTAACTACATCAGTTATCGCCTAATTTTTTGATGTTTCATTTTTTTAAACGGGAAACAAAACAACACTAAAACTTGCAATTCTGTACATATTTTCTTCATAATCTGAGGTAAATTCACAGGAAGTTTCAAGTAGTTAGATAGTTTTATCCTCAGTTGAAAAAATAGAACATGAGAGTAAATGCATTTAGGCTCATTCCGTAAAATTCCATCCATTTATAAAAATCCACTGCTAATTAAAAACTCATGCGTTTTGAGACTAAATGCGATGATTGATGCTGCAAAACACGAGCAAAATTTTGATGATTTTATTGAGCCGTTTAATTATCACGTATTCTCAAACAAATATACATGGTCAAAAATCCCATGCGCAAAAATGGACTTATCTTTGTTTCTGAGTTCACTTACAGCAATTAATTTGCTATTAAACTCACTTTGCATTCGGCATTTTTCTGCAGTGGTTAAGCGATTCTGAACTGTCAAATGCAAAAACTTGATTAATGAAAGCAAACGCTCGCAGATTGGTTCAGGAAAATATGATGATTTCTCTTAGCACCTGATTTTTTCTGAGACTCATTCAGAAGAACATAAATGCCCTAACTCATGGCATAAAAATGGAGCAAAAAAAAAAAATCAATATCTTTAAGGACTGATCTTCTTTCTCCAACAGAACAGTCATACAGCAATGTTAGCACACTGTTGCAACTAGGTGTGACCTTGCTATGAGGCAATATTCCTGCATTACAGTTAGGCAATAGTAAGCATAGTAAGCAATGCAGCTGCCATGCTATTACTCCTGCATTAATTAATGGGCAATATTGCGGCAACATTGCTCTGAAATCGTCGGAAAATACTCATAAAGCAATATTTTATATCTTATTACTGCAGGAAGATAAATTTTAATCATTTAAAGAAGTTATTTTATTACAATTTTCGGACAGAAAATTAAACAATATACTAGGGCTGTGCGAGCACTCGATATTCGAGCTCGAGCTCGAGCCCGGCGCCAAGCTCGAGCTCGGCTCGAAGGTTAGATTCAAGCTCGAGCTCGGCTCGAGCTCGAGCTCGGCTCGAAGGTATCGAGTTTGAGAAATGTCCAACAAAAAAATTGTTGGAGGGAATACTGAAGTAGAGTTTTCGAAATACATATTATTTCTCAGAAAATTTCCCGACCATTCAAGATTTTCGGGAGTCGTGATCTCCGCCACCGCAATTAAGCTTTGAACAATATGAACGGAAGAATTGGAGGTTATGTTATTTGTTTGTTTACAACACGGCTGGACAATTCTCCCCACCCCCACTCCTACCACATGTTTCTAAATCTAGCAGTGTTGACACGTGCGGATGAAGATTGCACTAGTATTTTCGGCTAAGCCGAGACGAACTGTCAAAATTAAAGGTACAGTCTTCGTGATAACTATGAAATTGAATATTTATTAATGAAAAATAAACACTTCAAAAGCTTTTTCAATGAAAAGAGCTTGAAGTCTGTACTACGGAAGAAAATACGGAAGGAACTATCACGAAGAGCCGTTGGTAAACCTGTCCGGCGTGTTGCCAAGTTCCATACCAAAAATTCGCGTGTAATTCTTAGTGTCATTGGTGTAAAATGTGCACGACTGTCTACGGAACAACACTGGTATCAATTTCTCCACTTTTCTCTTTGATGTCACCGCGCCGCGAGTTTTCGGATCACGCGATCACGTCAAATAAGCCGCCGCGAAGTTTTCGGTTTTTTAACTGCGGTAATGGTGCGGTAGTTTCAGGTGCGGTAATGGCTAGTTTAATTTGGAAATATTATGAAAAGATTCGGGATGAACAGAATAATAAAACTGTATCTGGTCGGTGTAAGGAACAAAAGTGTGCGAAATTGTTTAACATTCCAACGGGAGTGACAACCACTCTACGCCGGCACTTGGAGTCTAAACACCCGTTTTCCTATGCGGAACTTATTGCCGAAGAAAAGAAAAGAAAACCAAGTCAGCCAAAGAATACTCCTTCAGTTTCAAATTATTTAAACAAGAAAGTGACAGTGACACCTGAGCAGAAGAAAACGTTAGATGAGAAATTGGGTCTCATGATAGCACGTGATTATCAACCATTTTCGATCGTTGAAGATGAAGGTTTCAAAGATTTTGTCACCACATTGTACAACTACCAACTTCCAAGCAGAACAACTCTGTCAAGAACAATTATACCGAGAATTTACGATAATTTGAAAGGTCAAGTTAAGAAGATGTTGCAAGCTGTGAATGAACGAGACATATGCTTTACGACAGACATTTGGACAAGTCGAGCTAAGCATTCTTATATTACCGTAACTGCTCACTTTGTGACAGATGATTTTCAGTTAAAGACTGTTAACCTGGACACTCGCCATTTCCCTGGTAATCACACTGCGGACAATATCAGTAATGTGATTGATGAAGTTCTAAAAGAATGGGGTCTTAACATACCCAGGGAAAAGTATCTTGTTTCAGATAATGCTCCAAATATGGTTGCTGCATTTGATGAGGAATCATTCATTCGTATATATTGTTTTGATCATACTCTACAGTTGGCAATCGCTGATGCCAAGAAGAATTTTCCTACTTTACTACCCCTTTTCTCTAAATGCCAGAAAATCGTTGGAAGATATAACCATAGTGCCTTGGCAAATGGGAGACTAAGGAACAATCAAATAGCCCTCAATAAACCCCAGCATAACATGATTCAAAATGTCGAAACTAGATGGAATAGTGAGTTTTTGATGATAGAAAGATTGGTTGAGCAGAAGGAGCCTATTATGCTGGAGCTGACTGAGGCCAACGAAGATGGTCTCCTTGGACAGGAATGGCATACTCTAGAGGGCCTGACTGATCTCCTACGCCCGTTTGATGAAGCGACAACACAAATGTCCTCAGAAACGTTACCTACTTTGTCAATGGTAATCCCAGTTGTGAAAGGATTAATCCATGGTCTAGAAACATTCATAGAAGAGAGAAGAAATGGTACGACTTTTGCTAGAGGTCTTTTAAGAGCGATGAAAGTAAGATTTCCAGACTACAACTCTGACCTTTTAAATAATACCGCTGTTTTTCAACCCATTTTTCAAGACAGCCCTGATGGAGGTACATATGAAGAATTTGATCATTGACAAAGTTAAGAAACTAGCTCTGGCCAAGAGGGTAGCAATACAAGATTCTACAATAGAGGATGATACACAGATGGAAAATCCAACAGAATCAATTAGCAAGAGCAAGAGCAGATTATGGTCTTCCATTAATGAAGTAATGGATCAAAATTTAGCAGGTAAGTAAGGAATTTTTAATTTTTAATTTTTATATCTTAGTGAATTTACCAAACATCAAGAGTTTCTTTTGATCTGTTTAAACATTAATTGAGGGGCTTGGAGGACAAGGCGCATAGGTGCATTTTTTACTATTTCAAGAATTATGTGTTTAAAGTTTCAAAATTACCCACATGGAGCCTTATGGCAGAAAGTGCAAATTCACTTTTCGATGCTTTAAAATTTGATTTTAGAATTGAATTTTACATGGAATACATTGGTACAACCAGTTGTAGTTGAAATCGTTAATATCTCAATTTTTCCAAAAACTGCACTCATGCGCTTTGTCCTTCAAGGTCCTCAATTGCAAAATAATTCATAATTGAGAGAAACTTTTGGAATTTTCTTCAAATAAGTTCTAGTTATCCTAGTCGAGTTTCTAACTGTAGTGCTGAAATAAGAATTCTTAAAATTAATTCTCACCCTTTTACAGTTAATCTTAAGCTAAACAGAGATCTCTGCATTTTCAAAATTAATTTTTTTATGCAAGTGAGCACAGAGTTCTTGTCGTACAGTATGACCCATTATTTAGCTGAGGTATGAAAGTTGAAATACTGAAAATTTGTTCAAAATGCACTCTTTAATTTTTTTTCCCCCCTCCTTGTATTTCAGATGTTATTACTGAGAATCCCAATGAAGAGATAATAAAGGAAATAGAAGCATACTTGAATGAGAAAGTAACTAGAAGTAAAGATAAAGAATCTGATCCGATGGAATGGTGGAGGTGCAATAGCGGAAAGTTTCCTTCACTGGCATCTGTAGCAAAGAACTTCTTGTGTATTCTCGCTACAAGTGTGTCATCTGAGAGGGTTTGCTCAACTGCAGGGAACACTGTTTCCATTCGGCGACAGTGCTTGAGCCCCCTCACTGCGCCCATGCTAATCTTTATCCATCAGAACTATGGTAAACTTTAGATTGTACCTTTCTCAGCAATTTTATTAAATTCTTCTTGATTTTTCGATATGCTCTGTTTTGTTTGTCAATATTTTCTGATGAATAAATTTTCTCTTTGTTTCTGAAGCCATTGTATTTATTTCCCCAGTAAATATCAATTTTTATCTTATCTTTGAAAAAATCGAATTATAAAAATTGATGATCATATAAAATAGACAAGTTTAAAGGAAAATGAAGAGAGACAATGTACGTAATAAAACCGGGAAGAAATGCATCATTAAATTTTTAAAAAGCTCGGAAAAAGCTCGAGCTCGACTCGGGCTCGATCCTATTCACAAGCTCGAAAAAAGCTCGAGCTCGGCTCGAAAAAGTCTAAAAAAGCTCGAGCTCGGCTCGAACCTATAAAATCAGGCTCGCACAGCCCTACAATATACTGCCACGAATTTAATGTTAATTGCCGAAAATATCTTTTGAATAATGCCCTATATTCAGACGGATGCAATGGTGATGTTGCTACAATATTGCGGAGCGATGTTACCACACCCATGTAACAATGGCGATAAAAAATGACTCTCAAAGAGAGAACACTCTTGAAATAATCAAGTTAGGAAATGCTTTCAGTTTTTTTATATGAAAATGCCACTTTTCATTTTCACAATATTTTTATCACATTATTTTGGTAAATTATAAAAAAAAATTATATTAATCTACATAGAATCGTGGTTTTTTAAGTTGCACATTGTGCGGTTTATCATGTGTTTTATCAACGATATGATTGACACTTAATTTTACTCAAAAAGCAAAAAAGGTTCCCACTGTTAAACAGAAGTTTTACATTTTTTACAAAAACCAAATTTAATATTTGATGTTACCAGGGTCATTTCCGTGTTGGGGTGGTCCCCTCGTTAAAGGAATGTAAACTTCACCACAAAATAAAGAAAAAAACACTATTACAGTCAGCTCTTTTGTGAGCGAGATTAAAAACAGAGGTAAATTTTTCCCCTGAACAGACTCACCTTCACTATCATACTCCTGCGTGCTGTACCTGCCCTGGGAATCGTCTGACTCGTGGGCGCTCTCGCTATCTTCACCATCCTCCTCTTTCGCTGTTGTTCCTGGACTCTTCCCAGACTTGTGGTTCGAGTAACGACGTGTCCAGTCCTCGGCCAGGCGGCGAGTTTCGTCCGCAGTGAGCGGGACGTCAAGTGCCTCTGCAAAACCCTCTTGATCATCATCTTCAGAGTCATCTTCCGATTCGGAGAGGTCCGACAGTTCTTCGCTGGAGCCGATCTCTCCGTCGCCGGTCGATGCTCCAAAGTTGCGGTCTGTCCATTCGTCTTCATCCATTTCACTCGGGATCGCTTCACCATCTTCTTCTGCGTCCGGATCAAGATTTTCGAACTGGAATTTTGAGGGAGGTTTTATTCATTTAGTTTAGGATTTACAAAGGAAATAAAAAAATTTACTCAGGAGTAAACACATAATTAAAATGAAATTTGTGAAGTGTGAATTTATCTGTATATTGGATTATGATGTGTAGAAGAAAATTTTTAATTATGAAAACTTAAAAATAAGTTTTAAATTTTGAGATTTTCAACTTAAGATTTCAGAATTTTTAATTTATAATATTTTGATCTCTAAAACTTCTGACCTTAAATATTAACACTGTTATTTAACCAGATAAATACAAAAGTAATCTTTATAAACCTTCAAAAAGAGAGGGAGAGAGGGGAAAAAAATCCATTTTATTTTACTCATCAACCCTTGTCTCTAGGAATGAGGTGGAAGGTTGAAAGTCGTTTTTTATGCCTAAAATTCCTGTGGGCTGATTGCAGAGATTGGTAGACGAAGCTACAGAAAAAAAGACAATAGGAAAATGGAGCAATCCTATTGGTTGAGATGGGTGGTTGTTATAGACAAGGGGAGGAAATGATGGACTAACTGTAGGGTCTCTTATAGGTTGCTGTTAGTTAGTCTACTGCTTACCGTCTTTGTCTATTGCAACCACCTACTTCCACCAATAGGATTACTCCATTTTCTCTTTGTCTTTTTCATCTATTGCTTTGTCTATTATCATTGTCTATTAATAACAATAATTAGCCTGTCAATACAAACTTCTCTGGCTTTTCACAATGCAATACCAAATTCTTGGATCTCGAAGCAAAGATGCGATGTAAAAATGTGTAAAATTGAAATTAATTAATAAACTAAACTTACAAAATAATTAATTTGTTGTTTAATTTTGAGACACTTTTAAATTACATTTTTGTCCCAGTTTTATGCTCATGGTTTAAATCTTCAATATTTTTGGGGATTAATAACTGTAACTTTTTCTTCTTCTTTTTGTGCATGATTAAATTTCTCATGTGAAGCTTAAGTTTCCTCTCAGGCTAATTTTACAACGCTTTGAGCAATTACAAACCTCTATTCTTTCAGGAGTACCACCACGATCCAATGTATCCCTTTCTAGCTTGGCTACTTCCGGGGTTTTTGGTTGGTTCGAGGACTTCAGGATGTTCTCCTTGTTTGCTAGATTCCGGAGCTCTTCCGACTTCCTGCGGTACGCCCGTTTTTGCTGCGTTCCACTCATGCCGAAATGTTGCGGACAGAAGAATCGGTTGCCAAATTTGCCGTCGCGGTCGAAAGCGTAGTTGCCTAGACGAAGAGTAATGGAGCAGTACTCGCAGCGGAAACAACCTGAAACATTAAAAAAATGTTTAGGAGGACTCTAGGAACTGAACTCCATACTGGATCTTTGTAACAAACTAACTAATAATCTGAACATTAATTTATTATTGGATACGACGAAATTGAGAGGCTCGGAGGATAAGACACGTGCGTGGGTGCAGTTTTTGAAAAAACTTGAATATTAATGATTTCAATTAAAACTAGTCCCAATGCATATTCTGTGAAAAATTTGCTCCCAAATTCCAATTTTTAAGGATCAAAAAGTCATTTGAACTTCCTTTCCGCCATGAGGATCCATACAATTTTGAAACGTCCAACACATATTTCTCGAAATAGCAAAAATTGCACTCATAAACCTTGTCCTCCAAGCCCCTCAAATAAACTACTAATTTAATAAGATTCAAAAATTTGCTAGACTGCGATCTTTAGCATGAATGTAGAACTGGTGAAACTTCTTTTATCCTTAAAATATTATTTGTGACCCAATTTGTGAAAAGGGACTTCATCTTCTGGTAGAAAATTTTCTTTAATTTTATCAAAATTGTAAACCATGTTTTTCTAAAACCTAAGAGTTCTGTTCTAAATCTCCTTTAAATTTTGAGCTTCCAGGGTCACAAATGCCCCAAAATTTCCAGATTTTCTTCCTCTGAGCAGTCGCAAAAAGTCGAGGAAAACTCTCTCTGGGAATATTAAGTCTCTTTTAATAGATTCGGTCATGTCTATTTCGGTATTTGGTATGTTGTAGGGACATAACTTGGGTATTGCTATTTTATAACCTCAATTAGAGACTGGCAATCTCATCAAACCTTGATGGTGATGATTTCAGGAAAACAGTACCCTCCTAAAAATGAAAATTTCACAAAGCCTCAAGAACCAAATATCTCCTGAGAAGTTGATAAGAATATAGGAGTATTAATGGAATTTAGAGAAAAATTCCCGAACTTTTTTAGGTTTCTACTGGCCAAATAGACAGGAGATTTCAAGATGTTACTTCAATAGACCTTCCTAAGGTAGAAAAATAATAATGTAACATATCTTCTTTCTTTAACAGATCTCTTTCTCTCATTGTCAGTGATTTACAAGCACCCAATCAAAAGACTTGTAAGACACACCTCTATGGAAGAAACGCCCCTCTGCGCTCAATCTTTCCATCAGATAAACCCGTTTGTTGCAGAAATGACACAGCTCGCTGGCACTTCCAGCAGGAACAACGAGAGATGACTTAGAATTTGACTTCTGTAAAACTGACTTCTCAGGCTCCACTGCTTTTGTGAGCTGGGCAGCCATCGCGGAAACTTTGTTCGCGCCCCTCTCGCCCTGCTCCAGCGTGCTCCCATCCTTGATTTTTTGCGTTAGCTTTTTCAGACTCAAATCGATCTCAGCGTACTTTTTCGCGTTTTCATCGTCCTTGCTTTTGCGAAGCAGCTTCCTTTCCACTGCAGAGAACTGGATTAAAACAAGGAGATTAGTGATTTATGGACAAAGAAAACATTGAGCTGAGACTTTTAGATCAATGGCTCAAAAAGATGAGTTTGCTTACAATGAGTTAGATTCAATAAATGGCGATGATACGACTAAAGGAACAATACTGGAAAAAGGATTTTGAACAAAATTTTCTCTCCATTTCACAAGTTCAAGAGAGTAAATACACCAAAAATGTGGCCTGAACTGTAAGTAACTAGGCGGTAGAATGGTGTGGGCCCTGCAGTATCCTACCACCTTGTTACCTACTCAAAAGTTATGACGTAATTTTTACTCAACATTTTTCCATTAAAGTTCCTAAAATGTTCTGGACGAAGCAAAAGAAAATGCAAGAAATTTTGTGTTGGTATCACTCTAATAGGATCAATTTTGTGACGTCGATCATTTGTTATCCTTAAATGTTTTTCTTGAACATATAGTGTGTGTGTAATGCAATATAATACTTGAAAAAAAAAACACCCTCCATATGACTTGAGAAACTTCAACAAATTTATTGATATCATAGGGCTTAAATTAGAAAAAAAAAATTCCTCTGAAAATCTGAGAGGCAAATTAATGGATGAATAGCATTCTCACACTTCTCCTGGAGATGAACCAATTTACTGCAGAACACTGAAGTTCAAAGATTACTTAACATAGCAGGGGCCTTTCAAGTTAGCATAAAATTTGTCACACACATAATGATAAGACAAGAATATGGAATCGAATTTCAGTGAGAAAATCGCAGATTGAAGTCAAAGTTACTAAACTTCTGAAGTTGAGACACTTTCAAGACTTAGCCTAAAAAGCAAGTACTCTTGAGAACTAAAAAATCAGAGGAAAATCCAAGTTTTCTTGAGATCCCACAGATGCTGGACATGAGCGATAGGAACTTATCTTGGGGAGGAAATACTTAGGCATGAATATATTAGATACCTTATCTACAAATTGTTGACGACTCCATTTAGGAACTTTTTCGACGCGCTGTTGTTTTGATGCCTTGCCCCATTTGCTTTCCTCGATCTTTTTCTCAATTTCTTTGAAATTCCAGTCTGTTTTTTCGATTTTCCCTGCAAGTAAAAGAGAGAAATAAAAGGTTAGATGAAATGCGCAGAGAACCTGACAGACAAAATAGTTACAAAAATGGTAAAGTGCCTTCAAACTTACCATATTTTCTTTCACACTTTAAATTCTGCATGTTTTCAAAATTGAAAACACTGCAATAAGATTGGAGTGAGAGCTTTCACTGGGGGAAAAACAGTTTCCTAATGAAAATAAAAATAGTGTCCAATATTAATGCTATCCAACTTTACGAGATTCTTCAGACTACAACCTGTTAAATCTCACCTGGTGATTTAATTCAAACCGATTGATTTGACAGTGAAATATTCTTTTCAGAACCAAAATGCTTTACATAACAGTCTGCTGTTTGGACATATCTTCTTATTTTTAGCTGACTGACAAGAATCAAGCATCATATCAGGGTCCCCTGAGCAGCGCAATGGACTCATTGGGTCAAATAATTATGGTTTACTGATAAAAAAGTACCGTAAAGATAGCCATGCTTACCGATTGCTCGTAGAAGATCCTTTGGTTTTTTATCTGTGGCCGGACTAACTCCTTTCAGTTTAGCTTCAATGTTTTTAATACGACCGTCGAAATCTTCGACCACTGCTCCTTTTTTGGCTCCAGACACAAAGTGCGGGTCCCGATCCTAGAAAAATCAAAAATAAACGGATGAAATGGAGCAAAATAATCAGAGAAGGAGAGGATACTTCGAAATTTTCAGAAAAAAATAAAATTCTTTTTAAGTTTTGACATTTGGTGTCATTCTATGGGATTTGGTAGTTCAGGACCAGTTTTTTCCCAACAGATAGCGATGAATTAGTCCTTTTGGGCGTCAAGCATCTCTAAAGCAATCCTATTTAACCAAAAATACCTATATATTTTATATTTCATACTAGAAATTTAGAGCAGGATAGCCTGATAATGACTAATGAATCATTTGAAGCCAAAAAAAACCTACAAAATTCAAAGATACATAAATACAGGATTCGTTGACAAAAATGGCAATTCTATTTTTTAAACAAGCCCAGTTTTTCATTTCCTTACACTTTGCAACTTTTTTTGGTGCAAATGGACATATTTATGCAGAAAGGAACTGTGTGAAAATGAATTAAATCAATCGGAACTGCATTGGATTTGCCGGCTCTAGGGTTCCTTTTGATTTTTTTTAATTCGCACATAGTTCTTTGAGTATAATTACAACAAAATGATTTTTTTACAAAATTGATTGGATTTAAGATGCACATGGGGGCTTATCTGCTTTGCTTTTTGGCATAGAACTTAATATTTTCCCAAATATTTTGACCTAATAATGCAAACCGTAAGATCATAAAACCGGTTATCAGTTTCCAGTCACCATTAAACCAGTTGAACTGATAAACACCAGCTGAGAAAAATACAATTTTTCAACCAAAGAGTCCATCATAAACCAAAACATGAAAACACAAATGAGTTGTGTAGTATAACTGACATACATCATTCAAAATTCATGCTATCAACAAAAAAATGGTAAAAAAAACCAAATCTTCATGGCTAAAAAAACATGGAATTGAGTTTTTTTATTCAAAGCAACTTCTTTTAATTCTTCTTTCAATTCTAATTAGATGTTAGTGAGAAATAATAAAAATTTCAAGAGGAACATTTTTCAGGTGATCCCGTCTTGAAACAGTAATCGCATTTTAAAAAAAGCTGATGCAAAAATGCCTTTTTCCAACATTTTCAATGTTCCAAAACACAGCAGCACACGTGAGAAAGCAAATTATTAAACCGAACTCAAGACTACACAAAAGGAGATGTGTTACAAAGTCCTTCAATTTGTGAGACAAATCATCGAGTACATGTTGTCATTTTGTAAAAATATGGGTCGCTTCCTTTTTAAAAATTTGATTCAATGTTCAGAAACCTTAACCAAATTAGTACTGTGAGTCCATCGCCGTTGTTAGGTTCACAGAAAAACATGAAAAACAGATTAATCAATTGAGCATTGGCGAATCCAGCAAATTGGCAACATTGTTTTTTTCCATTTAGACTCATGGAAATGTATCAATTATTCGAGGAGCTAGGTGCTGCGACAAGAATAAATTATTTAACATAGATATAAATAGAGGAGATCTGATGTTGCCAAATTGCTGGATCTGCCTCTACAATCAGTACACAATCCCTTATGATCTCTGCAAACATGCTATTGACATAAAAAAGGAGTTTGGACACCACTCAGCAGTAGACAATCTTATTTTTTTAACACCCTCGCACAGTGTGAGAGAATTAAAGGAGAGGAAAACACAAAATGCAAGTGTAAAAGAACAATATGATAAAATATGGCAGATTCGATATCCTTATCCCTTGTGAGGAATAAAGGGTCAAAAATATATCATTGATCTAAAAGGGGCTGAAACTGAAAAATGTTTTACTGGTAAAGGCCTTTGCCGGGAATCTTGATTTTTCAAAACATTAAATTCTTTACAGTCTTCGGGAAGGGTAAAATTTTGAGAGCAAAGAACGCACATAAGCGACAAAACAACTAGCGAAAGTCACAATTAACACAACAAAATGAAACTCAAGTTCAAAATCCTGAAATTAGCACAAAGTAGCTGAAATCATCAGCACAGGATAAAATATTTTACACCTGAGTAAAAGAGCGTTTGGATTAGTAACACATGAATCAACTCCTATTGATGTTAGGACACGCGGCTTTCACACTGTTCATTGCTTACGCCATAACGAATTCTATTTTCCATCTCTTTAACGCGATCTTTGAAATCCGGGGCTGTCTGCCGATACAGGAAGATGGAATAGTCCTCGAATGGTGTTGAGTCTTCGTCCCCTTCTTTCGCGTTCGCTTGGAGCATTTGCATGCTTTTGTACAAACGCTGCGTTGTCAGAAAGCGCATCATTTTGCGCTTGTTCTGACGTTCCATGCGATTTTCCAGTATTTCTTGCTGCTGAGCAACACGCTTTTTATGATCTTCGATGTTCTGCGTTTTTGCAGCCTGATAAAAAATTCAGTCATACACAGGGTGAGAATACGTTCCAGAAAAAGTTCCTGGGGTCATGACAACTCGTGCCTCATTTAGTTCTTTGGGCATTAAAATTTTAAATTTCAGATTCTTCAAAGCAATGAGAAATTTTGAAAAAGTCCTCTGGCTGAAACATGAATCTTTCAGGAATACAAGGTGAAAGAAAAGGTCTTTGTCCTAGAAAAGTTTCATCGAGTCATAAAAAATTTTACCTCTTTTATCAAAGTTCTTTTATTACGGAAACTAGCTCAATAAATTTTAGAATTTTCAGAGTTTTGAAAACCATTGCAAAAATGTTAGGGTTGAGACAAAAATCTTCCAGTGATACAGGGTAAAAATGTCGGCCAGAAATGTTTTCAAAGGTTATAAAAACTTTTGCCTCGTGTTGTTTTTAACGATACTAGTTGAATTTCAGAGCCTTTAAAGCTGCGAGAACTTTTGATGAAGTATTCGGGTTGAAACAAACATCTTTCGTATTTCTATTATGTTTTCTTCTTGCATTCTTCAATACATTTACACTTTCAAGTTCTTATCAGTATTAAAATTAGTATAATATACGATTTAAAAATATTCCTTTTTAAGGAGGATCCTGTGAACCTTCCTTCAGCAATAATTGGATTGTTCAATGTATGCAGCTCATTCTTCTAGAGGCAAGTGACTTTTGTGTCTGAAATTTTGGAAATTCCTTGAATTGAAGTGGTTTCTTTGCTATTCTAATCGAGTTTTTTAAAAAAATCCAATTTTTTAGCACTAATGTTCACACTTTGCCGACTCTTTAAATTAGCCTGTATGGATTTATAATTACACCGCAGAATTTGCCTGAATTCTGACAAATATTTTCTGAATTTAAGGAATTTATTTTTCCTTAAAATTAATCCTTTCAGAACTTTTCACTCATTTTCCCATTTAATACAAAAAATAAAAGCATAACAGTGGCTTTTGCAGCGCAAAATTCTTGAAAAAAAAATTGCAGCGAACCAATAAGACTAGATCTGTAAAAAAAAGGACATAATCTTCCAAGAGAAAGTTTTCCTCAACTTTTTTTCAAAAACTTAAACCGCATTTTTCTACAGTGAAAGTTTTTTTGTCTCAGAACTTGAAGACTCGTGTCTCCTTCAATTTTTGAGCTTTCAGGGTCAAACTTGCGCAAGCATTTACTGATTTTCTTCCTCCATTGAAATGAGCGTTTGAATGAGTTAAGGGAAAATTTTTGCTCAGAAAATGGAGCCCCTTTTTACAGATCTAGTCACATTTAATTTGCCTAGCCCTAGTTTCAGAAATCTAAGGTTGCTGTGGATGCCGTTTCCAACTTCTGTGTAGAAATTCTACAGCTTTTCATTGTGTTTTTTCAATATTCCGTTATCAGAATTATTAAATTGTCAAAGGAACATGATGCTATCTACTGAGAGAAATTGACCTACAACTTTAAATAATTCCAAAAACCGAATTCTGTACAAGAGGAGACATATCCTATGCCTTTCTTCCACAGATTATTGAGTGAATAATCTGTGGAAGAAAGGCATAGGAACAAACATTTAATCCTATTATGAAATCAAGGTCATTCTGGATTTCGTCAATTGTTTGAACCAAGTTGAGGAGAATTGAACCAACTTTTTAAAACCTTATTTTGGAAAAAAATATCTCCTATTGATTTCTGAATTCGTAAACACGCTGAACATTTGAATATCTACTTGGTCAATAACTCAGATGACGTTGAACTTGGCCCATTGGTGGATTCAAGACCGATTCTAAGTTCAAGTATGTACTGATTAAAGGATTACAAAGATGATAAACCGGTGAAACTTTTCATACATACAGATTGAGAACCCACAAAAGGGATAAGAATTCAATGATCATGAGACGTGCTCCCTCATCAGATTTTCATGCAAGTATATTAAAAACATTAAAAAAGTCCAAATTCATCTCATGAATGAATAATAATTGTTTCCAGTTCAAGGAAAAATCAGTTCATGAAGTCCTGAAACTCATAAGCCATAAGGACCTCAGTGAGTCCACTGTGTTCTGCATGAAATGACGATGAGAAAATATGTACTTGATATGCTTTCTAACCCTGTCTATTGGTCCATTGGAGCTATTTAAAAACTTCCGACGGCTAAAAAATGCGCATTTATTTTCACAAGCAAAAGTATTGAGCCAAATATATGTGAGATAATAAAAAACTTAAAAGCTAAATTTAAATTAATGAACAAACAAAACACTACGGTAAAATGGATTACACAATACAAGCAAATGGAGATCTGCATTAAAGATTGTCAGCAAATCGAGGAAAGTTACATCTTCCATGGTTCAATAACAAGAGGGTGACTTACTTTACCCTCTTCTTGAAAATAAAAACAAATGAAACTTTCAGTCAACTGAAGCAATGGACCTATGATTTCTAAATATGTAAAACCTACTTTGTGTGCATGAGTGCTGAGGTGCACAATGAGCACATTCATGTTTCTATTTTCTCCGATAGTTTTGATCAAAAGAAAGTAGGTATAGATGAACGAAAAACTGATTCGATTTTGTCAGTGATTTTAAAAACATTGTACAAGATAAAGCTACAAGCTAATGGATGATAATAAGCTGTACATCTCTTACCGCTTGTTTAAAAAACACAAAAGAGTTAGTATTTTATCAAAATAAGTTAAATTTATTGATGCTTGGTACAGATACACCTTAAAAATCTTAAAATATCAGGGATAAAATCAAGGTATACCTTCCACAAAAATTATTTAAAAATACAATTGACAAAGTGCCTTTCATCGCAGATTTTAAAACAGGCATGAAAATGCATAATAAGACAGATTATTTTCTTCAGCAATCTCATGGTAAGCCTTGGACTATGAAAAATCGGTTTCAACTATGAAGACGGAAGTTTTCTTAAAATTTGGGACTTATTCAACAAATTTATAAGATCTTTCGAAACTTTGAGGAAACTTAACTTTTTGCATTTGCGGCCCATTCTCTATCCTACACATCACCAAGAGATGACCAGCTTCTGATTTTAGATTATCACCTTAATAATAAAATACATTTTTTCCACCATGCTTTTGGATTTCCTATGTAGAAGGCATACCTTCAATATAAAACCTCAAGATAGGACATGACAACTGTTAAAATCAACAACCGATAAACGACAGAATCGAAAGACGAGAGAGAACCTGGAATCACCAACACAGGCATGATACTTTAAAATGGAGCTACATTACTTCATCGGTGCGCCTTTTTTTACTTGTCTGCATCTCACCAAAGCTTCTCCTAGGAACAGCAGTTCGTTTCCTAGAAACTACGAAAGTATCGAGGCTCTTGTTACAGTTCGAGAACCGCCTAGATTTCACAGCCCCAAGACTGTGCCGTTTCCTACTTTTCAAGGCTTCAAGACTGCCGCGTTTCCTACTTTTCAGGGCTTCTACATTAGGAGCACTATTGGCACGGTTCTTGGCTTGGGGATTATTGTTCACATCTTGTATCGCCTCAAAGCATTGGATCCTCGTAGCCTAGGAATAATAAGCAGCGACTATTCTAGTACGGTGAACCAAGAGTAGGATACAATACGCAAAAAATAAAAAAAGTATTCCGTTCGACAACAGTTGAACGATTTCTTTTGACGTAGAACTACATATTTGAAAATTAGACAGATTTTAATGGATCTGTTACACACAAAAGGTACGGCCAATTCAGAAAACTTTGTGAAGGTAAAATTCCTTGCCATGTAATTTTCCGCGCATCAAAATGTTCTAAAATACGCTCCAAGTGGTACAGTAATTAGTGTGATCTGTATGATGCATTATCAAAATTATCATGAATTTTGTTGTGACAAATATTGTTGTAACAACGTTTTTAAGGCGTTTCTGAAACCTTTACACCTACCATTTACCAAACACGTTTGTTCTTCTAGTCTTCTGGTTTGTACTGCTGTTAAAATCTGTTCTTCGCCTAGTTTTTTCGTATTTGAAATGTTGTACTTAAATTTTATGGTAAAATGGAATAAATAAAACACAAGTTGAATCATTTTTTGAGGGCTCTCAAAATTTAAAAATACTAAAAAGGGATCTACGTACTACATCTACTTTCAAATCAGGTCAAATTAGGATCAACTGCAAATTGATCTGCAAAAGTTTGCAATTAGATATTACATTTTCTGGTCCAGTTTAAAAACAACGTATGCATCATTGGTTCCCCAATGCACATGAGTGTTTTCACTGATGAGTCAAAATTTGTAGTTCCTCTTTAAAAAATGTAATCTAACTGCTCTCTTCTGAAGAGGTAAAATGAATTTGAATAAGTGAGCATCCACTTGAAAAGGAACCTTGGTTTCGAAAAAGCGTAAAAAAGCAGGCTGATTTTTGAGATGGATAGACGAAGCAATAGACAAAATAGGAAAACTTGAGGAAAAAAAATTGCTCTCCTAAAAAATTTGTTTCCGTAAACTAGAGTCTCTTTTCGAGTGAATGGTCACATTTGCTAAATCTTTGGAAAAGAGTAAGATCAGAGGAAAGCAAGCTGAAACTACAACCGAAGCCGATTAAAAAGCAATCTTACCACGGTTCCTGGCACGACCCCGCTCCTCCTCTTCCTCCTCCGCTGAGCGGTGTTGTTGGTGTCGTTTGTTGTGGGGGAGGTTATGTGCATTTTCTGCGGTAGCTTGAGCGTTTCCGGCGGCCGCGACCTGGGGGATTGTTGGTTGGTGAGGTGAGCCAGGAGGGAGACGTGCGAAGCTTTCACCGAGGTGTCGCTTTTGAATCGCGATGTTGTCAATTCTTCACGGGTGGAGACATTCAGCTCCTCCTGAAAATAAGCACAAGTAACATTTTGTTATTGAAACGTTGTAATATATTGCAATAATATGGTAAAATCATTACAATTGTTTTGAAATATTATTGCAGTTCTTTTTCAACATTTGATGAGATCTTTGACAAAAAATTGACCTGGTTTACCATCATCCCGACTGGATTGAGGTTTTTGGTTTGCTGGATCACTTTATGAAGCTCTTATGGGACAAGATCTAATAGCTGATTTTCAATTAGCCTGCTATCTTTTATTTTTCTGCAATTCTTGTAGAATCTTCCATTTATTGTGGAATCTGCTTGTTTTGCTTTTGGCCTGTGTAATCTTTTGTGTATTTTTGTCATTGCAGGGTGTCTACAAAAACAGGCTGGCCAAAAATCAGTACTTTTACAGTACTTTTCAGTGCATTCCCAAGAAATTCAGTACCTCATCAACAGAAAAATTCAGAACTTTTTCAGTACCTCCAATCGACGAAATTCGGAAATTATGAAAAAATTGCCGTTCAAATTGCATTAAAACGACAAAAAAATGAAAAAATTCCGCACCATGTTGCAGAATTATGCTCTTTATCAGTACTTCTGGACCGCCCTGAAAAAATCAGTACTTTTCCAGACTTGTAGACACCCTGCATTGGGATTATTCTTGTTGGAATTGTAAATAAATAATAAAAAATGAATAAAATATTTTTTCATACTGAAAAAAATATTAATCTTAATGGGAAAAATGGCAATTTTTGGGGCCTCAATAATTGGGAAATTTTAGGAGAGAGGGTTACTTTTGCTTCCGCAGTTTTCTGTAAAAAAAGCAACACAAATTTTTTAGACGTCCTGATTACTGAAAATGTTTAGCTGGAAAACGAAAAAAAAAAATAAAGAAGAGGAAAGAAAAATTTTGGTTCGTAAAAGATAAAAAAATATTGTTTTTCATGCTCTTAACGCAGAAAACCGGCTCAAGACTTCGTGATTTTATTCCAATCATTAACCGGCCGGAGGCCACATAAAACACAATTTTCTTGTAATTTTAAGAGGGAAAGACTACAATTACGTTGAAATTATATTCTGACACAATAAAATTATAATTGTTTTGCAATATTTTTGTAATATACCGTACTTCATGTTACTTGAGAGATCTTCAAGAATGTATGGAGACAACTTTTTTTAAACTCAGTTGCATACAAGGGACACGACACGCAGAGATGAATTTTTGTGCACCAAATCACATAAAAATTACATTGGGCAAATCTGAAGTACACTCTGTAAGTAAATATTTACCATATTTTGTTGGGCATGATTCATTCATAGTAATTCATTTTCTTTGGATTTCTCTACACATTGAACTTTGCCACTTTTCTTAGACATTGTAACTATTTAATGTTTTCGGTTCATTTAGAAAAATGTCAAAGTTTTCTTTTTATAATGATTATATTGAAAACTGAGGGTGGACTTGAGTCCTCTACTGTTGCTTAAGATTTCACTCCATACAGTGATGACTTTAAAAAAATAATACACTAAAGAGATGGAGAAAACTATGTATTCAGCTATGCTTTTGTTTACATTTCTGAGTGCAATTTCATTTGAAAAATTAATATCATAAGGGCAAAAAAACTCACCAGTTTTGGGTGTTTGATGTGAGGTATTTCGCCACGGAAGAGATCATAGACTTGGGACAAGTAAGAGAGCATGGTTAGTTTATCCGGAACATCGCATTCTTCCATCTCGCGACCAGTCATGACCTGGGAAATGGTGGAGTTTCATCATTAGCCATTTGTATGTTTATGCAGATTTCAAATTTTGGTGGAGGAAAATAAATTTCTGGACTCGTTCAAAACTATACTTGCTACAATTCATTTTATAATACATTTTAATGCCAAATTTGACTGGCTAAGCTGCATAGAACATGGTATTTGATTTTAAAAAAAATCGAGCTACAAGTCAAAAATAAATTACACAAGTAATATTTCATACTACATGGAGGCGAGAAATAATAAAAAACTTACAAGAAACAAAGCAAACGTTTGGCAACAAACTGCGGTCTTCTTCAGTGCAAAAGGAACAAGTAGAAACATTTTACAAAATATATACATATAAAAAAAAAAAAAAATTGTAAACTATTAGCAAACTAAGTAAAGCAAAAATACAAATCAATAGCAACTACATCTTGGAATGAAATCAAAATAATGCTAATCGCGCTTTTTTAATCACTTCCTTCTCATCATTGCTATCACTCTTCTTTCCTCATGAATTTTGTAATATTTTGATTTTATTCCAAGATGTAGTTGCAATGGATTTGTATTTTGGCTTTACTCAGTTTGCTAATAGTTGCAGTTTTTTTTAAATATATGTATTGTAAAATGTTTCCACTTGTTCCTTTTGCACTGAAGAAGAAGACCGCAGTTTGTTGGCTGTCAAAACGTTTGCTTTATTTCTTGTAAGTTTTTTATTATTTCTCACATAGAATAATGATGCTTCGCAATTGCGAAGCATCATTATCAAAATCTTTAGATGTTTTCTTTTAATTACTCCCGACTCTTGCTGTACTATTTATCTAATCTCCACTTCTAGAGATTCACACTACGGAAAATACTCAGAAGTTACTTGCACTCTCTCAAATGTTAATGGCGCACTGCGTGCAAAGTTTTCCCGACTTTTCCAGGTCACTGAAAATTCCCTGACCTTCCTGAATCACTGCCAGAGACCTGCATGAGGCATACTCACCGGCGGAATTCCCAATTCTCGTTCTAGGATATCGAAGGCTAACTGGTTGTTCTTGGCTACATCTTGCGGCCGTAGCGAATGGAAATCTATGAGGTCGGGCCGGTATCGATGGATGATCCCGCAGAGAGCACGCCCGTCCTTGAACGACGAGGTGAAATCTGTGATGTGAATGTCGTTCAGCAGCACAACTTGCCGCTTTAACCATTGCAGAAGCGTGTCTGGGTGAACTTGAGAATCTGGAGGAAAATTTACGCATTATTACTCCAACAGTTTAGTGTAAAGCAGAAACGGAGAGGGGGAAAATAAAATTAGAAAAAGTTTTCAATACTTGCATTTCTGCAGGTAAAAATTAAGAGAGAAATCAATTTATAGGAAAGAAAAGATGAATTTATTCACTTCAATGTCTAATTTGAATACAAAATGGATGAAATATCAAACAAACTGTCTGGGTCAATAAATGTTAGTACATGTTTCCGACGAAAAAGGATTAAACAACTGAAATCAAAGTTAGAAACAATATTAATCTGGGTGAGAAGCTGAGACATTCATGAAGCCAAAAAATAACTAAAATAACTGTTTAAACTTTTGTGATAGTTAAGTATGTTTGAGAGATAAAAGGACTGGTATTAATGCTGAAAAATCGTTTGAAAGCTCTACAAGCTCTGGAAAAATGCTAATGAGGATCACTAGCAAAATTAGTATAATGCAGTGTTTTCACTTTCATTATTCAAATTAATCTGTGACGTAATAGGAAAAGGAAGCCTTAGTTGCGCAAATTTTTTCATAGAGGAGATTTTCATGGTATAGAATTGAAAATTCAGAGCTTGAGTTTTTAACGCACGATACTTTCCAGTATCCCACAAAATTAGTGGAATAAATTTCACCTTGAACCGAAAGAAAAAGCTTTCAAACCCTTGATATCAGAACTAAGGTACCTGATTTCAAAGATGCAAATCATTCAAACAAAACGAGTATTCATATTTATTTGCACCAATATGCTGAAGAGAGTTCCATCAATGCAGAGGTACCAAAACTCTTTTAACTTCACAGCAGTGGCACAAAGGATCTCTTCTCCCACAGATCGTCACAATTGCGCACAAAGGAATTGACTTTCTTCAGTTGCTTTTTAATACCAATTAATTGCATCAGGAAATAAATAGCAGAAATGTTTTTCTTGTTGTGAGTAAAAGAAAGATGATTCATTTCTGTACAATGCTGCGTTTCTACCGTGTTTAAGAAAAACGTCGTATGAACATTTGAGAGTTGTTAAATTTCCTCTTGAATATTTCCTCTTGAAATTTTCAGATGATATACTTAGATCTAATTACAAAGAAAATTCTCTGAAAAATTGAATAGGAGATATTCACAAGTTTTCCTCAAAAATCGTATTTGATCAAAGGAAATTTGGCAACTGACGAAGGTTCATACAGCGTTTTCCCTTAACACAGCAGAGTGCTGCTCATTTTCATTATGGAAAAGTAAATATTGCAATGCCTGAACACAAGCAAAATAGTTGAACAGTCAATTATTTATTTCTTTTTGCAAAAATACCATATACTTTGTCAGAAGGCTAAATGTATTTTTCGATGTACTTTCACTGAATATTTCCTGATGAAGAGAGCAGGATGGCAGAAAATATTACCACAATAATGGCAAGTGAGGTTTTTACAAACAATTAGTTGAAAATATTGAGTGAATATCTTTTCACAGCTTTGAAAATATTAAATTACTGAGGAATTAACACTAATTGAAGTAAGCAAATGTTAGCACACAAAACTTATTATCCGATTTTCAAACAAGGTGTGAGATTTTTTGTGAGGAGAGGTATCCTTACTGAAAGCTGTCAAAAACACCGAAAATAATTTCCACGTTAAACCAAGCTGTTTTTATGCTGTTTTTCCACCTACATTCCCGCTGTTTTCAGACAGCCATCGATGTGATGATTCAAGCATTATCAATAACATTAAAAGCTGAAGTTCTATAAACACTCGAAGCGTTGTTACAAAATTTGCGACACTCTAAACATCAACTCATGACGCACCCTTTTTCTTGTAAATCAGGATTTTCTCTTGCATTTTTGAAAAGTGAGAAACAGAGCTTGCAATCACTGGAGACAGAGGAAAAAACCAAATAAAAGTCTGAGGAAAAGAGAAAACTAGGGCGTCTACTTCCCCAGTTATGATGCAGTCCAACCCCTCTTTTAGTCGCACGCTTATCAGATTGTTACCTTGAACAGAGTGCCTACAGATTGCAAGAGAAAAAAATTCGCAAGATTGCAAGAAGACAAAATCGCAACTTTTGTTGGCATGATTTCTCATAATTTTTCATAGAAATTTTTTGGCTGAAAGTCTTTTGAAATTGAAAAAATTCGAAGTTTTGCCTAGAGGAAAAATTTTTAAGGCATTGCAGCAAAATTTGTCGACTTTTTGAGGTTTTTGCTGAGGACGATAACGGAAATCAAACAACAACATCCACAATTTATCCGCAAAGAACTAAAATTGATTTATTCCCGACATTGATCTCACTACAATTGATAGAAACATGTGGGCCTTTTCTCTTCACGTATGAGTCAATCTATTAACAAATATTAAAATTCCTCATTGAAAATTATTCCTCTATTCACTATGTAAACATTCAGAGCACTGGACTTGTATTTCCCTGACTTGATAAAATTCTCTAACAATTCCCTGTTATCAAGATCTGTGGACAATTTGTTCAAAGCAAAAAAAAAATAGTGTATTTTCAGGAAAATACACTAAAAAAGAAGAAAAAAGAATAGAGGAGTAACAGGGATAAAGATAGAAAATAAAGGAATACCTAAACCACACTGTTTGAGGACACTTAATTTTAGGAAAATTAATACAAGGAAATTTCTGAATTAAGAAAATTTAGGAGTTTGATTTGGTCTTGTGGACATAGTACAGATCTCTTACTGACTTAATCTTGCAAAAGGAATGAAATGCAAAATCGAATTCCTTCCCGAGTGCATAGTGTACATCTTTTGCAATAGCACTGGTTGACCACAATTCTTCGTGTCAATCTCGGCTTCCAAACCGAATGGTATCTTGAGTGGTCTTGAAACACTGTGGATAGTTGACAACCATAATACCCAATCAAAATAAATACAAGTCTGTTTAAATCGCTATCCAATACTGGTAGGTACACTGTTCCATTTCAGGTGGAATCGGAGAAAGAGGTAATAGAACAGTAAAAAGTAATTTTTAAATTCCTGTGAGACTTATTTTGGAAGCTATTCTCTCAATTTTTGGAATTCTTGCGATTCAGAGTTTGGGAGAGGTCAGGGCGGGGGTCGATGCATTCGGAACCAAAGGATCGGGCAAAGGATGAGGGTGAAGGTGACAAGGCAGATGTTTCTTAAAGATAAGAGATTGCGCGTGCACTTCCCAAACAACGAGTTGCTTTTTGCGTTACTACCTATGAAGGGAAAGAGAAAATAATATTCAGACATCCAACTGTACTTTGGGTAATTGATTTTTAATTTTTTCATGTTTTTAGGGTGTCGAGTCAATGTACATTACCATATTTAACATCAGAATGGCTTTAGAATAGAAATAGAAGAAGTCATAGGCTTTTCAACTCCGACTCCTTAATGAATTATCTACTCTACTTTAAAATTTCACAATCCTTCATGAATCTTCATAGACGCTGGTTTTTCCAGGTCCTCAGCACGGTGAGGAAGAGAAAATTCTCAGTTTTTCACACAGATTTTCTGGAAAATTCCTTAATTTTCCTATAAACTTTTCAGTTTCTGTTGAATTTTAGTTTTTGTAGGTCCCACACACCATGTCGGCAAAAGAAGAGGCATCACAAAAATGATCAAGAAACTATCCTGATCAGTCTTTTTAGGAGACAATTAAGAAGATGGGAATTCTAAAATGGCACCTGCGGAGATAAATGGATTTTAAGTTAAGCTCACCGTTAGTACTAATATCCTTCACCAAAGAAGTTTCTAACCGACAGATTTCCTAGAAAAATAAATCTGTAAGAGAAACTAACAAAAGGGGACGGTTAATTTTGAACCAGGATACTAGTGTACTCTCCTGCTTCATTGATTAAAAATTATAAAATAAACAAGAGGAAAGTTGTTGTGCCTGTAAAATAAAATACAATAAGTACCTTTTCGTCTCCGCTTTTTTGGTTGTTCTAAATGACTAGAATTCGACGGAGCTTTGAGGCATGTTTCCACATTGGCGGGCTCGTCCGTCGAGTAGAGGTTTTTCACTTGGACGGGGAGCACCGCTCGCGTGTTGAGGTTCGGGTAGCGAGTGTGCGGATCAAGTGTGTAGCTGCTGAAGTCTCGGTTGAGGTTCTCGGGAGTGGTTTGTCCCAGGATCCGGTATATTGACTCGCGCTCTGCGAGCACCTCCAGCGGATTCATCTGCCCTGAGCCCCAGTTTCGAACTGCCCAACATGCATCCATTGAACTGAGGAAACCGCGCGCGCAGCCAGAACCTGTCGGCCAGAACGGCTGGAACATGAAAGAGAGGATTAGATAAAGTTGAGCATTAGGGACACATCTTCTTCCAGCATTTTGAAAAAAGACTTGTAGAATGATAATTGACATTGGTAGAAGGAAGACAAAGAGAAAATGGAATGATTCTGTCGGTGGAGGCAGGTCGTTACAATGGACAAAGGAGGTAAGTAAAAGACTGACTGACGCCAACTCACAAGAGACCCTGGGGTTAGTTAAACTTTTTTCCATTTTTCTCTGCGGTCTATAAAAACCACCCATTTCAACCGATAGAATCGCTCCATTTCCCTTTTGTCTTCTTTCTCTATCGCTTTGTCCATCAATTTCAATAATCAGTCCGCAGAAAGACAAATTTTCTTTTGTCTCAAAATTCCCTGACTTTCCTGTGACATTATAGGGTTTGTAGACGTGAAATTCTTTAATAATTACATGACTTTTCAATGTTTTTCAAAGCATAATTTCTCATGGAAATGTGTGTTACGACAAAATTTTAGCGCAAAATCTCTTCAAAATAAAAATTTAAAAAAGGCCAAAATTCATACACTTCTGGGCAGAAATTCTTCATTTTAATTTAATTTAAAATTAATTTAAATTGATTCGTCAATAGAGAGATTGGGTGCAGTAAACAATACTTCAGTGTTTTGGCTGAAAGAGAAATTCATTATTTCGCTGAAAAATTCCTTGACTTTTCCAAGGTGTCCACTAAAATTTCATTTTAGGTTTTCCTGGTATTTTTTAAAATTTTTCCTGTCAGGTATTTTAAACAAAATTTCCTGATGTTTTGTGCGAATGCATTGACACTCATTAGATTTTACCAACCAACATATTGAATTAATTGAATTGAATGTTTCACTTTTGCATGTGCTAACTGCATGTAGTTGAAAAATGCTTGATGCACTTGAAATATCCTGATTCAAGGCTGATTTTCCTGGCGACATTGGAATTTCCTAATATTTTTGGAGTTTTCGGTTTTTTACTGATGGTATACACCCTATTTTCAGGGTTGGGCAAAATTCCCTAACTTTATTAGGTTTACAATGACTGTTCAAGAACTATTCACCTTATTGATAGTCTCAAAGTACTGATTGATTTTTCGATCTAAAAAGAGAATTATCGGAAAGATACAGTTTTTGATTTTCTAAGGACTTGAACCGCAGAAATCACTTTCTTTGTAACTTAACAATTCATTCAGATGTAGATAAAAATGCTTTACCTCTAACAAACTATCACCAACAAGCGTCATGAATAATTTGTGCCCTTTCTTCTCGACAACGCGGCTTGCATTCACAGCAGCATACATGGATGTAAAGTCGAACATGGCAACATCAGGTTGCCCGAAGTGGTTAACTGCAAACTCCAAGGAAGGTAACTTGTAGTTCGTGGAAAAGTCCGCGGCTTCCTTTGCGTACTCCATCAGTGCATTTTTGTCCACATTCTCTGGGGCGAGCAGTTTGGCTGTATCTGAATAATCCTGCAAGAGATATAATTCCAACGAATCAGAAGAGTTTACTTTCAAAATAATGGAAGCTATGGATTTGATTTGCATGCCGTCCGCCCTGGCCTACGAGTTAACTTGTGTCATGACCGCCGGCCAATGATTCCTCTCTAATTCATTCTACAATTGATGTATCAAGTCATATAGCATATGCTTTCTGTCGGGGAGGATCTGAACTGCAACTTTAGGCCCTCTGCCGATATAAAGCGGTGCCACCTGGAGAAAAAAAACCTGGGGCTAAAAGGATTAAGTCTTTTTGAGCATAAACGATTCGATTAATGCAGAATTATATGAAAAAGACTTCAAATTTTCCAAAAGGAAACTAGGTATTGAAATTTCTGGAGAAGTTGTATACTATCTTATGTTAAAAACTTCAAAATTCTTCATTTCAATCGTTTTCATCTGAACTTTTAGCGGCTCTGGTGCTTGCACTAGAGCTGCTATTCTGGACGGTCCCAGCTGGGGAGTATCAACGGACCATGTTACATTGGAGAGACCGCGTGTTGGTTGATGGGAATCGGCGCCATTTTCTGCTGTTTAGGGGGGACTGATTTTATTTTAATTGATATCTTTTTCCTGTGAGCGAATGCTATGTTGTGTAGTGTATTTTTGGAATCATGGTGATACTGTCAATAATTCAAAACGGGTCTGTGCTTTAATCTCGCACTGGAAAAAATGTACTTTACGTTTAAAATTTGAAAATTCAAATCTATAAGTTTTCGCGCTTTTTTCGAAGAATGCCGTGGTTGGAGCTTCCTAGTCATACTACTCGACATCAGCTGATAGCAAACAAAAGTTACCAAGGAAACCGTAAACGCGTAACAACTACCTACCGTCGCCAGAGCCGCTTTCCGACGCGAATGCGTTGGAGCTTCCTGCTTGTTTTTTTACTTTAAAGGGTGAGCATTTTTGAGACTACAGACTTTCTACATCGGCTGAGATTTCTAGAACACAGGGGTGCAGAAAGTTCTATGCCTTCACATTTTTGGAGGCTGTCTTCACATAGTTGTCTACGTAAAGCTGGAGGCTGTCTTCACATTGTTGTCTACATAGAGCTACCTGCTGTGCTTTTTTCCTTGCATAATGCAGTTTATTAAACAGTTTCCTTCAAAAGAAGTACCCAGGTTACCCCTTTTTTCTGTGATAATGATGCAACCAATAGTTTCCTTCACAAAATGTAGCACATTGAGCTTTTTCAAATCCTGCACCTTAAATAGGCCGGGCAAAATCATGACTTCATTAGATTTTACTTTAAGTTAACGCATATGAAAATCGAGTGATACTTACGTTTAGAATAACACCTTTGTTGATTAAACTAGTTTTCTTGGCAGTCATAACGAAGTAATGAGTATCATCTTTGTAGTAAACAATATTTTCTAAATCTATACCAGTTTCCGCATAGAGGTCTTTGAAAAATTTTTGATTAAAAATAAAAGCCACTCCGCTGATCTCTGCAACTCGTGCCTCCGCTCTGGTTCGTTTGTTGATGAAATTAGCTGTTATGGCAATTGCCAGTTTCCCACGGAACTCTTTTCGTCCAAAACCTGCAGCAAACAAAATACAACCGTTGATTAGGCATTGAACGTCAACATGATTCGTTAAAGATGCTGCAAGAGTACATGAGCTATACCGAAAAATTAATTTTTGTTGTCAGTTTTTTAAAAACAAAAATAATTTTTGTACCAAAAAAAAAAAAAAAATACTTGGTTTCAATGCCAAAATCAACTTTCTTCGGTGCAGGCTCAGATCAAGAACTCACGACAACATTGTTGCTGCAACTGAGGGGAAAAAAATGAGCTAACCTAAATTTTTATATCCCTGCAATACCTCTGTTATGTTACATTGCTTCACATTATTGATCTGGTTTTATTTAACTTGTGTCGGCTAGCTACTACTCCGCAAACCAGCATAGCTCATTGGCTGTAGCTTGACACAGTTGCGGCTACATATAGTCGCGAGCTCATCACTCAGTTTATTCCGCGCCCGTCAGCCACACGGGAGTCAGGTTGCACAGCACCCAGCGGACATCTTGCAGCCAGCCGGCTTGCCCCTTTCATCAGCCCTTCATAGAGCCACTACTTCCTAAACCACTTCCTAAAACCACAACATGGCTTAGTCCATCAACTCAATCCCAGTTTTTGTCTGCCAAAACTTTTGACTTAAAAACTTGCTTGCGAGACTTGCCCACATTAATTTTTAACATTTTACCAAGCAGTCTCAATTAAAAAACCGCCAAGCTTATAATGATCAATATGATTCCACTTTTATCTTACCTTACATTCACACAGAAAGTTTTTTCTACAACTACTAGGCGCAAAATTACACGAGCAAAGCTTGGGGTACTCAAAATGTACATAGGTATATTCTGGACTTTCCCCACTTTCACAGGGCCTATTTAATTGGCTGCATCCCTACCTTGCCAGCAATAGTGGGCTGATTATCGAAATTGAAAGACAAAGCGATGGACAAAGATGATGAAAAGAAAATGGAGTGATCCTCATAGTGGAAGCAGGTGATTGCAATGGACGTAAAAACGACAATCTACCTGACGGCAACCCAGGAAAAACCCAACAGTCAGCCCAATTATTTTCTCACCTTAGTCTATAACTACTCGTTTCAGTCAATAGGACCACTCCATTTTACTTTTTTCTCCTTAGTCTATCGCCTCAACCATCCAATTTGTTTGTCAGCTCAAAAGCCAATTTGCAATATAAGTCCTGTACGCCAAAAGCTATCAAAATATGTAGTACGGCTGTTTAACACTCACCTTCTAAAGTATTTCGTTTACCGTCTGCTCCTATGAGGACATCGAACTCATACTGAGAGACCGGGTGCTCTGGAGGACTTATCGCTGCACGCCAGCCGATTCCTGTGTAATAAAGAAAACCATTGTTAAAAACTTTGCACTTACGAGTGAGACATTACAATGAACAATTAGACATTTCAAGAATTAAACTACCACATTTTTTGCTACCTATCTGTCCAGGTCTACCTCTAAGCTTCGTGGAACCCCCATACTAACAAAGACGATATCTTCGTAGATGATCAACAGAAAATCAGCAACAGCAAGCAAAAGAAAGAAACAGCAGTTTGCGATTTCTTGAAAGATATATTGATCAGAGAAAAAGAGGATAATGTACGGAAATTATGAGGCAAATACATTGCTCTATTATGAATGCGGTGATGTCTTATCCTATAGGTGGAAGCTGGTGGTTGCGATGGACAAAAGAGGGAGGTAATAGACTAACTAACCGGCAACCCACAAGAAACTCCTTGGTTAGTTCAACATTTTCCCCCTTAGTCTGTAAGAACCATCAGTTTCAACCGATGGGTTTGCTCCATACTCCCTTTGTCTTTCTTGTCTATTGCTTTGTCTATCAATTTCAACAATCAGCCCACAGTGGCATTTATTTTTGTGCCTTCTTTTTCTCCGATCAATATATCTTTCAAGAAATCACAGACTTCTGTTTCTTTCTTTTGCTTGCTGTTGCTGATTTTCTGTTGATCATCTACGAAGATATCGTCTTTGTCTGTTGATGTGTCATCGATTGATTTGTTTGACAATTTACTTTATCTGTTACAAAGTTTGCTATTTTATTATTTAATTTGAATTACACCAGATTACCATGATTGAAACTTTAATATTCCTACATAACAAGGGTATAATAACAAAAATGGGGCAGAATAGGAAAGAATAAAACGATGATGGAGGATCCGACTATGGATTAATACTACTTACTATGGAATATTGAATTACAGATTACTAATTTAGTGAATAGGATTGATTGGATTTCCGACTTACTTTCTTCACTTTGATCATCTGGAGGAGGTAGCAAAGACTCAAAGCCAATACCTTCGTGGATTTCGACACCGAGAATTAAAGCTACTTTTAGTAATATACACTGCAGCTGCCTTATGCCTGAAAAATGAAATAGAAAAAGAAGGTGAAAACAAATAATATAGTGAAACCTCCAATAATTATCAGAAGAAGTTAAAAATCCTCATTTTCCAATGGGTTAGTTGCGCTGGTCACAGAATCGTGTTTTGATGCTAGATTCTTGTAGATTAGCTCAGAATAATAAGATCTATTTAAACCCCAACTTTCTACGTTCAATAATAACCGAGAAATGGCCCTTTGAAAAGTTGGGTTTTTGATGTCATCCACCGCGGTCGTGACACCCTTGGTTTCTTCCACCTTGCTTTTATTAGTCAGCGTGACGCACATGTGCATAGGTTACTCAACGTGAAATTCAGAAGAATGCAAGGTGGAAGAAACCAAGGGTGTCACTACCGCGGAGGATGACGTCAAAAACCCGACTTTCCAAAGGGAGATATGTCCATTATTAATGAATGTAGAAAGTTCCGGTTTAGGCAGATCTTATTATTTTTGGCTTATCTACACGAATCAAGCATCAAAACACGATTTTGTGACCAGCGTAACTGACCCATTGTTTCATTTATAACCTTTTCCTTTCCTCCATTTCACTCTGATCTAGGTGCGGTTCTGTTCAATGAATCACTAGACAATCACTGACAATAATACGGTTTGGAAGTAACTTCCCCACAAGATGTTATTTTCAAACCAGTATCAGTCAGTTACCTGTTGTGTCAGCCTGATTTGTAAGGATGATAATAAATTTATCCTGGCAACTTATATGGATACAGTGCAAAATCCAAAGTTGTTCGTGAAGAGTTATTTATTGTTTTTAAATTGTGGCCGAGGATGAGTCGCTTGGTGTCTAAAAGCTTCCCAACTCACGGAGGGTGAACATTAAAATTTTTTTTATCACAATTCCTAGACCACTAGACTTAGTGTGAGATAATCCTTCAACCTAAAATGAAGAAAACCTAACTTCCAAATACAGTTGATGTGAGAGTTTGTCAATGATTGCGAACCATGTGACAGGACTGTTAAACTGGACGTACGCTAAGTGGAAAGATGGGGTGTGCTTGTTAGTTGAGGGTCATAAGAATGAATGGGACTTTAATAGCGCCATTGACGTCAGCGGCAACTACGAGGAGGCACAACGAAGAGATCGGTGGCAGGACTCTTTTAACTCATGAGCCCTGTCAACAACGCTCTTGTCTCATGCCCACTGCTTGGTTAGCGCTCAGTTCCTTTTGATTTAATGTAAATTCTCTCTTTTCCTTTTCTCAAAAGGAACTATATCTACTTTTGCAAAGTTTATTATGCAGCTTGGACGAGCACACCACATCTTCCCACTTGCACATAGTTCCTTTTAGCATAAATACGTCCGACTTTGAAAGTTGAATAGGCACTATCAGGACAAAAGAGAAGTAAGAATGATTAATAAAATCGATGATGAAGACTTACTAATATGATCTATGGATCCTGCACAGAAGCGACCAAAAAATTTCTTAGCACCAAGAGCTCTGAGATCTTGAATAACGAAAGGCCATAAATGAAGCACATTATTTCGAGAAATTTTATCACGTTTTTCTACTACGACTACTTTTGCACCTAGAAGTTGGGCTTCGATCGCCGCACGCAACCCACATGGACCGGCGCCGATGATCAAGACCTGGAACGATAAAATACATTTCATATAAACACACACACACTAACAAAATTGGGCCATTTAAAACTGGTACATTTCAAGGCTTTTGGGGGGATACACGGAAAGAAATGAAATGTTGAACTAGCATTTATACTGTTAAAAAGATGTCCGACAAGTTTCAAATGCTGATTTTACATTTTAACAAACGCTAACGTAACTACACCCACTGCAAAACGTACAAATTAAAATATTATGTTAGCATTTTTGTATTGTAAAATCAGCATTTGAAACTTGTCGGACATCTTTTTAACAGTATGAATGCTGAATCAACATTTAATTTTTTTCCGTGTAGGGGACTTCGGCGGCTTGGTGTCGCAGAGCGCCAGAGAGCGCTATAAAAGCGGCTTTACATTCAAAGGTACAACGGTACCAACGTACAAAGGTATACAAGGTTATTCAAAATTCACACACCACTGGCAATAACTTCAGTTTTAATTAATAAATCGATGTACGGTTTGTGACGTTTTTCCTCATATTGAGAGGGAAACTTTTTTAGGTATTTTCCAGTATTTGACCCCCTCAGGTGGAGGGGGGGCGGGGTGCGACTAAAAAATTTCAAATTGTCATCCCCCTCATGGCCAGTAGTGCGTGACTTTTGAATAACCCTGTATATACAGCAACTCTCGACATTATCACGCTTTAAAAAATTCGTTTAATGACGTCATCCACCGCGGTAGTGACACCCTTGGTTTCTTCCACCTTGCTTTCATTTGTCAGGGAGACACGCATTTTACTGCTTACTCAACGTAAAACTCGGACGCAAGCGAAGTGGAAGAAACCAAGGGTTTCACTACCGCGGTGGATGACTTCATTGAACGAATTTTTCAAAGCGCAATATCTCCGTTAATATTGAACGTAGAGAGTGCACGGAAAAAAAAATTGCTGATTCAACAATTCAATTGCTAAAAACAGCGAGTGCAATGTTTCAACGCAGATTTTACAACAACAAAATGCTACTTTAACCACATTGTAAACTAATTTAACCACGGGGGTGGTTAAAGTAGCATTTTTTTGTTGTAAAATCTGCGTTGAAACATTGCACTCACTGTTTCTAGCAATTGAATTGTTGAATCAGCAATTTTTTTTTTTCCGTGTGGCTGTTTGGACGTATTTTATTATTTTTAGCAGTTGCACAAGAGTCATGCACCAAAACACGACTCTGTGACCAGCGCAACTGACCCATTGAGTGGCTTTGGGCAAATGGAACCCAAGGAACAGCCGTTATTAACAAATTTCCTTGAATGGCTCCCTCTTTTAAAGGAAAATGATTCTACAATTTCATTTGAGGACATTAAGGTGATTCGATGGAGGCCATTTTTTGTGTCAAAGCAATGTGCGATATATTGCATCGATCAGCTCCATAATTTCAGCTACTTGCAATTTGCTTCAAATTTTGAGATCGCACTTCTGTTGCCATGAGACTGAAGAATGCATGTACCAAATTTGACGGAGAAATTCAATGTGTGGTTTTTTTAGAGGAAAAATATTGCATTCGATACTGATATCAAAACTGCACTTGAATGCGATATTTTCCCTTTAAAAAAACCACGCCTTTATTATGTTGAATTTCTTCGTCAAATTTGGTACATGAGTTCTTAAGTCTCATGAAAACAGAAGTGCGATCTCAAAATTCGAAAAAAATGACAAGCAGCTGAAATTATGGAACAAATTGATGCGATATATCGCACGACGTCGCTCTGACGCAAAAAATGGCCTCCATCGAATCACCTAACAAAGCGAACCTTTTGAAATGTGCTGCTTCTTTCGTCACAATCAATTATAAGGCTTACCAAATCAAAAAGCAATTAAAATTTCTCTGCTATACGACTCTTCATGGCCCTCCCGCTTTCACTAAAACTATCATTTAAAAATGACCATCCAAATGTATTCCTTACACTTAAAAAATTCGGCCAAGAAGAAGCGTTCTACCACATAAATGAGTTTCTAGGTGATAGCTAAATATAGAGATGTCAGATAATTGATTGTTTCTGAGGAATTTCTGAATATAACTGTTAAATACTCATCAATTGAAAACCAGCATATTTTTTATTTTTAAATTTTATCGACTTGTGTTGAAATTAAGTTTTTTGAGGTACAAACCACATTTGACACGTGCCATCAGCTAAAATTCAGCTTCTGTATGTACTTGATTGGAAAAAAAATACAATAAATACATTTTTCCAGGCAGGCAGAATTCTCGAGGATAATTCTTGATCAGAGGGTTGGATGGATCCAAAAATATAGGCAGCAGGAACGACATAAGGGAAAAAACCCCAGCGGGCCGACTATTGAATTTGAAGGGCACAGCGATAGACAAAGAAAGACAAGAGGGATATGGAGAAATCTTTCTCTCACTTAGTCGAGAGGAACGACCCATTTCAACCGATGAGATCGCTCCGTACCGTACTCCCTATGACTCATTTGTCTATCGCTTTGTCTATCAATTTCAACAATCAGCCCGCAGACGAAAATGAATATTTACTCACCCGAGTGTTTGGACAAGCCTTTCCTCGATTGTAACATTTATGACTTGCTTTCTTATCGAATTTGGCCCATAAGGCTTGAGCTTTCCAAGATTTGAGTTTGCTCTGTAAAATAAAATAAAAACAATGAAGAAAGTGAGTAGAAATAAAAAATGTATTTACACAGTTTAGAAATTTTCAGAAATCATATCATGAAGAGGGCGAGGAACTCGTCGGCGTGGCGAGCTTTGCGATATATCGATTGATCTGCCATTTAAACCTATGGAAAAGGATCGATCATCCGGGTGTTCGCAACGAACACCTTAAGAATCGATTCTTTACCATAGCTTCAAATGGGGAAGTATCGATAATCGATCATTCACGCTTTGCCACAGCTTTTCTCGAAACAATTCACTCAATTCCTCGTATACCTCACGAGAGAACGCAGCTACATTTCAGTGCTTGCTAATTTCCCCGCACAAAGCAGTGGCGTGGCGTGAATTGCGATGTATCGATTGTCATGTCATTTAAACCTATGGTACAGAATTGATAATTAGGGTGTTCGCTGCGAGCACCCTGTTTATCGATCCTTTTCCATAGGTTCGAATGGCGTAACAATCGATACATCACTTTTACCGGGAGAACTTTAGGAATTTCTAACTGGAAACTTCGTTGATTTTTCTTCCGATCTCAGGCAAAAATTAGACAATTTTTCGACGAAAATTGCTCAGGCACATTCTAGTAAAAAGCTGAGTTGTTTGAGTCAATTTTGCAACCTCGGAATGGAGCTACATTTGGACTACATTTTAAAATTTGGAACCATAGCTTCTAGCCCAGTTTAAAAACAACGTATGCACTATTGGTTTCCCTATGCTTATAAGTGTTTTTCCAGAAGAGCCAGAATTTATAGTTCCAAATTGCAAAATGCAGTCCATTCTTCGTCGGGGAAACGACGAACTGAGCCACTGACATCGCATGTTCAATTATTACTTCTGGGCCTTTTGAAGACAACGTTGTTGGCCCTTGTCTAGACTTTCTGACCAACACGGAGAAAAAAACCTCGTGCGTGGGATCCGAAGTTTAGGTCATATGGATCTCTGAAGTTTTCGGATTGAGCATTTGAACACTTTAGGTCCAGCTGCTGAGGTTTGGATCACACATCTGAAACTTCAGTTCTTACATCCGAAGTACTTCAGATGTGAGAATCGAAGTTTTTCGGATAGGAGAACCGAAATTTTTCGGATGTGAAAACCGAAGTACTTCAGATGTAAGAACTGAAGTTCCAGATGTGTGATCCAAACCTCAGCAGCTGGACCTTAAGTGTTCGGGTGCTCAATCCAAAAACTTCAGAGATCCATATGACCTAAACTTCGGATCCCACGCACGAAGTTTTTTTCTCCGTGAACGAGTTCAGACCTATATTACATGAGTATACCACTTTATTCAGGCAAATCCAGTTTCTGAAAGAAAACTATTTGTTGAGAATGGACGCATCTTGCAACGGAGCGATTCTACCAAAATTGCGCTTTAAACGTCTTTCTTTAATTCTTAAATACCTGATTTGGTGTGAAAGGGGCGAAAGTTCGGGGCATCTTCGAGCAGCATGAACTTCTTAAGGTGATTCGATGGACGCCATATTTTGTGTCAGAACGGCATGCGATATATCGCATCAATTGGTTCCATTTTTTCAGCTACTCGTCATTTCTCTCCAATTTTGAGATCGCAACTCTGTTGTCAGGATACTAGAGCACTCACTAATTTTAACACAGAAATTCAACGTAATAAAGGCGTGGTTTTTTAGAGAGAAAATATCGCATTCGAGTGCAGTTTCGATATTAGTATCGAATGCTATGTTTTCTCTCTATAAAGAAACCACGCCTTTATTCCGTTGAATTTCTTTGTTAAAATTGGTAAGTGAGTGCTTTAGTCTCCTGACAACAGAGTTGCGATCTCAAAATTGGAGAAAAATGACGAGAAGCTGAAAAAATGGAACCAATTGATGCGACAAATCGCATGCCGTTCTGACACAAAAGATGGCGTCCATCGAATCACCTTGAATGCGGAAATCAGGTGCTGAGTCATTCCGTCTCCAAGGGAAGTATGTGATGTGGTATCACGCGAATATGAAGGAAAATCTTAGCTGTCCACCTATCTCAAATTACTGACGTTCATGTATGTACCAAAGGTATCCTCGTGTTCGATTCACTAAGTAGTTTCCATTTAAACACGCAATAGGTCGGTTGCGCTGGTCCCAGAATCGTGTTTTGATGTTTAATTCTTGTAGTTCAGCTAAAAATGATAAGATCCGTCCCAACAGCAACTCATAACGTTCAGTATTTACCGAGATATCGCGCTTTGAAAAATTCGGTCCATGACGCCATCCACCACGGTAGTGACACCATTGGTTTCTTCCACCTTGCTTTCATCAGTCAGAGATGCACATATTTGCACTGGTCACGCACTCGGGTGAAAGCAAGATGGAAGAGACCATGGGTGTCACTACCGCGGTGGATTACGCCATGGACCGAATTTTTCAAAGCGCGATATCTCGGTAAATACTGAACGTTATGAGTTGCTGTTGGGACGGATCTTATCATTTTTAGCTAAATTACAAGAATTAAACACCAAAACACGATTCTGTGACCAGCGCAACCGACCCATTTATCAGAGTTCAGACACCTAAAAATTCTTCACTAGCTCGGAGGGCTGTGCTAGGCTGCCGTGATAGCGAAGAGAGCAGTAAAAGCAGAAATGAAGTTTTAAGAAAACGGGCAAAGAAGCGTCTGACCCGAAAATGTTACGGAAAGAAGCCTCCGTTCTTTGTCAAATTGCCACAAATCATCCGAAAGACTTTTAGAGATAGTTTGCATGATTAAAAATCGACAGGTTTTATTTCAATTTCATAAAAAGGGTATTATTTTTAATTTCCATGCTAGGCTGTTGTTAGGCAAGACAGCCGTAAGTGCTATCTTTTGCATGCTTTCAAGGTTGCGTTTTGAACACACAACAAACACATTTTCAGATTAGAAATTTGCAGAAGCGGGCGGCACTTCACTTGATAGCACTGTTTTCATTGGCTCTCAGGAGGAATTATGTCACTTACTGCTGTCTTGCCTGAAACTACGTCATTTCTTGCGCACTTGCGGCTTTCTCGTAGTTAAGTCTTGTTTATATACAATAAAGATGAATTTTGCTGTACTAGCTATCAGGGTGTCTATCAGAGATAAAAAAAATAATTGGGGACTTTTTAGGGGTGTTTTTCCAAGAAAATCGGGGGCTTCTTTCCCGAAATAGTAAGAGAGAGAGAGTTAGTTGGAGCGTTAAAATGCGTATTTTATACGACTAATTTTACAAGTCATGTTGAACCGATGAAAATATACGAAAAAACAAGCAACACCACAGTTTTGATTCCTGGTTATACCGCGCTGCCGCGGCTGGAAGGAAAATTTGAAAATGCCGGTGTTTTGGACGATTTTCGTCATTTTTTGAGATCCTGCACTGGAAAAAAACACATTGGATCTACAGTCCAGACTCTTAAAAACATCGACAAGAAAAAATCCTCTCGATTCAATCAGATTTAGGCTTAAATCAAGAACCAAGCCTCATCATTTGAGCGGATTTCCTTTCGATTTAAGCTTAAATCTGATTGAATCAAGAGTCCCTTTTCTTGTCAATGTTTTCAAGAGTCTGGACTCTAGATCCAAAGTGTTTTTTTTTCCCATTGTGAACAGGGAAATTGGGGACCTTCGGGGATATTGAAGACACCCTTCCAAAATCGGGGATAATCGGGGACAGTGGGGACTTTTGGGGACCGATAGACACCCTGCTTTTCAAGTGCTTTCATCTAAAGGAGATTAGGCGAATTTTGAAGGAAACTGGATTTCGAGAAGTGTACTGCTCTCTTGGCTACGACGCACTGAAAAAAATTTTCGGCGTTTTTACCAAGGTCCGTTGGTACCTTCACCATCTCACTTTTTTTTACCAATTATTGGTAATTTTACCAAGACAAACTGGTAAACTTACCTAAAAACCGGTATTTTTACTGTTTTTTCAGATAAGAATACCACTTTTATTGGTAATCAATTCCCGGTAACTTTGCCATTTTATCTCGGTAAATCTACCACAGTCGATAAAAAATATAGGCGTTTTTACCGGGGTCCACTAAAATTACCGAGAAAGTTCAATAATTTTTCCGAGATTTCTCGGTAAAATTACCAATTCCATAAATGGCAATTTTACCAAGAAAAAACTGGGATCAAATAGAACCCTGAATTCTTGGTATTTTACGCTTTTCTTGGTATTTTACCCTTTTCTTAGTAAATACACAGAGATTTTTTTTCAGTGCGGGAGTAGGGGCGTGTTACTCACCTTCAATTTGGGGTAGAACTGGGGGAAGTTTGTGGGCTTGATGTGGAGGAGCTCGCAGAGGTGGCGGTGGTATCCGAGGATGGCCTTGAGGGTGGTGGCGGCGCAGAACTTGTCGAAGATGTCCGACGCCAGGGCCGTCTCCGGGGAGACGCCCGGCTTCCGCGAGTGCTCCATCTTTACCCTTCCTCCTCACCAGCTTCCATTGACTGAAACAGAAACAACCCAAGCTTGAGAAAACTCGCAGGAAATCGGACCGGATGCTACAAGTTTGACATAGCGGAGCGCGTGGTTGCCTATCAGAGCGAATGAAGGCTCCTTTTCATTGACTGAAACAAAAACAACCCAAGCTTGAGAAAACTCGCAGGAAATCGGACCGGATGCTCCAAGCTTGACATAGCGGAGCGCGTGGTTGCCTATCAGAGCGAATGAAGGCTTCTTTTCATTGACTGAAACAAAAACAACCCAAGCTTGAAAAAACTCGCAGGAAATCGGACCGGATGCTACAAGTTTGACATAGCGGAGCGCGTGGTTGCCTATCACAGCGAATGAAGGCTTCTTTTCATTGACTGAAACAAAAACAACCCAAGCTTGAAAAAACTCGCAGGAAATCGGACCGGATGCTACAAGTTTGACATAGCGGAGCGCGTGGTTGCCTATCAGAGCGAATGAAGGCTCCTGCTACACTGGAAGAAAAATAACACATTGGATCTAGAGTCCGGACTCTTGAAAACATTGACAAGAAAAAGGACTCTTGATTCAATCAGATTTAAGCTTAAATCAAAAGGAAATCCGCTCAAATTAAGAGGCTTGGTTCTTGGTGTAAGCTTAAATCTGATTGAATCAAGAGTATTTTTTCTTGTCAATGTTTTTCAGAGTCTGGCCTCGGGATCCAATGTGTTTTTTTTTTCCAATGTGGCATGAAGCGACAAATTCCTGACACCCAAGCGGAATTCCGGTACTTTTTCAGTACTGAGAAAATCAGTTCTTTCTTTCGGACCAGATCACTGAAATTGACAGACAAAGCTGTAGACACAGAAGACTAAAGGGACACGAAAGGGCCCTATTGGAGGAAACAGGTGATCGGAGTGAACAAGGGAGGTAGGTAATAGATAAACTAATTAAATAGCAACCCACGAGAAACCCTACAGTTAGTCCATCATTTTTTCCCTTAGTCTATGAGAACCATCCAAATCAACTAATCAGATCACTCCATACTCCCTGTGTCTTCTTTGTCTATAGCTTTGTCTAGCAATGTCAATGATCAACCCGCAGTAGGAGACTAATCATCGGCTACAATGTAGGAGACGACGCACAGAGGATCGAGTCAATTAGAAAGGTCGGACATGAAATGGACTACATCTTGCAATTTGGAACTATAAATTCTAGCCCGGTTTAAAAAAAGTATTTGCCATTAGTTTCTCTATGCATATAAGTGTTATTTTAGATGAGCTAGAATTTATAGTTCCAAATTTCAAAATGCAGTCCACATTGTTGACTAAAATTGCAAGTTTGACGTTTATTCCGTCACATTTTGAATTAAAAGGGGTATTTCTAGAAGTAAATTTCTCGAGGAAACCAATGAAACCACTTTTAAAACCTCAAAGTTTTATACAAACGGAGTTATGAGCTTTCAAAGTTTCCAAATTTTGTCCGACCTTTCCTATTGACTCGACCCACCGTGCGACGGATTGGGACGCGGACCTCGTCGAAAGGTCATCGACGACGGGCGGTCTTCGACGTGACCGTCCTAGGGAAGGCCATCGACCCGCTTATCAACCGCATGATACTATCGGCGCATACGCGGTTCATGCTTAGAAACGCAGCATAGGTGGGGGGAGGGGTAGAAATGCGGCTGGTGCTCAATGGGATTGGAATATTAACGATTGACGCAGTTGTGTCAACTCTGTCCATTGGACGTTGAAATGCCCCCCCCCCCTTCCTATTTCGAAAGGATCCTTTCTATCTAGCTATACCAAAGCGGACGAAAAAAGTTCAGTTCGTATGAAACCAGTGTTCCCATTTTCCGGGGCTAGTTCCGAATTTCGTAACTTTTGAGATTTTTTTTTAAAATTTTCCCCGAACTTTTGAAATTCCAGAAATGGTCTGGATCATTTGCATTTTCCGGAACTTTTGAAAATAATGAAAAAAGAATCCCGGAACTTTTGAAGATAATCTAAAAAGAATCCCGAAACTTATGAAAATAATCTAAAAGGAATCCCGGAACTTTTGAAAATAATTTAAAGAGAATCCCGGAACTTTTGAAAATAATCTAAAAAGAATCCCGGAATTTTTGACGGTCATGGAGTGAGCGAAATTAAAAAAAAAAAGTTCCGAATCCCGGAACTCTTGACGGACATGGAATGGGAGCACTGTATGAAATACAAGAATTTTCGGTCACCGAAACCGAATTTTGGTTAAACTAGATGAAATTCCGTTTCTACGACCAAAAAGCCTCCATTACCTGAACTGAATCACTTTACTGTAAACCCTCTATGACATAGATTAATGCTTCAATCGTAAAGCTTAAATTCGCACCTTGGCAAGTGGTCCACTTTTCAACATTCTCCTGGTAAAAATTAAGTTTGTAAAATGCATTTTGTAATTAAAAAAACGAAAGAAAAAGAATCGAAGGGGCGAGGCTTGAATGATCGAGTATCGATCATTAAAAAGTTCGTCGCGAACCCCCTGTTTATCGATCCTCATCCATGGGTTTAAATGGCAGCAATCGAACATCGCAAGGTGCGCCACGCCACAAATCACCGCTATACAAAATCGATGGCACCGTCGCACAGTGTGACATTCTTATGGACGATGCGGACAAAAATCTGTAAAAGACACTCAACTGTAAACAATGAAGATAGTAGCACCGACATAGGGAAACCCTTTGGCACTGTAACAGTAAAACACTCGAGGAATAAAAAAATGTTATACCTCAGGATTTTTAGCGTATTTTTCGAGAAAAGTTTATTAGAAGTTGGCAACCTCGAATTAGCCATAATGTTAACAATGTAAAAGCAACGTGAAACACCCGAACATTAACTTCAAATATCGCTGATAGTCGCAAGATCTTTTTGGAAGAATTGAAGTTGGACATCTGATTAAGAAAATGTCAACCACCCCGAGCATTTTGCGTTTCGAGCGAGAAATCTTCATTTGAAATTGACGTCTTTTCCCCGCGAATTTCTTGGGGACCAGTGATTCTCGACCCCTTTCCGGCCCACTTTCTACCCACCTTTGAAGTAGTTTTGAGCGAAACATTTGAAAATGAACCATCATTGTGAGTAAGAAATATCTTTCAGATGAAAAACTCCAAAAAAAATATTCAGATGTCGAGTTGTGAATTGTTGATTTTCGTCCACAGAGGGCCGCAATGTGCGTCGTCCGACTCGTGTTTCACTTGCAAATAAATGTTCGAACCGAAAATTATCACCCGAGCGAGAAATCTTCATTTGAAATTGACGTCTTTTCCCCGCGAATTTCTCGGGGGCCAGTGATTCTCGACCCCTTTCCGGCCCACTTTCTACCCACCTTTGAAGTAGTTTTGAGCGAAACATTTGAGAATGAACCATCATTGTGAGTAAGAAATATCTTTCAGATGAAAAACTCCAAAAAAAATATTCAGATGTAGAGTTAAGAATTATTGATTTTTGTCCACAGAGGGCCGCAATGTGCGTCGTCCGACTCGTGTTTCACTTGCAAATAAATGTTCGAGCCGAAAATTATCACCCCGTCGACTCCACTGGGGTGGTGACGGCACAACGTTAGCGGCGGGTTGCGGGTTGCCTACCCGCACGAACGCGGGACTGCAGGGGCCTCTGGGAATGGTGAAATGCGGACAACCATAGCGTCGAGTCACGCTACGTCCTCGATTTTCCGTGCCCGTCACGTGCTGAGCAGTGACTCAAAGTTTTGGATAAAATGCCACGAAATGGAAGTTAAGTTTTCAGCGGCCCAAAACCAACGGCGACAGGTCGAGAAAAACCTCTCAGGGTTGCCACAGAATTTAGAAAATGGAATTCCCTCACATTTCCCTGATTTCCCTCACACATTTTGGTGAGATGGAGATGTTGCATGTGTGAGGAATTTGTGATTTGACTGTTGATTCTTAGGTCAAGAAACACGATGGTGACACTGGTTTTCTCTGAAATCGACTCCCACGCTCAAAAGAAGCTCTCAAGTTGAGGCCAAAATGGAGGGGATATCCCACGCTATCCTGAGAGTCCACCTCTACACCAAGACCAACTCTCCATGCAAAGATAGGGAGAAAATACATTGACAGGGTTACCACTTTATTTGGGGACTCTAAAACTGAAAACACGGCATCACTGCTAATGAATTTGCTCCCTATCTTTGCATGGAGAGTTTGTCTTGATGTAGAGGTGGACTCTCAGGCTAGCGTGAGATATCCCCTCCATTTTGGCATCAACTTGAGAGATTTTCTTGAGCTTAGGAGTTGATTTCAGAGAAAACCGGTGGCACCATCGTGTTTCTCGCGAACTTTGACATAAGAATCGACAGTCAAATTGCAAATTCCACACACATGCAACATCTCCATTCCCTGACATTTCCCTGATTTCCCGGACACATTTTGGTGAGATTCCCTGACAATGGACCAATAGACAAGGTACGAATTCAAGCAATCTGATACTAGTTTCTGAACCAGAATTTCACGCAAAACATGACTCACGCAACGAAAATTACTGAAATCAACTCCTTACGAAGAAATAAACGCTATTATTTCTCATTGGTTACGAAGAATTTGAACTGCCGCTCACAAGAAACTCAAAGCTCTACGTGAGTCAAATCGCGCACTACAACGGTTTCAGCAAGCTTCTCAAACGAGCTATGTTCATTTCCCACCGTGTGTTGTTCAAACAATGAGAAATTCGCTATAGCTGAGCCCAAGCTTCAAGATTGAGGTTGCCAGATTTTTATATCGCAGAGACTGTCATGATAACGTTTAGCGCGCGATATGAATCACGTAGAGCATTGAGCTTTCATGAGTGGGTGGTTTAAATTCACGCATCAAGAATCAATAATTTATCTTCGTTATGAGTTGATTTTCGTAATTTTCGTTATGCGGATTGTGTTTTACGTGACATTTTGGTTCAGAAACATGTATCAGAATGCTGAAATTTGTACCTTGTCCAGCGGTCCATGGAAGATGAGACGGATGGTTGGGAGAGCATGATTGAAAATGGTTTTT